AGACTTTTACAAGCTTGTGTCCACATGTTCCTAATTGTAGCAAAGAGCATTAGTGCTGTTGTTTTAATACTATCAGTCATAATTATTCTCCTAAAAATACAGTCTACAATGGAAATAACTAAATGTCTGACAATTCCCAAACTACTTTTCAGCATTTTAACCATGACTATTCTAAGTCTTTTCATTCTCAGTCTTGGTCCTTCTTCAGAGCATTTATAATTACCCAGTACCTATTTTCAATTGAGACAGCCTTCTAAATATTGTTGGTTTTCAAAACCTTTAACTGTTGTCTGTTGACATTATGCAGCATTTCATCTATAGTCCAGACAGAACTAAAAATGGGTGCCAGGTTAGCCCACTTCTTCTAAACTTCTTTTGTTGTTTATAATTTGGCCAAATGGGCCTTATTGTAGCTCCAGATAAGGTACAAAAACATCTTCCTTTTCATATTTGGGACAGCTTATTGAGGGACGGACTATCTGCCCCCCCAAAATAGAAATCCATAAGGATAATTTAAAAATTTTAAATGATTTTCAAAAATTATTAGGTGATATAAAATGGCTACACCCTGCCTTAAAACTTACCACCCGTGAACTGTCTCCTCTCTTTAAAATTTTAGAGACAGACACTCAACCATCATCTCCTAAATATCTCACACTGGAAGGTCGTCTGGCCCTGGCTAAGGCTGAATGAGCTATTCATAATTCTCAGAGAACTCATGTTGATTATCCTCAACCAATACAACCTATTTTACCTACTATAAGTCTACCCACAGGAGTTCTTTGGCAGTCTCAGGGAGTACTAGAGTGGTTACATTTACCTCACTCCCCTGCTAGAGTCACCACTCCTTACCATAATATGGTAGCAAAACTAATAGCCATGGGACATTTTCGCACTGTACAACTGCTAGGACTAGAACCATCCCTTATTATTGTCCCATTTACTGAGGAACAACAGGTGTGGTTATGGCGCACTGATACCATGTGGCAAAATGCATTGGCAAACTTTACAGGACAGATTGGAGAACATTTGCCTTCCTCTAAACGTCTTAATTTTGCTTCTCAACATGCTTTTATATTTCCTCACAATATCTTAGAGGATCCTATACTTCAGGCTCTTGTGATTTTTACTGATGCTTCAGGTTCTAGAAATACTGCTTACTTTTCCTCTCAAGGACAAAAGGTTATACAAACAGGTTTTTCCACTGCTCAGCATGCTGAGCTTCAGACAGTAGTATTGGCTTGTCAGGATTTTGCTCATGTTCCTTTTAATTTGTATACAGATAGTACATATGTTTATGGAGTACTTAAGAGTATTGAAACTGCTTATTTAGGACCTACTAATGATGAACAGCTTTTTCATCTCTTCCATGAGTTAAGGGCTTTATTACAACACCACCAACATATCTATTTTGTGGGCTAGCTCCCGTCCCACTCTGGCCTTCCTGGGCTGTGGGCTGAGGGCAATTGCCAGGCAGATGCCTTAGTCTCTCCATTAATTTTACAGGTGGATAACTCATCTCCAGTAAACCAGGCGATACAAAGTCATTCTCAGTTCCACCAAAACTCCAGATCTCTTTGTAAACATTTTCATATCACCTGAGAACAATCTTGTCAAACTGTTAAGTCATGTTCAAAAATGTGCTCCTCATTTGTCTGTGCCCACTGAGGGAGTTAACCCTGTGGTCTTCATCCTCTAACATTACGGCAGATGGATGTTACACTCCATCTTTTGTTTTTTTTTTTTTTCATTTTTCTTTTATTATTCATATGTGCATACAAGGCTTGGTTACACTCCATCTTTTGGATGACAGTGTTATGTCCATGTTGTCATTGATACTTACTCTGGTTTTGTTTTTGCCTCTCCAAATCAGGGGAAGCAACATGCCATGTCATAGATAACTGTTTAGCCACCTTTGCTGTGATGGGCAAGTTGCTCCATGTTAAAACTGATAATGGCCCAGGCTATACATCTACTGCCTTCAGGATTTTTTTTCCTCCTACAAAATTCTCCATACCACAGGCATACCCTATAATCCCCAAGGCCAAGCTATACTGGAATGAGCTTATTATCAAACTTTAAAAGCAACAAGACAAAGACAAGAAGGGGAGACAGCTCCCTGGCCACTCAGATTAACAAAGCTCTTTTTACTTTAAATTGCTCTGAATCTGGCTTTACTCCAGCTGAAAAACATTGGGAACATTGCAATAAACAACATTTGCCACAGGTATTGTGGAAAGATATAATGACTGGGGCTTGGCAAAGCCCTAGCCCGGTCTTGTTATGGGGCCGAGGCCATGCTTGTGTTTCTCCTGAAGGTGAAGTAAGCCCAATTTGGGTACCCTCACAGTTTGTGAAGACCCATGGAACCCATCAGCCATCAGATGAAGAAGCTCCACCTGATGGAGGAGGAGAGGAGCCCAAAACCGCCGAAAATCAAACCGACAGAGATCTGTCACTGAAAGCAATATGGAACCACCCTTACCGGTCCTACAAGAGGCAACATCATCAGTTTGACAAATGCAGTAAAACAACTGGGGGATCTACTTCCCCAACGTGGGGTCAAATAAAATGCTTGGCAGATATGGCCAAGAATGCCATTAAGGGGTGGGGACAGGAAGAAACTCCCGCTGTTCTTCTGCTAGCTATGATTAGCATCATTAGTCATCAGGAAAATGCTGCAGAAGGCCAGAACTTACTACATTGGGCTTTTGTGCCTCATCCACCTCTGCTTCATGCAGTTACCTGGAAAAGTCCATTTATATTAGTTTTTACTAATGACCCTGAGCTGGTAGGAGGTCACTCCTACTTTCACTAATTATAATTTTACAGGACAAGCTGTTGCTTTACCCATATGTCTGGGGAATTTGCCTTATTATCTCCCTCTCACGCCTATTTGGAAAAGTGCTCTGTTATGGAATGGTACTCGGTTTCTTGATAAAAAAAACTAGAATTTTTTGGCTTTAATGACACTGAGCTGCATAATGCTACACACTGGCCTCACACTCCCTGCTGTCATGACAAACGCAATCCCTGGCGCCCCCTTAAGGGAGCCTCATGGGAACAAGGTATATTTGCTTCTCTAATGGCTATTAACGTTACAGGAGATAAGCTTGTGTATTGGTCTTATAATGGCACTTCTGACACTAATATTGTGGGGTACTGGACCACCCCTCTGATGGGACCAGATGGAGGAACCATTCAATCAGACATAAGGAAGCTCAGAGCTGCTACTGCTCATATCAATCTAACTAGCCATTCAGGCAGCTTTGTTATTAAAGTCTTACAAGTTTTTGTTCAACATCCTTTTGCTTTATTGGCTGGATCAATTAACATCTCTAAAAATAGAACTATTTTTTATAGCTCTTGTTCTAATTGCAATTTAACTTCATGTGTGGATAATTACATAAATGGCAGCCTACTTATAGTAAAACAAAGCCCCTATATCTTGGTACCTATAAATTTCACAGGACTGTGGTATCATGATAGAGGACTACAGGTTGTCAAAGAAATAAAATCATTATTAGTAAGAGAAAAAAGATTTGTAGGGCTCTTGATAGCAGGCATTGTGGCAGCCATCACTGCTATTGCCACCATAACTATAGCTGCAGTAGCCCTCTCCCAAAGCATTCAAAATACTCATTATATTAATACCTTAACACAAAATGTCAGTTATGCTTTCCAACAACAAGTTGCTATAGATGAAAAAATTGATATCTGCTTAAATTCTCTAGAAGCTGCTTTGCTGGCTATGGGAGATGAAGTTCAAATGCTGAAATTCTGTTAAGATCTGCTGTGCCATGCAGGCTTCCAACATATTGTGTCACTGCAGCACCTACAATGCCACGGACTTCCATGGAAACTCGTTAAAGCACACATCATGGGAGCTGGGAAAATAACAATGATTCCCTTAACCTGAAAGCCTTAAGACAGCAAATTTTATCCATGCAACGAGCACCTGATCAGCTGGCGGCTCCTGCAGGTATAGCAAAAACTATATTGGATGAATTGCAAGGATTTAACCCTTTTGATACTCTAAAATATTCCTTTTGGCATTTCATTGGCATTGTGTTATTGATTTGTTGTTTTTGCTTACTTTCAGTCGGAACTCAAAAGATCAAAAGGCGACTCCTCAGATTAAACATAGAAATGCATCAGGAGCTTTTAAGAAATAGAGTAGGGGGAGATGTTGGGGACCAGGCATGACCCTGGACTGGGAATAATGGAGTTTGCACGGCCTCTCCATATAGGAGATTGTACAGCCTCTCCAAGTAGAAGTTTGCACAGCCTCTTCTACCATAATTTCCCCAGTACCTGGTGTCTTGACCTTTGTTCTCACATCTCCTTGAAGGATACAACCTGCTGTGTCTGCATACCAGCCCCCTGATGCAAACTGTTAGGAGACTCCCTGATGCCAGATTAATCAATACCTTAGATAAGGTGTCCTGTGTGCCTTGATGGTTCCAGAACTGATGTGCTGTAATTAAGCTTCATTAGCCTTAGGACAACTGGCCCACCAAACCTCATTCCTTTCACCTTGCATCAAGAAATGTTAAAGCTTGATTTTTACCTGAGTCTTTTCCTTGTACTGACCTGATAAAAATAAACACACTGGCTCAGTAGGTGCTCACGTTTCACATCAGGAATGTACAGCCCTCCCGATACCAGTGTTCTGTTTTATGTTGTATGCCCGTATGTTTGTGTGTGTTTTATTTCTCGTTCCTTGTTACTCATAGTTCGGCTCATGCAGCATAACTATGCAGGCCGGGGCATTTAAGTGTGCTCAATGAAAATTTGCACATATCAGGAAATGGGTTAAATTATGACACACTGACTTCTGCCTACGTTGATGCCTGAGTTGGGGAGCTCGGTCTTGGACCTTACTGTATTGTCATACATACAGGCTGTGACCAAAGTGCTTGATCTTGCATGGGCCTAAGAGAAGCTCAACCCAGAATGTAGAGTGGTAGCCTGGTGCTATGGCTTGGGGGCAAGCTCACCTGAATCACACACAGTAGCAATGTCACCTGATGTTTCACTGGCAGAGACAGCAGTAACAGGGCTTTTGTGTCCTGTCAGACTTTGTACATAGCACAACCTAAAACACAAGAGACATGGGCTCACATAGGGTCATTACAAAGAACTACATTCTCTTATTTGTGTAATTCGTTCTCTCAGTATCTGTTATTATTCGTAAGACACACGTGTTTTCCCATTTGATATCTTTATGCAATGTTATGTAGTGTATCTGCTTCCTACAGTAAGATCTGCATTGTTAAATGTAGCCACACTGGGCTGGAAACCCTGTACCTGTTTAAGTCCCACACGATGCAGGTCCCATCTCTGCTCACGCTTATCATGATACTGTACGGCTTGCAGACAAACAAGCTGGTTATCTCTTCTGTATGCCCATACAAATGCATCTGAGTCTCCATTTCTATCTCTGATGGCTGGAATTTAGAAATTAAGAGAAGTGAAAGATAAAACCAACACACAAAATGTCCTATTATAACATCTCAAAAATAAAAAAGCAAATGACTACCAGGTAGCAATCCCATAAAAAGTGAACCTCTCCAGCACTACCTAGAATGCACCTTAAAGGACTTTCTGGGAAGAGCTCAGGGTCAAATATGGTCTACTATCTACAGAAGGTGCTTCTTCTGTAGATAAAAAGTGAACCTCTCCAGCACTACCTAGAATGCACCTTAAAGGACTTTCTGGGAAGAGCTCAGGGTCAAATATGGTCTACTATCTACAGAAGGTGCTTCATAAGCACCATGGAAAACATCTTCAGACAGGATTTTGGCAACTCTTATGTGGCCCATGGGAGGCCCATGTTTAGTCTACGGAGAAGCCACTGAAGGAACACATGAGTTGCTTTTAGGATCATGGTGTTTAGGAGGTGGGGAAGTGGCAGAACAGAAAGGAAGGAGTGCAAGGTGCCTCCTGCTGACCTCACAGAAGGCCACATTATAGCTTTAGGGGTACTGGGGTTGTGAAATGGCCCTGAGGTAAAGCAACAGCAGCAACATCTGTGAAAGCTAGGTGACCACACCTCAAAACAGCAACACCATATAGCTGAGTTTGTTTAAATGGTAACTGTTAATCTCATGATTTGATTACTGAGTATTTAGGAGGAAAAGAAAACCCTCATTAAAGAGCTGAAAAATCTGCTTTGATGGAAACATGTAACTGAGAAGAGGGAATTAATATAAGCCTTCTTAAGTCTACCATGACTTCAAAACCAAAAGAAGCATATGTCTTGCTGTACTTAAATTATAATAGCTATACCCTTGATCTGTTAGAGTCAAAGCTATTCTGTGTACAACTACTCCTGTACTGACAGCTTCATCTTTTTCTTTTTAAACCTATACTGCACACCATGTTGGTGTACAATTAAAAATGCAGAAATAATGAAAATTAAGAACAAGGCTGATCAAGTGTTGAGAAAGTAAATGGAGATAGAAAGTGAAAGATACAGCCAGTTTTAAACGCTGTCTATGCCACAGTAACAAAATGACTGGAGTACACAGCAAACTTTCCTAGCAGCAGGGTTTGGATAGTTCTGCAGGAGAAAGGAAACAGAGGATGAGCTGAGCAGGTTAAAGGTGTTGGCAGCCATGAATATTAGAGGTATGTAGGGATGAACATCTGTTTTAGGCTTTTGGGAGAAAAAAGGAAAGACAAGGAGACATTTTAGATGTTAAGATGCTTGTGGGCTCAGATTCCTTAGCATTCTGCTTACCAAGGACTGACATGTACCTTGATAACTCCTGCCATCTCTTCCCACCTTATGTTCTAACTACACAGAAAAATATTTGCCATCCCCCAAATCACCAGGTGTGTAAGCTGGTTCTTCTGCCTGAAATGTTCTTTCCTCTTTTGCCCATAAAGTAAAATGGCCCTTTGAAATCCGGTTCAAGTACAACTTCCCTGACTCTTCCACTCTGGCTGGCCCTTTCCCGTGTAGAAGCACACACTTGGCCCTCCCGTCCCCATCCTGCCTGGGTCACAGTGTCCTGGTCTTCATGCCTGGCGGTGTTTCCCCTAGCAGGTTCCACACGGTTCCCTAGAACATTGATTGGGTCCGTTACTCCACCCTAAAACATTTTAATGGCTCCTCAGGCTAAGAGATGGAACAATATTACAGTCACATTTATACCTCAGGGATCATGGCAAAGAACCTTAGCAAGGGTTTAAAAGTAAGAACTTGGGAATCACTCAATGATAGGAACACAGTTTCACTTAGTCAAATGTATTTAATAATATAATTGAGAAAGTTATGATGGAAAAGATACCCCAAAGAAGATTCTGGATTAGAAAGAGTATCACCTTGACTTGCCACATACCCTCATGTACCATAGACAGTCAGCTCAAGGAGACAGAAAATTTAAAAAAATTGCATAAGCTGTCACGATATTAAACTGTTTTATGATTTAACTCCTAAATCTTGGAAGTCCAGAAATGGCTTATTTCCAGTAATAATGGAAAGAAAGATAAGTTATTTAGATTTTGCTGTCATTGAATTTACTGAGTATTGGAATGCTGACTGTTTCTAAGCTTTTGGAATGGATAGAATTTTGTGGTACACTCTTCCTAAGCATTCAAGGTGCTTCCAAGAACACAGCCAAGTATTTGAATGTCATGGAAAAGCCTGAATACAAAACAGATCATAACTCTGAAGCCAAAAAACAAGACCTTTGCAATTATTTTCAAAACTTTAAAGAGTTGAACATGTGACCTCTCACTTTTTAAGAGCTAGTGAGGGCAGTAAAAGTGCTGTGAGCTGCAGAAAGCAGATGCTGTCACACCACTCACACTCCTCTCACTGCTGGGACCCACCGTGCTGCTGGTGAACCTGTTGGTGTAGGCCGTGATGACTCCACACTTGCTCCCCGTGAAGAGCTGGCAACTGTCTGGCACCCAGGCACAACTGGTCACCTTTAGGACAGATCAAAGATCAGCATGTGTTAGAAGCATAAGAAATGTTTCTGCTTTTCTGACAAATATTTAAAAATATATGATTCCAGAATTTCAAGTAAACATTTCACTTGGAATGATTAGAATGGTGCCAGATATAATCATAGCCTTATCTGTCACTTTTAGCCAAACATTTAAAAGTTGTTTCAGATTAAAAGATATTATAATGCACAGTGCACAGTTTTACATTTTTATATAAATGTGATCACTTGTTTTGCAGAAATTTTTTTTTCAAATGTTGACTTTTTATTTCATTAACATTATACTTATATTTATGGTTTCATCAATAAAGCACCACTTCAACTTATACTTCTCTATATAAATGATATCTTAAAATATTCCTGCAACTTATTCATTTCTCCACCAAGAATTTATTGAGGCTATGTCAGACTGGGGACATAACGAGTGAAAACAGCCAGGGTTTAGCCTCACTGAGGTTAATTTCGAAAGATATGAGAATCAATTGAATAGTCACATAAGTACCTAAGAATCTCTACCCATTATACACACCATGAAGGAACAGTAGGTCATGATGGGGTCGTGAGAATACAGATGGTTTCTCCAGGGTGACGGCACTCTGATCACTGGCTGACAAGGAGCTGGAATACAACTTGTGCTCTACCAAAGAAGCCATGAACCCAGGCATAAGACAGCATGCACCCAAAGGGGATAGCTTCTTCTAATTCTTACAAAGATGTTGCAGAGTCCCAAAGATCAACTTATTTAGAAGCAAGAAACCCTTAAGTGAGTTCTGGACCTTGAGTAGAAGTGACCTAGGTGAAGAGAGGAGGGACTATGTGCAAATGTTGTGCATGAAACAATGCAGTACAGGAAAGAATGTAAGAAAGTCATGGCGATTAAAGTCAACAAAGCAAGGGAACTGCTGCCAGAGTGGTATGGCTACAAGCAGAACTTGCAGACCATGCTTTGTCTTTATCCTACAAACAATGAGAAACCACTGGTAGAATTAAAGAGTTTAAATGGATGGCTTAATTAGAGTAGGATGGTGGTATTTGTCCTCAGAAGAATGGGAAACCACTGGAGAGTTTGAAGCCTGGGAAATTATGATTAAATTCATGTTGTGAAACGAGCACTTTGATTACAACATAGGAAATGGATTGTTGGCCAACGTGAAACATCAGCAAAACTCTTATGAGGTTGTTATAAGGTTATAAAGTACTCTTAAGTTTTTTAAATGAATTTGCTGTAAGTTTTAGGTAAAGACATTTGTTTCTCAGAGTGGTGATGGAAAAAGAGGAGAAATTTGCAAACCTAAATGATAGGTTGGATAAAGGGTGGTAAGGGAAGGGAGGATGTCAAGGACATCCTCCTGACTTCCCCAGCTGAATGTTTGTAGGTGGGTACCACTAACTGAGATAAAGAGCATGGTCAGAATGGGTTGGAGAGGGTGATGAGTTTGCTCTTGGTTACACTGAGTATGGAAACTGGAACACTGGGATGTCCAAGAGTTTTCACATATAATTTAGCAACATAATCTTAAGTTCCAGGAAGATATCTAGGGTAAAATAGAAACTTGCACAACTGGCATATTGACAATAACTGAAGACATGGGTGCAAATGGGTGCCCCCAGAGGGAACACAGTACATATTTAGACTGAATCTTAACTGTAAAGCTTAGAGTAAAAACGGAGAATAATGTGAGTCAGATGAATAGGTAAGGGAGGGTTTTTATCTGACCATATTTAACAGGCAATGGTAATGATCCAGGAAGATGTATTTATGATAAAATTTCATATTAAATTACTATTAAACTTAATGAACATATAATTGTAAATATCAAATAAATGACATTATGACATTTAAAAATGATTTCACAAACTGAGAAACAATATGTCATGCAACATATGGATATGAAATAAAAATTACATTTATGTTTAAAATGATTTTCTTCTAATCTTGGTTAATTTCACATAATTCCTTTCTTCTTTTTTTTTCTTTTATTATTCATATATGCATACAAGGCTTGGGTCATTTCTCCCCCCTGCGCCCACCCCCTCCCTTACCACCCACTCCGCCCCCTCCTTCTCCCCCCCACCCCCTCAATACCCAGCAGAAACTATTTTGCCCTTATCTCTTATTTTGTTGTAGAGAGAGTATAAGCAATAATAGGAAGGAACAAGGGTTTTTGCTGGTTGAGATAAGGATAGCTATACAGGGAGTTGACTCACATTAATTTTCTGTGCGTGTGTGTTACCTTCTAGGTTAATTCTTTTTGATCTCACCTTTTCTCTAGTTCCTGGTCCCCTTCTCCTATTGGCCTCAGTTGCTTTTAAGGTATCTGCTTTAGTTTCTCTGCGTTAAGGGCAACAAATGCTAGCTAATTTTTTAGGTGTCTTACCTATCCTCACCCCTCCCTTGTGTGCTCTCGCTTTTATCATGTGCTCAAAGTCCAATCCCCTTGTTGTGTTTGCCCTTGATCTAATGTCCACATATGAGGGAGAACATACGATTTTTGGTCTTTTGGGCCAGGCTAACCTCACTCAGAATGATGTTCTCCAATTCCATCCATTTACCAGCGAATGATAACATTTCGTTCTTCTTCATGGCTGCATAAAATTCCATTGTGTATAGATACCACATTTTCTTAATCCATTCGTCAGTGGTGGGGCATCTTGGCTGTTTCCATAACTTGGCTATTGTGAATAGTGCCACAATAAACATGGGTGTGCAGGTGCCTCTGGAGTAACCTGTGTCACAGTCTTTTGGGTATATCCCCAAGAGTGGTATTGCTGGATCAAATGGTAGATCAATGTCTAGCTTTTTTTTTCTTTTATTATTCATATGTGCATACAAGGCTTGGTTCATTTCTCCCCCCTGCCTCCACCCCCTCCCTTACCACCCACTCCACCCCCTCCCTCTCCCCCACACCCCCTCAATACCCAGCAGAAACTATTTTGCCCTTATTTCTAATTTTGGTGTAGAGAGAGTATAAGCAATAATAGGAAGGAACAAGGGTTTTTGCTGGTTGAGATAAGGATAGCAATACAGGGCATTGACTCACATTGATTTCCTGTGCGTGGGTGTTACCAATGTCTAGCTTTTTAAGTAGCCTCCAAATTTTTTTCCAGAGTGGTTGTAGTAGTTTACATTCCCACCAACAGTGTAAGAGGGTTCCTTTTTCCCTGCATCCTCGCCAACACCTGTTGTTAGTGGTGTTACTGATGATGGCTATTCTAACAGGGGTGAGGTGGAATCTTAGTGTGGTTTTAATTTGCATTTCCTTTATTTTGCAGAAATTTAACAAATGATTCAGGGTCAATTAGATTAAAGCTTGAATGTGTACGTGTATGTGGTTCACACTTTCCCCTAGACAGGGTCTTCTCCTTATGTCTCCTAGGCTGGCCTGGAACTTCTGCCTCCCAACTGCTGAGATTACAGGTGTGTACTACCACGCCTGGCTTTTATTTTTTGCTTGTAAGCATATTTCCCATTTTATGTCTCTGATGGGAAAACAGGGCACATCTGAGGTACTACTACTGACAGCTCCAAAGGTTAAGTAGGAGAAGGAAGGTTGAATGTGAAGGAGAAAGCTGGGGTTACTCTTTTGATGCAGAACCCTCTGTCCTAATCACCGAGGCTCGGGCCTCCACAAGGCTTGACCAGTCCTCCTTGGCGCTAGTTGACGCCCAGCAAATGTACCCAGTTCTCTGCTCTGAGCCCCCGCCCCCTGCCCCTTCTGCAGTTCTTCCTAAGAAGATGTTGGTTATCAGCTGTGGGCCTCTTCCCCTTCCATCCTCTGCACCTCAAAATGTCTTGAGTCTTCTGGTTCAGAAGGAAAGGGCCTCTGTTTTCAAGGCCAATCTTGTCCCATCTCCAAAGATCCTCAGAATCATTCTTTCTTAAAGTTCAAAACTGTTTTCTCACCTAAAAAATTAGCTAGCATTTGTTGCCCTTAACGCAGAGAAACTAAAGTAGATACCTTAAAAGCAACTGAGGCCAATAGGAAAAGGGGACCAGGAACTAGAGAAAAGGTTAGATCAAAAAGAATTAACCTAGAAGGTAACACCCACGCACAGGAAATCAATGTGAGTCAACTCCCTGTATAGCTATCCTTATCTCAACCAGCAAAAACCCTTGTTCCTTCCTATTATTGCTTATACTCTCTCTACAACAAAATTAGAAATAAGGGCAAAATAGTTTCTGCTGGGTATTGAGGGGGTGGGGGGAGAGGGAGGGGGTGGGTGCAGGGGGGAGAAATGACCCAAGTCTTTATGTACATATGAATAATAAAATAATAATAAAAAAAATAACCAGTGGGGAAAAAAACTGTCTTCTTCCAGACCTACAATATGTTTACGTCTCTGCTGTTAGAAAATGATTGTGTTTGCTCTTGATCCCTCTTAATTCTCGGTACATCATCAGGGTCCCCTGAATCCAATTTTATTTTTCTAGCTTCTTTCTTCACTAGTTTTAACTATGTGTAAGGATTGATACTTCATGACTTTTATTCTTTAAAGACAAAATGTACTTTTAAAAATATGTACAGGACCAGCACTGGTGGCTCACACCTGCCAATAATCCTAGTTACTTGGAAGGCAAAGATCAGGAGGACCTTGGTTTAAGGTCAGCCAGGACAACAAAAGTGAGACCCTATCTCAAAAATACCCAACACAAAAAAGGGCTGGTAGAGTCGCTCAAGTTGTAGAACACCTGCCCAGCAGTTCAAAACACAGTACTGCAAATAAATAAAATATAAACAAACAAATAAAAAACAAAATAAGTAGAATAAAACTCATTCTGCTTGCAATTCCCATATGGACTCACCACACCCTTTTATAAACCTAATTTGTAAGGTTTTTAATGATCTTATTTTTTTTCTATATCTTGAAACATTTTGCTAGTTCATCATTCTAGGAGTTATCCCATTACTTTTTGTCAACTATTCCCACTATGCTAAAAACAAACAAAATTAAAAACAATGGGATCTCCCAGAAGGACAATGTAGTAAGAGAAATAAATCTTTGCCTTTTGGTTTTCCTACTGCTTTGTCCAAAGCAAGGTGTCACCATCTTTCAAGAAAGCTCAGGCTCCATTGCTAGAGTTTGCTCTTAGCTTCCACTGAATATAGTAATAATATACAGACATTCTCATTTCCTAGCAGCAATAAAAAAGAGAAGGGAACTGACAGCAGGAGCTGCCCGAAACGACAAGACGAAGGAGAGTCAGCGGAACTCCAGACTCTGAGGATGGGGTGTGAGTCCTTACATGGTCACACTAAGTGAATGTTCAGACTCAGGAATGGAATGAGTGAATGGACGATGTTATTTCTAGGACCAAAATGAAGCATGGTGCTCTGACTCAGTCATTTAACTGGAAGTACTCTTACAATATTTTACCACAAGAATCTGGACCATCTCCTTTTGCAAAAAGACTTATGAGAATATTCTCTTATTTTTTTATGGTGTTTGTGTGTCAAATTTTACACGAGAAATAATTTTGCAATGTCTTAATTCTTATGTGATATATATATACACACACACATATATTATATAATGAAATATTATTCAGCCTTTAAAAATTTTTATTCTTATTTATGATATAATGTGTCATATTATTGCTGCACTGGGGATATACAGTGGCATTTACCAGAAAGGAAATTCTCTCACTGTGGTAACAGGGACAAACCTAGATGATTCTGTGCTGACGGAGACTGCCAGCCACAGAAAGACAAGTATTGAAAGATCTTGCCCATATGTGGATCCTAGGAAAGTCAAGTTCATGGAAGCAGAGAACAGAGCGAGCAGTGATTGCCAGGAGCTTGGATGGGGAGTGGGAGATAGGCCAAGGGCACAGACTTTCAGCTGTGCAGGATGACCAAGTCCTGGAGACCTGATGTGTAGCACGGTGTCTAGAGCTAATGAAACTGAACTGCATGCTTGACATTTGCTGAGAGTAGGTCCTCAATGGTCTAACCACACACACAAATGGCAAATGTGTGAGGTGATGGATAAGTTAATTATCTTGGTTGCAGAAATCACTTGACAATATATATCAAAGTATGACACTGTATACCTTAAACATACGCACTTTTTACCAGTCAGTTATACCTCAATAAAGCTGGAAAAACTAAAATTATGACCTATATTTAAAACAACCTTTATTCAGGACCTGCCGAACTTATCAATTACTTGGCAAACAGTTTGAGGAATGCTTGTCATTACACTGGAGAAAACCTAGCAGTGAATCAGAAAGCTTCCTGGAGGCCGTTTACTCATCCTTTCTCTCTTCACACCAAGTCCATCTGGTGAGTTAATTAGTAGTAGCCAACTCTTAAATAAATAGAAGAAAGCCCTAGTCCTAAAAGGTATACAGATTGCTGAAAAATTATGATACAGTGCATCATTAACATTGCTTTGTTATTCAATTAATGCTGATGGAGATTTCATTTGTTTTCCTTCACCTTTTCATGGGAAAGTCAAGCTGTTAATAAACTCACAGTATTGACAACAGCAGCGAGCTATACCTAATCATTTTGATAGGCAGAAGTATCATATATCTAACTCCCACTGTACCTATCTCCCCCAGGCATAACAACTCCGAAAAGGAGGCAGCAAGGGGCTTACTCTCTGATGTGTTCTCATTGATTCTATAGACTTGTTCTGCCAGCTTTGTTGATTAATGGTTATCACTTGTCTGTGTTTGGGTATATATATTTCTATCTGTATAAAAATGCTCTAATGTAGGCAGGCATGTTTCAAAACTAAAAAAAATTCTTATTAAAATTTCTAATCAGGTTGTTTTTCACAGTCCCTTTATTCTCAGTTCTGCTGTTTATTGGTAAGCAGAAAACAAATGGTGACCTTTTTTTCAGCTCATGGAACAAGGTGCTGCTCTCCTTGCTTTTACTGCCAACAGCTCCCCAAAAGCAGTTAACCCAGTTTCTACTAGGTTCAGGGATGGAACACATTTCAGCACAGAGGAGCAGGCAGCAGGTGTCACACAGGTCATGGAAATAAGAGGACGGTAAGAGAACTTTCCACACTAGGACAAAGAAAGAAGGCTGTACATTCAATTCAGAGCCTGTGACAGTTGAGGCAGTACTGTAAATCTATATGGCATTGACAGTTTACAAATTTCACAATCGTCAGAGACATTTTCCCAACAGCATTCTGAGGGAGCAGTATGAGTGCTATTATCTCAGTTTTAAAGAAGAGGAGAGAAACTCCAGTTTGGAAAGGGCACTGAGTTACTTGCCAGCACAGTTAGTGAGTACTAAAGCCAGGAGCCCAACATGGCTCACAGGGCTACAGGCTGTGTCCTGCTGTATCAGATGCTGAATACTTAATCTGTTTAGGAAAAATCAGGTAACAAAGATGGCACTATGGCTACAGAAAATGACCTAGGGGTAAAGGCAAATGGACCTGGGGAAGAAAGCAGTGCTCATTTTACTCACACACTGTGCCCTGGGGCTGGTGCTGAGCAAGGGATCACAATCACAGTCTCAACAAGGGAGTGAGTAGAAAACAAGTTTAGAGTCACACTCAAAAGAGCGGTGGTTAGGAAGTCTGTGAGCACTGCAAACACCAGCTGCAAGGTGTTTAAGACTAGCTGCTGTCAGTCTGACTGACTGCTTTGTTAAGTGCAGAATTTAATTAGTATAAAGTACCCCATAAAGAAGGTTACCTGGTGCTGCTGTGAACTTTGTATGAAGTTTACTGGCGGCTCGCTTTGCTTACTCTTCAACCGTAAGATGTTATCAGCATATCCCCAGCTCAGGATGGCTGACCACTGAATGTCGGTACTGTTCATACTTCTTACACCTCAAGGAGAAGAAGAAATAAAAGTACTCAATTGTCACTTCTCAGTGGTCATGTGACAGCAAAGACAGTGGCAGGTTAAAGGCTGAAATTTATATAATATATCTTTCCAGGAAGTCATCTTGATCAGCCCAAGACGAAACAGTCTGGGTTAGTTTTGGTCCTTCTATGCTGACAGGATTCTAAGGGTTGAATCATATTCTTTTCCACTTTTGTTGTTTTTGTTGGGATTTTTTGGACTCTGAAATAAAATTTCAGTAAAGAAATTTTTATAAAAAACAGTGATTGTCAAGTTTACTCTATTCATGTTGTGAGCCATCTTTTCTTTAGAGAGTAAGTATGAGCCAAATACTACTCAGACAACTTTCTAGATGCCCAGTGCTGAATGCTCAGAATGGATATTTAGTCCTGGAAGGAGCTCTGCTAGGAGAGAAGCCATACCCAGCCTGCACAGGGGCTCTGGCGCAGCAGACTGTCATTGGTGGTGGTGGTGGTGGGGCTTCTATTCGTTTCTCACTATTTTTAACAACACAGTATTACGCCCTGTTGGCATTGAGACGTGGAAATGTGGTGCCCTCTCTCAGTGCTGCTCATCTTCTTGGCCTGGGGGCCACCGTGGTAAGCAAAGCATGATGCTGTGATTCCTGCACCTTAACCAGGCTGATGAGCTTCCAGAGGAGGAAGTGCTTTATTTGTTCCGGTAGCTAGTGGGCCTGCAGCACACAAATGAACAGGGCAGATAAACACTGTGTGAACGACTCAACAGCACGTTGAGTCGTAATTTGGAGATGCCTATATCTATATTTTTAAGTATAATAGCCAAACGTAGGCATCGGTCACACAGCAAAACAACTGGGATGTACTCACTTAAAACAAAAGCTCCTCTAGCATAAGGCGCTAGACAAAGGGGGCACACATCATGAGTCCTGAGACTCTCAAAATCTACTGTAATGCCCACCATGCAGCAGCGACTCAATTAACCACATTCCTCATTCACATTTTTCTTTCTTTCAGAAAAATAAGCTTTATCCAAGAGCACAGTGGTTCTTAAACAGGAATTTGCAAGAAAGCTGCTTTTTTCAGTGTACATGGTTTGCACTGGAGCCCAGAGACTCATGTACAGTGTATCTCAGGGGCTGAGCAAGTGTGTTTGGAGGAAACCCACCTCAAGCAATTCTGAGTCACAGTTTCCAAGGGACTGGCCTGTGCTGGTCTTAAGATCATTAAAACCACCTCAGTGTGGCTGGTGCAGTGTATTACACATGAACAGGCCCAAGCCAAACCACGCAGCTATCTTGTGTCACAGAGCTGACCATGTCAGCTGTGGCTTTTCACCTGCCCCCTCTGGGGTGCTTGTGCGGGCCCTGGTGTGAGGTCACATAGTGAGCACTCACACTGCCTGGTCATGGGGATTAAGGTCTGATGGATACCTACTTAGTACTTAGGAGGAGCCAGACCTTGCACTAAGCATTTCCATACATTGTTTCTCTGAATCCTCACATTAAATTATCCTGGGAGGAAAGGAAGTCATTCTGCTACTTCAATTTTACAGACCAAAAGCCAGAATCAGGAAATCACTGAGTAACTTTCCCAAGACTACACAGCTAGAAAATAGCAGAGTAGGGATGTTGTATTTCCAGAGGCCATAGCTGTAAAGGGCTTCTCTGCACACACCTACTTTCTGACAAATCCCACATCCTTTCTGTGGGGAAGATGCAGAATGAACATAGCACTTGAGGGAACCCCAGGGCTGGGGATGGAGTGGCAGAAGTAAGATAGGCTAAGAATTATGTAAGACACATTTAAATCTTGCAATGCTGAGTGGCAAAAGTGCTGAAGCTCAGTACTGTGACACCTTTTGGAGGGAGCACAACTGTGAGGGGCATCCAGGCCACAAGGCTGGCTTTCAGACAAATCTGCCAACAACTGACATGAGCTTGAGTGCCCTCAGCTCCTCATCTTAGCTTAAGCCCATGTCTGCAAAGAGGAGATTCTTCTGCATCTAGTAAAATGGTCAGTTTGGAAGGGCTAAGGGATTTCTTAAGTAGAAAACAGCCCTAGTCCTCTAGTGTCTGGGTGACACTTAGATGTATGAATAGGTCCCACTGCATAGCACTCTTCCATGTGGTGCTGGGAGCTGGTGGTGCGAGTCAGAGAAGGACCAGCTCCCTGGTTTGCTGTATTTGTCATGCGGCAGTGAGCTCTAAAGCACCCCATTTGTCTGTTAAACACACTTCTATTCTGGGGATCAAGAGCCTTGGTGTGCATTTCTTTCACGGGTGACAATGTTATCCTGTGAGCATGACCATTTATTCTTGTTCCCTCCAAGTCCTCCTTTCATTTAAAATGGAACTGTATTTCATTCTCATTAGTCTAAGCTATGTTTTAATTCTTACATTAAATAACCACAAATTAGAGCAGAGTTTTTCACCAAGGACTGAGAAAACCTCAGAACTCAAACACAGCAGCAGCCAGGTGAGTTGGAAACATTCAAGCCTCATGAACCATATCCCAGAGTGATTTTCATTGTTTTATTTTACCTTGCTCCTTGCTGTAGGTCATCAGAAGACAGAAATTTCGAGACAAACCGCAGATTGCTCTGGTAGGCAGTGCCTGGAGAGAACCAAATCTCTCTCCATGGGGCTGGCTGAAGCACACTACAGGCACTGGGGCGCTCGGGGAGCCTACGTACTCTCCCCATTTCAAGCCTTTTATCCATGACAAAGGGCTCTAAAACCAAGGAAAGTAATAATGATTTTTAAAAATGTGGTAAATATAGTATTACTTCCAATTTAAATTCTAAACAAAGTATGAGAAAATAGTCTGATTATAAACTATTTAAGAGCAAGAATTATTTTATACATTTTGATGTCCTTATGCTTACCATGTGGAAATAGGTGTTCCTTCCTTGGTTTTTATTCTGTGGCTCTAGCCTTGCTTGCATGGAAACACCTGGTTATTAATTAAAAATTCTTTGAGATTTGAGCAGAGGAAATAAAGTTTTACTAAACACATTTCATTCAGGCTAGCTGAAATACCCCAACTGAAGCTGATACCTTCAGGGGTAATTGAGAAGTATGAGAAGCCATACGTGCAAATGACAGAAATGAAGGTCACTCGACTATGAGGCCTGCAATCAGTAGACACCTGGGTCTCATCTGTGTGCCTGGAGCACACAGTTTCTCAGAGGATGCTCCATGAACAAATGGAAAAGAGCTTACTGTGGAGCACACCGAGAGGACCAGAGCACGTGGTGCTCCAGAAAGTGTGTTCTTCTGTTCCAGAGAATAAGAGCTCAGGTGGGCTGGAATAGTAGGGTGTGTGGGAAGGCTATAGAGAGGGACACTCACACCCGCCCATGAACAGTGAGGAAAATGTTTCTTCCATGTCAAGTTAAAATGCTTATCAAGAAGGAAATCCAGGGGAGAAAAGAGGCCCTTTAGAGTTCCAACACTTCTGTTCCTTTCATGCTCTTTTCAATTGTTTTATACTCTATTACAATCTCTTCTTTTTAAATGGATTTTCTGTTTTAGACATTTTAAAGCGTAGTTGTTTTACTTTCAACTTTTCAGAGGAAATACTACATAAATGTAGTAAAAATAACATACTAAGCAAAATTCAGTCATTTTGGTAAAAAAAAAACAAAAAAACACAAAAAACCCTAATAATTTTCAGTGCCATTTGCTTATGTTATTTTTCAAATGAAAAAGCCAGGCACTGGCCTCCATACTATTGCTTAAAAAGCATGCCCCTTAGAGGTGCTACTTCTTTGGCCAGACTGCTTAGGGGACAGAGTAATAGGCAGTTTAATGGCACGGAGTGGGTGAAGACAGTGGGCACCTGGAGGAAGGCTGGGAGCATTAGGAATGAGAGGTGAGCACTGAGTATTCTGAGAACAAACTCTCTCCAGTCTTCAGTCTACCATTGCTGAAGCTGAGAAAAGTGGTGAGCTCTAGTTATGATTTACCTTTCATAATCCCTCAACTCACATTTCTTTCATGTGAAATGCAGACTTTAAACCTTTTCAGTCACACAGATACAATGGCAATTGTTTTACACCATGGTTTGCATAAAGGAAGAATGCCTAACTTAAATGCCTCTCCTACAGTTTTGGTTATAACTCCAATAAGCAGCTCAAGCTCACACATGCACATCTGGGTCACGCAGAGGACCCTCTCACAGTACTGCTGCTCAGTTCAGAGCCTGTGGCTTGTGTTTGCATTCTGGGTGGATGCCAACTGGAGCCCCAGGAGAAGTACTGGGTGGGAGGTTTCACAGAGATTCAAGTCAAGAAAAGCAGTGGCATAAAAGCCGTAACACAGAAGTACAGGCAAGCTAAACTGTAAACTGCTTGCACCTGAAAACTCATTAGCAGAGACCTGAATGAAATGAGGGAGCCAACTGGGGATATATGTAGGGAGGGCCATTCGGGTGGAGGGAATAGTCAGTGTGAAGGCCCTGAGGTGTCAACGAGGCAGAATGGCACCACATTCCCAACTGCCAGCAGAGAAGTACTAACTTAAAACATCTAGTTAGTGCCAGGCATGGTAGTGGACACCTAGCACTTGGGAGGCTGAGGCAGGAAGATCCCAAGTTCAAGGACAGCCTGGACTATATATTGAGATCTTGTCTCAAAAAATCAAACCAAATCCAACAATAGCAATAAACCAACCCCAAATTAAAAAAACCCAACCCCTCCCCCAGCTAATTAGCAATAATAATAATAGTAAATTAGGTGGCATTTATTAATTTGGGAGGGTATATACTGTTAAATTATTCTGACATATTAAAGTAATGGATTATGGTAAGTGGTTAAAATGATTTGCAAGGTTTCACAAACACAAAATAAAATACAGCTTTCTACTGTGAAATACAACACTGGTAATTTGGTTTTAGTAAAACGACACTGTCTGTCACGTTCATGATTTCAAATGTAATTTTGAAATTTTACTAGTCAAATGAGTTTTGTCTGTCTTTAACATGCAAATTTGGCAGATGCAAGCTATGAGCATGAAGAATTCTCACGCAGAGCTCTGGGTGACAGATTTGAGCGGCGTGGCAAGAAATATTATGGAAACGAGGGCTAAGAAAACCCTCTGCAGCTACAAGTGGCTGCCTCTCATCAAGGCTGGGCTGCTTAGCTTCCAAGACAAGACTGCATGGGGTACGTTCAGGTGGCAGGGCCGGAGACTGAGCCTACTGTCGATTTCTTCTCCAAGGCCCTTCTGCCCTCTTCCTTCTCCCCTGCCCATGGCCATCTCTCCCACAAGCCCTTACACACTCGACAGCTCACACTCCACTATCTTAGGCTGCTTTGTATATGGAGAACTGAACATGCAAATCCTTTGTACTTTGAAGGTTGGCTTGCTTTATTTTTCAACTTCAAAGAAAGGTTATGCCTACTTCCTATTTTTACAGGCAAGATTTTCCAACATTACTATCTCGGGAGGCCAAAGAAGTGTGTGACGCTCTTTCTAAGTGTAAACCAAACCACTCCCACCTCTGCTCAGTGCTTTCAGTTGAAGACCACAAGCAGAAGCACTGTGCAGTTTCCAGTCCTTCAGTTCCTCTCCTCTTTCAGCACAATTCCATTTTTTCTCTGCTTTGAGAGGCTTTCCCCGATAAGAACCCTGTCCTCACTCCCTGACAGAGGCTACTGCCATAACACGATTAATTCTTCTTTCTTCTGCGCTCCCCAGGGCTCTCTTCCTGTTACTGACACAGCAGTTACTACACGCAGGACATCACTCTAGCTGCCTGTACATGTCTCGTACTAGCTGATGCAAATCTCTAGGCTGGGACCACACTATTCATTTCTGCATTGCTAGAGCCTGGGTGAAGAGACCTGGCATCACAGAAGTCCAATCAGATTTTGCTCAATCCTACAGAAACTGAAATGACCTACCGGACAGGTAATTTCTTTGACCTGTTCTCGGGTCTCTCTGAAAGCAAACTGCACTAACAACCCCACAGCAGCTGGAAGCTCTCCTTCGATGTTAAGCTTGGCTCCAGGTCTGTTGGCATGGGCTGTGTGGAACAGCTGGCGAGGGGTCTGCCCGTAAGTTTTTATCATGGTTTCTAGTGCTCGTCTCTGAACTGGATCTTCAACTGCAGAGACATCCATTCCAAAGTAGGTCTGCAGAGGAGCAGAGTGAAAGAAAGTGAGATATGGAGGATAAGGCAGACTCAGCAATAAGACTGGGGGCAACAACAGTTTGTTTTACTCTTTAGGCAATGGTTTACTCCTCTCTATTTCAAGTGCAAATGATTAAAAAATGCTATTGATCCAATTAACTATCACGAATGATCTTCCTGGGATAAGAATATTCAATGCTTCTGAATGCATGAACAAAAATAATGTATCTTGTCTGGTCTGCTTATAGGACATTTTAAATTTGGGGCCTGATAATATCATATAAGATTTCATGTATAATACCAAATTATTGAAGAAGGTACTTGCCCAAAGTGATACATAGGAAAGGCAGAAGTGAAGTTATGCTACAATGCTGGTAGATATTTCATAGTGGAAGTTGTCAGTGGACCTGGAAGAGCAGCACTGAAGACTCCAGGGTGAGTTCTATTAACGTCGCATTTTCCTTCTTGGTCAGATGGGGAGCCAGCATGTGTGCTTACTTCTCTATTTTATGGTAGCAGGGAGCAGTAGACCTGCTGCATGGTATGCATGCCCAGGTCAACAGCTCAGCCTTTAGCATTTAATCAGTCACAGCGACCATCACTTACATATCAAGATATAACTTTCCTATAAGTGCCCTTTAAAAAAGTTAACACGTATTTGTACTTAACTGGCAGATATCACGTTACATGAATTCAATTCTTCACATATCACGTTGGTATTACTTATTTTATAAATGTATACATTTAGGTACAGAGAGGTTAAGCTATTTGCCCAAGGTCATATAGCAAGTGGCAGCGTCACAGGGTGATGAGGATTTGAATTCAATCCTAAATTCAGAGACTGTTTGCTTAAATCACTATTACTTCATTTAGCTCCATGAATTAGTTCCAAAGAATTAATGAAAAACATCTAGTTAGATGAGATTATCTTGTATATTTCACTTTTCTGATACTTTTAATGTGAATTTTATATAAGATTAACTGAAAAGATGGTGCAAGATTATAGGCACAGAGTATATTGAGGTTAACGTTAAAACTTCTATTGCTGTAAAAGTTGCATTTTAGGATCACTATAAATGAATCTCAAAAATTATATAATGAGCCCTTGCCTTTATTTTATTCTTGATGGGGTTCAGGACATGCTACCTTAAAATATGGTGCTTTGGCATATGGAGACTTTTCAGCTGGAGGAACTAGAGGAATGTAAGAAGAGCCTGTGCAGGAAGGACTCGAAACTTCCCCTGACGTAGGTCAGAAGACTCTCCCTCAGTGGGAGGAAAGGAGCACCCTTTGATCCTGAGACTGATGGAGGCACCCAGAGAAGATGGGAACCTTCAGGCTTCACTATGTCCCTGTTTTCTGCACTTGGCCCATGCTCTTTTCTGCCCTGTCATAGTTCCCCATGATGCTCTACTCTTCATCACACCCAGCGCAAAAACACCCAGGTGAACCACTTGTTGGGGGCTTCATTTCCTCATGAAGGCTTATGTTAGTTTTCCTCTTGTTAACCTCTCTTGTTCCAGGAGTCCCAGTTAATGAGCCTAAGTTCACTGGGAAAAGACATAGGTATTTTTCTTCCTCCACTCACTGCCTTTCTGTATAAAATTGTTATTTGCCAAGTGACCTGTATTATCTCCATTTTCAAAGCATATATCTTCTAGAAGAGCCATTAGTAAAGCTGTCATTTTCTCTTTTAGTCTATAAATCTCTGAAGCAATTTAATTTTCTATTACCTTGGAGGTATTCAAAATAATTATGGAGCAAAATGGACTGAAGAGAATTTTATTTTTAGATTACTTTTGGGGACTGGATCATAAACAAGCCAAGATATAGAGTGTTTTAAATCAGTTCTGTGTGTGCATTTAGATGTATTTGACACAAACGCTTGAGGATCTGTCATAATCTACACAGACCATTACAGTTGGAAAGGAAGCCCAACATCAGTCTAATTCAACCTGCTAATTTTAAAGTATGGAAACAATGAGGTCAAATGTTTCATGCAGTGGAGAGAGCTTCCTCGAGCTCCTGTTCCTCCTGAACTTAACTGGGGGGTAGTTGGAGATACAGAAAGGACAAATGATGGAAGACAGACATGCATAAAGCTGCGGCCAGATGTGTTGGGTGCTCAGATGGAGACGCACAACAGACTCATTGCTTTTTTACTTCTCTTCTCTTTACTCTGCTTATTTTCTCATCTTTAAAACCTTACTTCTGAAGTCTTTCTTCTGTTCTGTTTTTTAAAGCCTTTTGCCTTAGATTCGCTATGTCCCATGTTCTCTCTTAGCTTTTCTTTAGCATAATCTCTCTTAAAGTCTTTGCCCTCAGATTTGCACTGTCCCATGTTCTCTGTTTAGCTTTCTTAAAGTCTTGGTGCTCAGACTTGCAGACAAACAACAGCAGCCACGTCTAAAACCTGCATTAGCATAACTCTTAACTCTTAAAGTCTCAGTCTTTAGACTTGCACTGTCCCATGTTCTCTTTAGCTTTTCTTTAGCTTAATTTTTCTAAAGCCTATGTATAAAGTTCTTGGTGCAGAAAGCTGCTCTGGTGGAGACCCAACAGACAGTAGCAGTGGCAGCCAACCAAAATCCCCCATCAAAACACCTCCCCCATCAAAAAACCTTGCATCCTCCTTCAGCAAGTCCTTTATATCCAGTGGTAAACAAGCAGGTGGTGCAACAGTTCTGGGGGAGGTGCGTGACACTGTAACAATAGAAACCTGTGTTCCCACTTCTCTGAATGTAAACAACTCAGGAAAAGTAGCTGTGATGCATTTTGCCTTCGCTCTCTTCTGTGGCTGGGGCCGTGCCAAACTCAGCCTGTAGATCATTGAGCACAACTGTGCTTATGACAAGTTCTCATAGGATTCTTATAATCCACTCTCCACAGTGGATGGTATCAAGAAATATGTCCTCCTCATGATTTGCTTTTTTAACCAACAGCTCCAAGGGGGTTCCTTTTCCTGGCCTCCAAGGAACTCCCCTACCACATCTCAGAACCTAGAAAAATAAATGTTTCCTACATAGAGAGGAATTTTTAAAAAATGGCTAATCTACCCAACAATACAAAAAAGTACATGCAAAAGTATAATGATTCTACTTGTAGGAAATTATCTTAAAGAACTAAAGAAGTACATAAAAAAATCAGGAAGAGTAAACAAATCCTGATTAAATATTCAGCAGCACACTAAATAAATTACCACACAGCCATACTTTGGAATGGTAAGGAGCCATTAAAATCATATGGAACAGTATCTAACAACATGAATAAATGTATGACAAAACTGTTCAGGTGAGGAAGAGGACTGATATTATTATACTAGTGGATATATACATATACATATATATATGTATACACACACCCATAGAAAAAAGTCTGGATGGTGGTTTTGAGATTTATCAGTGATATCAGAGCTTAGAAAAATTTTTTTTCCTTTTACTAGTTTATATTTTAAACATGTATTATCTCTGTAATGAGGAAAAATGATGTCACTTAAAAGCAGAACATGTGCACAGGATATGTGCAGAAAAGAGTCACCATAGAATGCTGACTCTCTCCTTGGGAAGACCTGCCTACCAGGTTGTCCTTGGCCGGTGTGTGGGAACTTGGATTTTAGGAGTCTTTCCACCATTTCCTAAGTGACGATGTGGCTCATTGGGCCTACAGTGCACAGTGTGGTGAATGTTGACCATCTGCTTTTCTTCTGGGAGGCTGGAATTTCAGTAGATGTCTATTTGACCAGCCCCAAAGAGATTCTGGACTCTGAGTCTCCAGCCAGCTTCCCTGGCAGACAGACTGAACATGTGTCCTCACAACTCATTGCTGGAGAAGGTCAATGTGTTCTTTGTGATCCAGCGGGAGGGGACTGGTGGAAGTTTGTGACTTGTTTCTCCCAGACTGTGCCTCAAGTTCCTTCTTGATCTCCCTTGCCGACTCTGCTTTGTGTCCTCTGCTGTAAAAACCTGTGCTGCAAGCAGTCTTTAAGTCTGTCTAACAAATCAGGGAACGTGGAGGTGGTATTGGGAAGTCCTAACACAGACAGTAGCTAAGATATTTTTGAAGAGATGAAATTTAAAACCTGAAAAATCTTGGATAACAATAATAACAATTTGGTGTAACTGACAATTCTCTTTGATAACGTGGTTTTTTTTCACTTTTTAAAACAATAGTTTATTTTATACTTTAAAGAGTTGAAGAGCTCTAATTAGAAATAGGTTCCACAAGTTCTTTTCTTCCTCCTTAGATAACTTGATTTTTCAAGAATATCCTATCAGCCAACCTTGAACACTCAGGCCCTATCTTACACGCGTGCGGCTTATTTTAAGAGCCACTTACAGCAGGATGGAAAACATTGATGGCTTGAACAGAAGCCTTCCCCTTCTGTTTGTACCCGAACACCAGGTCAATCCAATGGCAGATGTTCTGAGACACATGGTCAGATTCGAGAGCCTGGCGGTGGATGAGGACGAAAAGACGAGGATCGTTCCGGGCCCAAGGAGGAAGGTTGACGTGATTAACCCGTTCACCATTCTGACGCACACCAAAATCAAAACCTAAAGGAGAAGGTTAATATGAATATTTAACCTCCTCACAATGTGCTGCATTTGGTTCACTGAGCAGTTGGCAAGAGTTCTTGAGAACAGCTGATTGTACACAACCAGGAAGGCAGCAGCAAGGACTGGCTTGTTTAATAGAAAACATCACAGCTCATTATGTGGACAGATGTTACCCTGATTAAATCTGAGATCTTTCAACTTCATCCTTCTTCCTTTTTATAACACAATGAACAAAGAGCAGAAAACCACTGCCCACGAAGTTCAATGCCCACTAATGGATCTTTAAATGCAGTAAGTGCTTAAAATGTCTATTCAACTGTAAATCTGATTAAAATCAAACTAAGGCTTTATATGAGCATTTCTGGATTACTAGTGCTAACATTTTAATAAATTTAAGGCTATTTATATTCAATAAAAGTTAGTTTAAAAACCCAAGAGCAAGTACGCACAGCCTTAGAATGAACTGTCACAGCCTACTGATTTTATGGTAAACCTACAGGTCTGCTCTGACATCCTTTCTAATGAACTATTCCCATAGAAACAAAACATAATATGAGCACACTCAATCACAGGGCTATTCCGTGGTGTAAGTGATCTTATGTCTAACTGTATCATTAGCCTTCTAGTCTAAAAAAAGAATCTTAGAAGTGTTTATCTAAACAAATTGTCTTAGAAGAACTACATTTGGAAGTGGATGCAGTAGTCACTCCTGCAATCCCAGCACCTGGGAGGCTGACACAAAGATCACGTGAGATAAAGTTAAGGAAAACAACCCAAAGCTAACCCTTACTGCTCTTCTACTAAAGAACAGGGAAGGGCAGCAACGGTCACCGGTCACTGGCACAGCAGAAGTTAGACTCCACCCTCCAGAATTACTTTGGTTGTTAGATATTCTGCTTAGAATGTTTTATTTCTGTCTCTGACTTTCCCATAAAATAATTTAGATTTTAGCTAATTTACATTTTGCTTTCAGTAAAGTCATGACTCTTAGTTTTTAATAACTTTTATAATTAGAAAAAATAATTTGTGTAATAAAATTGAAATACATGTCCACAAATAATTTCAACAGTTAAAAGTTACAGTCTTCCAAATATATTTAATCCTATAAAATACTAAAAATCTTCAAGTTCACTTGGCAATAAAGAAATGGATTTCTCTTATTTGGGGGCTCAAACTTTGTGACTTAGAAAGGCTATTTTTATTTTTTAAAAAATTACATCATCACCACAAACCCTGAGAAATAAAACTTGGAAATGACTTGTTACTGTACCTTCACGGTTAACTAAGAACTCGGGCAGATAGAAAAACTCTGGGATGAGCTCCTTCACATCCGTCATGGATTCAAATGAAGAGAGGCGCCAGGTTGTGTTTGTTGAATGAAAAGTTCTGTCTGGGATGTCAAAACTTTGATCTACAAAGAGATACAGTTAATACAACTAAGACAAAAAGACTTAAATTCATTTGAAGCCTGTCACGGCTTTTGTACTTCAAACAGGATAAAATAGGACTAGGAAGAGTGGCTTAAGTGATAGAGCTCTGGCCCAGCAAGTGCAAGCTTGCTCTCATTACGGCAAAAAAAAAAAAAAAAAAAAAGGAAAATTTAAATTCAAGTAGGTAAACAGTTTCTTCAGAGAGGATGACGATAGAGAATGAATATGATCAAAGTACATGTGTGTGTGAAAATGGCACAGTGAAATCCACAACTGTTAAAAGGAGGGGAGAGTCAACAGAGATGGGGAGGGTTTGATTCAAGTGCACTATGTGCATATGGGAACATCACAATGAAACCCCACTGTACATCAGTGCATGCTAATAAAAGTTTTTTTTAAAAAAACAGTTTTTTCCTTTTTAGGAGGGAAAGTTATTCCTACTCCTCTTATTGTTAAGATAACTTTTTTTCTGTTTTCCTTTTTTTTTTAAAAGGGTGGGGGGACATTCCTTTTTAGATGTTCCAGCTCTGAGGTAAAGCGTTGAGTAAATTTCTTACAAATGAATATAAAATTAAATGTAGTCACTCTTGTTATTTTTTTCTGGTGCAGCCTATTAATAATTAGAAATTTTCTGTTAACAATGATCAAATTCTCCAGCCACAAGGCTGGCCTAGAAAATGAAATCTACACAAACGCTGGTCCAGGAAATGTCACCAGTGCACGCGCTTCTCAGGAACTGTGCTGCATCATCTGCAACATCTCTGAAACTGCTAAGCTGAACACTCTTTTCATGTGGAGAGTGTTGCAGGTAATTTCAGTATCATGGACAGTGGGGTCTCAAAAGGATCTGCCACTTTCTTCTCCATGCCTTCTGTTACTTTCTCGCCTACTCTGTTGAGTCAGTTAGCACTATCTGGCCACTAAATAAAGCCTGAGAAAAAATAAGATTTATGAATGTTTACTTCTTCTCAGACCATGTGCGGGGCCATTCTGTCAGGCCATTGTGTAGCCACAGCACCTAAGGCTGATACCAAGAAACTATGGAACAAGAGAAGCACAATGGGTTCTGTTCAGATTTTAAGATTCTCTGCCATTTTCTAAATTTAAAAAAAAGTACTACTCAAATTCCTGTAATCTAGAATATGCATATGCTAAATCAGTGGCTCTCAAGAGCCACTTGAGTCCTCCAGGGGTTATCTGACAATGTCTGGAGATGTTTTTGGTTGTCATAACTTGGGGTGGGAATGCAGATGTGCCACTGGAATCAGGGGTAGAGGCCAGGGATGCTGCTAAAATGTCCTGTAATACACAGGACAGCCCCCCTCAACAAAGAAATTATGTAGCTCAAACTGACGAAAGTGCCAAGGCTGAGAATTTCTGGATTAACCCATAAATCTAGAAATAAATGCAAAGCCAACACAAATCATTTTAAAAGGGGATTAAGGTAGTAGCAGGGTTTTAAAAAATCTACACGTAAATACACAATGAAGAAAACCTAGTATTACATACAAATGCATTTATAATAGCAATATGAGTGAAGATTGATACACTCTAGTTGGTTGGAAATTTTATGTCAATGGATTCTTGGGTTACATTAAAGGAAAAGTCTTAAGGGCTAGAGATTAGCTCAGTGGTAGAGCACTTGCCTAGTGGGCAAGGCCCTGGGTTTGATCCCCAGCACCAACACACATACCAAAAAAAAAAACACAAAGAAAGAAAAAAGAAGCATGGTCTTAGATGGAAGATAATAGTTCTGCTAAACAGTGAAGTGGCTCCAAATCACATCCAAAATATTCTTTTTTTGTCTTCGCTTCCATTTTTAAATAATAGCACTTATAAATCAGAACTTGTCCAGAAAGATCTTCAGAATGGCATCAGGTTTGGAAACCATAGCAAACAAAGATGGCTTAAACATTAGTTTTGAAAATTCTTCACAGAGTTGCCTCATTTAGTTTTGGTACTCCTTGCAATAGCTGGGATAGGACCACATACACAGGAGGCTCTCAACCTGCTGTGCAGCTGACAAGGTAAGAGGGAGAAGAGGGACAGGGTGATGATCTTACAACACTTGAATAGCTAGCATGCGGAACATTTGTTCTGTGTATTTACAGAGGAACAAATATCAAAAAGCTCATTTCATAGGACAAGCAGAGAGAATATAAACTCGTTCCTCCAATACCTTGTATCTGAATAAAAAACATAAAAATGTCCAAGAAGGGTTGTATAAATCAAATGGATAAATGATTTCCTAAAGAATTCTGGGTGTCATGAGGAACAACTATAGAGCTAATACTCCAAAGTTCTCACTGGAGGGTGACAAATGAGTGTGTCCCTATTTGCATGCGATCGGTAAATTCACCCCCAAATCATCTTCAGGCCTGCAGCTGTCACTCGCTGTGCCAAGGTGGAGAATGATTAGCAGACAGCTACTGCAGGGAAGGTGCCAATGTGGCCCGCCTATTAACTAGTGACAATAAACAGCAACACGCCTTGTAATAAACAACAGTACAAATAACACACATAGGCTCCAAAGGTAAGTCTGTGATTTGAAGTATTAGGTTGAAAGACTTTAAAGGGTAAATTTATGGTTTGTGAATTATATCTTGATTTTATAAAAGTGAACTGCATTTTTATTAACTCAGACCTGTTCAATTTGAAGCTGACGTGTGAGACAACAGCTCATATGTAGCTTGATTTACTACAGCTTTTTCTGAGGAGAATTTTGGTGATAAAATAAGAATTCCTGGGGTTTGTTAGTTTTAAGAAGCCAGTGAAGTTCTTTTTTCCTGATGATCCACTGTGACTTTTTGGGTGACTATGAAAAACATCCTTACCTTGATATGCTAAAAACATTTTTGTGAAAGGAGGCATCCTGACCAGGAAGTGGAGCACAGTACCACTGTTGGAGTAATGGGAGCCGTAGTGATAGGGCTGCACAGGGGGCATGGGGTCATCTTCCCTGGCTCCTTTGCGGTACTCTTCTTCTAAGTACTGAAGGGCACAGAACCAAGAGGATTCGTGATTGTCCACTCTAGGCACAGCCAGAAAAACATCTTTCCTGTCCTCTTCTAGCACCCCTTTGATGCCACGCTCCATGGCTTGCTCTCTCACTCATGTCTGGATGTCTCCACCACCTTGAGCGTCTAGTTTTCTCCAACCCTGCCGAGGCCTGGCCATGTGAGAACCACCTACCATTCTGCAACTCCACTCTCACTCCCTCGCAGGAAACTCACTCTTGCATCTTTACTTCATGCCCCAGCTCCCAACGCACTCAAAAACTGAGAGCTGCTCTAGAGCTGCGCAATTAAAGGTCTCACCACATAATGCTGTTAAGCAGAGAAAGGCTTCTCCAGAAGTGACATGCAAGGGGAACGGGCAGACATCACATGTCATCAGTAGTCTTATGACATTTGGGGGCTATTTTTGCAGTGTAGTTATACAGAGATAAAAAAGAATGTGGTGCTCTTTGCCTATTTCTATCCTGCCATCGTAAAGTGGCAAGCTCAAGCACTTTGCATCTGTCACTGTGTCCCTCTCTTGTAGTTTGTTCCTGATAACAAGGCCAGGTGAAGTGAATTTCTAAGATTCACTTCTTGACTCCCTCAGACCGCTCCATTTTCAACTGCAAAAGAATCAGCGACAGGCTAAGGGGCCTAGAAGGACATTTCTAGAACTGTGACGTAAATAATCAGTGAGTGTGAGAAAACTGTTTCTGGTGCTCTTGTCTTGACACAGCTGTGAAGAACACAGTGTGTGGAAAGTGAGTTTATTTGAGTTTCCAAAGAATTCACTGACCTTAATTCTACATAAACAGATAATTCTCTTCTATTGAAACAGATAGTCTAATTTCTACTTAGTAATTTTAAAATCTGACAAATTTCTCCTTTAATAAACTAATGAATCATTTTCTGAATATGGCTAGTAAGAGTGATGGTACAAATAAACATTACTATTCAATAGTATAATAATATATCAACTTATTATATTAATATTAATATGAGAATATGGATATAATTATATAAAAAGCACTAGAGGATATGAATAGTGGTCCCTGGAAATCTTTGCATCTGAATAAATAAGAAATACAATTTGCATTTGAATAAACAATGGATTACTAGCTTTTAATTTATCCTCAAATAAATTCTCTTTCATAGCTTTCTAAAAGGGTTCAGAGAATTAAGACAGAAAATGATTTTTAATTTCATATAATGATTTCTAATTGTCAAAGTACATAGAAAAATAAATACTTTTATAAACTTAAAATTAGGTAGAGCATAAGTCTAAAAAACAAAACAAGTATTAGGCAGAGAAATTAAAGCTACCTTGTATGTGTCCACATAACGATCTTCTTTTTCTTTATACTGCACAGCTATCGGTTTAGAGAGATTTCTACAAAGGGAAAGATGATGGAAAAACACAAAATAATTTGAGACTGTTTAGATTAAGCTGCCTACGTCTGCATCCTGTAAATAAGTAAGTGATCAAGATGTTTCACCCTTAGTTTATCTGCTTACACATGATGCTTGGCAACCAAGAGTCATTATTCAAAATTATGACCCTATAAACACTTGAGGTAGAATTCCCATGGATCTGCCCTAGTGTTAGGAATTCCTGACTCGTGTCAACAGGAAGTGCTCGTTCTACCTGTGCAGCCTCCTCAGAATCACAAGTGACCCTGTCCACGTAGTCAATTCCTCTCAAGCCTTGGGCCAGCTTGTCCCTTCTAGACTCTACATCCCATCATCAGGATGAGTAAAGCCATGTTTGGACAGAAATTATGATCAGGAGGAGATGCTAGGGAATTATCAGCCTAGTCAGTAAAAACTGAAGAAACAACACATGCTTAACATGGCCACAATGAGTGAGTATGGAAATAGTCTAAGTAGATGTTGAGTGACATAGCTGCACCCTGGGTAGGGCTTATGCGTACAATGTGAACGTGTCCATACTGTTTTCACACCATGTGAACACCACACACCATGCTTGGAGAATACAAGGAACATGTCCTCACTTTTCCGTTACAGAACCCTGCATGCTGGAGGCATGGCTGAGGACGTGTGCCTGGTGCAGGGGTGGGACCTCCTGGAGTTTCAACATGACAATGTACTAGATCAACAGTAAGATTTGCTCCAGGTTCAGTAAGCCAAATCAGTTCTGCTCACCCAGAGGTTAAGAGGTAAATGATTATTTCCTAGGAATATGGACATACTGATACTAAATACTAACTCTGCTGTTGAGACTCTTCTAATTCTAAAACCTGTTAAGGTTTTACAGAGTAGATATGTATTCATATACCAAAAGGAAAGACATGTTTAAGATCCTGGCACACAGTTTTTCATAAATGCCTTAAAGACAGGAATTTTGGACACAAACTGTATTAACTGTGTGGCTGAAAAGTCAGAAATTACAGTTAAGCCAACAGAATAAACCCAAACCAGCCACAATGCTATTATCTACGAGTAAAACATTTTGATATATACTTGTTTTTCTGCTAATCTGTACATGCATATTTACTCTTGGTACCAGGGATCAAACCCAGTCTTGTATATACTAGGCAATTGCTCTACCACTGAGCTATATCCTGGCCACATATTTACTTTAAAAAAAATAAAAAGAGTATCTTTCTGTGCATATAATATACACTCTTATACCAGTATTTAATTTACAGTATTCAAGCTGTAACAATGTATTCAAAACCTAATATGGGCATTCAGCTTGTTTCTAAATTTTAGCTGCCTTAAAGAATTATGTGAGGAAGAAACTTATGGCTAAATCTTTTCATGCCAGACACCAGGACAGCGCTGACCCAGGCAGATGCAGTTCCTGGCCTTACGAAGCAGAAGTGGGTGGTGGAGCCTTCTAGGTACAGTCTATGTCCTTCATGCTTCCCAAGAAAAAGCATCTAGATGCTGGGCTGCTAACACTAAGTATGCACATTTGAGAATCCTTATATATACAGTCAAATTGCCTTCCAGAAAGACCATATCTATCTATATCAGCAATGTGCAAAATGTTTAAATGTCTACCAGCAGTGTATAAAAATGTCTGAAGGAGAAATGGTGTGCCCTATGCTCTTTTTAAAGTGACAGAAGCATTAAAAGAAACCTGATTTCTTACTGGCTCAACAAGATCTAGTTTTTTCAAAGTTATAATGAAAACACTAACATACACGACAAGTGAAATATTAGAGTCAAGTTTTCTTTAAATGAGAATTTTTTTCAAAACAAACATTCTCTCAACTAGAGCTACTTGGTCACTCTTTCATCAGGAAAGGCAAAACAAACACTAAATTCTTTCCCTTTAATTCTCAAATTTCTAAGTAAGGGACTGGTGCTCTAGTTACCTCCATTGGGAGCAATGAGCTTTATTTTTCTTTGCTGTGTGCACGTGTGTATATGCATTATGTGTATGAGCATATGTATGTGTGCCTGTCTCTGTATGTGTGCGTGTATGTGTGCTTGGTCTTTCAAAAAGTACAGGGTGAGCATTCCTTATCTGAAGATATGAATCTGAAATGCTCCAAAACTTGAAGCTTCTGTGAACACATTCAAAATCTCAGGTATTGGAGCCTTTCAGGCTCATGGTTTTAGGTTAGGGATGCTAAGGGATACTTACTCTGTGTAATTATAAACAAATGTATCTTTTCAATGTGCTTCACTTACTTGTCATTACTCTCTTTGATCCTCAGAATGTTCTGTATTTGGCAGTAAGAGGCATTTAAGTTTGTTTCTGTGTACTCTTTTTTCTTTTTTCAGTACTGGTGATTGAATTTAGGCAAGTACTCTGTGACTTGAGCCATGTCCCCTCACCCACAGTCTTTTTGCTTATAGTTTGTTTTTCAGACAGGGTCAGTGCTAACTTTGCCCAGGCTGGCATTGGACTGTGATCCTCCTACCACTTTTCCTGAGAAGCTGGAATTACAGATGTGTGCTACCACACCCAATTTTTTTCTGATGAGACGGGGTCTCATGCACTTTTTGCCTGGGCTGGCCTGAAACAGAGATCCTCCACATCTCAGCCTTCCCATAGCTAGGAGTTACATGTCTTAGCTGATGGTGACCAGCCCAGCTGGTTTTTGAGACAGAGTCTAGTTAATTTTTGCCAATGTTGGTCTCAAACTGCAATCTATCTTTTTTGTGCATGTTTGAAATTTTCCAAGTTTTCATAGTAGATAGCTTAGTGACATAAACACAACATGCAGATGGTCTGGAAGGGTGGTGGTGCTTTTACTCACCTGTAGACTGAGGGGTCACTGAGGTCCAGTGTCTCACTAACATAGTCAGCAAGTATAAATGGGAACACTGGGTACTGCATGAGGTCGTTGAAGGACCGGCCGGCATGCTTGTTTAAGTGAGTCAAATATTCAAAATTGGTAATCTGTCCAGCATACCAGAGATTCGTCAGAGCAGTGATGTTACCATATTCCAGAAGATTTGGGAGATTATTTGTGAGTATATTGTGGTACACATCATCACGGACCTAAAAGGGAAGGAGAAAAAAGACCCATGTATCTTGAGGCTTATTGGCACTTTACTCCAGAGAACATGGCATTACAAACATGGGACTAATCTTAAGTCCTCTGAGAAAGTACTTTTTGCACAAAACTACTAGCTGGTGGAAAGCTGAGAACTGAACGTAGCCTCCTCCAGAGGAGGACTCTCAGCCATTGTGCTTGCTGCTGGGGAAATCAGCCAATAAGATCACCTGGTGGTAACTGAGTTGTCATTCATAACTTCTCAGGAAGTTATGCTCAAAAGTCACTTATATACAGGTACAAAAAAATCAAGAAAAGAAAAAGAAGAGCTTTCTCCTAGTCAAATGCAGCATGGTGTTATAGAAAGGGCATGAGAGAACTAAAAGAGGCCAGGATACTCTCAGGCTCTTAGCTGGACACCAGAAAGATGAAGTTGCTATTTACTGAGATGGGACAACTGGAAGGCAATTTAGGAGAAGGATTAGAAACTTCAGTTTGGTACACATTAAGTTTGAGATACCAACGGTTAGATATGTGGCATTTGGGGGAGAAGGTTGGGCAATGACACACAGCTGTATGTTGTCAGGATACAGATGGCATTTTAAAGCCATGAGAAGGATGAGAAGAGGTCTGAAGAATGAGCCTGAGATGCCCAGGAAGAATCTGAAGACAAGATGAGAGGGATGGCTGGTTAGGAAAAAAGAGAACAGAAAGAAATCAGAAATCCTGAAGCTCAGAGAGGAAGCTGACTAGTAAGAAGAAAACACAAGTCAGCTGGGTCAAATGCTGCTGGTAGGCCAAGTGAGATGAGGACCAGGAAATATGACCAAGGTGGGGCAGCAACATGGAGGTCCTAGTGACTCTCACCAGAGTGAGGAGAATAATGTGACTGAAACATTTCAGAAGAGAGAAGAAGGGAGGAATTGGAGGCAGAAAGCACATGCAACTTTCCATGAGGCAAAGCAAAAAAAAAAAAATGGTAGCTGAAGGGATGTGGATGAAGGGATGGCTTCTCAAAAATGTACATTATGGGGCCAGGCACAGTGGCCCGTGCTGCAATCCCTGGTATATTTCTGGGACTTGGCACTTGGGAGGCCATGGCAGGATGGCTGAAGTTCAAGATCAGCCTGGGTAGTGAGAAAGCAAAAGACTCGTGGCAGGGCTCAAGCAGGAAAGTGCTTGTCCAGCAAGGACAAGGGAAAAAAATGATGGCCCTTACCACAGCCCTGAGTGACTTCGAACTACTCCTTTCGTCTTTGGGAGAATATGAATTGAACACACTTCTGGAGGTCAAAAAGAATCCTCATATGTGCAAGAGCTTACTTTATTAAGACTCAGAAATAAGACGATTTTTATTTGATTTCAGAACAGTGATTGAAGGTAAACCACAATTTACATCATCTATCCACTGGTCACTGATCACTAAGTAGCGCATATCTGTCACCAGGCTGACTTGCCTTGGTGGTGTCAAATGCCAGCAGCAGTGTCCTGCCATTTGTTAGGAAGATCTCCACAGCGTTGTCTCTCAGTTGCCACCAACGCCTGTGAACTTCTTTAATCTCTTCATATGTCCAGGAAAATGATGCCGGTTCTAACTCTCCTTGAAGGCTCTAGGACAAAGAACACAGACAAAAGCACTTGCTTTATATGAAACATGGTATCTTAATTTTACATTTTCAAGAACTATGAAAATGAAGTAGAATTTTTTTGTAGCAAAATGATACTTGATAGATGAGATTACCGAGAAAACCTTCCATTAGAAAATACTTCATATGCTAGATAAAATTTAGGATCTGAAAAGGATGAAGACTTTGTTTTTCGGATCAGTTTTAAGTTTCCAGGAACTTGAGCACTAGCACAGAGAGCCCATGTTTCCCTCCTGCATTATCCCCATGCCCCACACTCAGTTTCCCTATCATACGATCGGTGTAGAATATTTATTGTAATTGATAAAACAATATTGATGCATTGTCTTTACCTAAAGTCCATACTTTACAGGAGGATTCACTCTTGGTGGTGTATATTCTATGGGTTTTGACATTTAATAAGATGTATTTATCCCATTATAGTATCATACAGAATAGTTTCACTGCCCTAAAAACCCTCCCTTTGTGCTTCTCCTATTTCTCCCTTCCTCCCCTCCACTCCAGGCCATAACAATCCCATTCCTGTCTCCATGGTTTGTTCTTTTGTTTTTTTGAGAAGTCATAGAGTTGGAATCATACTGTATGTAGCCTTTTCAGGTCAACTTCTTTTGCTTAGCAAATCTTCTAAATGCATAGCTGAGTTTGCAAGAAAACAAGGGAAATGAACTTTCTAGAGTCAAAAATAAAAAAGAAATGTGAAACACAGCAGTAGAGAAGTGACACTAGTGCCTTGCTGTGCGTGTGTTTCTGTTCCCATGCATGTATGCATTGTTTTCAGAAGTGATGTGACTTAAGTTCGCAATCCACTTGAGGACAGAAGATGACACCTTGTCTTCCTTGGAGTCAGAGTGTTGAAGTGAGATTCCTTTAGAAAGCTAAACTCCATGAAGGAACACGTTCTCAATGAAAGATTATCAGCAAAGGGGAAAAATGGCAATTGGCCTGGCATCTACGTGGAGAATAGAAAAAAGCCTCTCTCTGAGAGCACAAAAAATCCGTGCCCACCAACAGATTTGGAGACAGGTTTTTAAACTACCGTATCTGCATAGCTTGGAAACTTCCCACGGTGAAACACAATTCCCATGCCCAAGTCACTCTGCACTGACCACTTCGGGTTTTGGAGGAAGGCTGCTGCTGCTACTAATGCAGCGCTCTTGTGAAGAAGTCCCAATGAACATATGCTCAGGTCGGCACAGGCAGAGCCTGGTGCCTCCAGGTGCCAGCAGATGGGAAGGAGACCCACAGAGTGAGCACTGGAGGCCTGGGTCTACTGCTGAGAATGAGTTCTGGCCTGCTTAGACCTTAGCCTGCCTGCACAGACCCCACTTTTGGGGATGAAGAGTTGAGGCCACAGATCCCACATGCCTTACCATCACTGGGCTCCTCTCAAGTGTAAAATCAAGAAAAACTTGAAAAAAAGGAGTGCAATCTTTTACAAGTTGCAGCTAAACATATGAATTATGTTACTCAATACTTGAAAAAAGCTTCTACTAAAGTGTAATATTAGAATTTATCTCCTCAAATAAACTGCATCCTACTTAACCCTCTCCCATTAGTTACCACTTTTGGAAAACTGTGTTTTCTGACTCCCTCTGTATTGAGTAACAAGAAACTCAGAGAAAAATTTAGAATTCAGTTATAATTACTATTTTATCCTAAGTTCTTTATTCTTCCAAATCTTATTTAAAATCTTAAAATTTGAATTGTTCTACTCTATTTGTGTGTTACTATTACAGTGGATATGAAATAATTTTCAGAAGTGGAGATATGGAATACATGATAAATAAAATCTTTTAACTTTTTTCTTTTGGTTTCAGTTCTGGAGATCGACCCAGGGCCTCACTGACCTTGGCAAGTGCTCTTCCACTAAGGTACATTCCACTCATAAGATCTTTTGATGAAACTGTAACACTTTCAAATTTAAGACCAAACTCCTCCTTTGTTTAGATTCAGTGTGTGTTCACTCATTCAACACAGATCAAGAAAGCAACTGTATAATAGGTACTCAACAGTCTGTGTAAAATAAATCTGAGTAAGACTTACTATCTTGCTGTGAATGCAAGATAGTAAGTGTTTTTTGAGGTGAAAAACACTACAAGAGTATGAAGGAATGAAGGGCTCTTCAATTTATTAAAAAGCAAGGCATTTTTAAAAGTCTTTTAAATGGGGAAATATCTTTTGGACACAAAAAATGCTATTTCATACATCAACTATTAAATTCTTTGGTTGATAGAAACATACATGTTTAAAAAAAACATAACTATACTTTTACTAGCTGGGACAAACCCTGAGGTAATTACCATATAAATCAAAAAAAAATGACTACTCAGTTTCTGGCTATCTTAAATATTTTTTTGATTTTTTTTCACATTATTTGTTTCATAATCAAATTGTTTTCACTCATTAATTTCATTAAAATCAAATACATAAATAATCATTAAGCCACAGATAACTTCACTTAGGAATCCATGGCATTAAATTTTTTTGAAACAAAGGACTTATCTCCTATTATGTGAATATAAAAACACTTTAATGGTACATAAGGTAATTCAAATGGAGAAAAGATTTACTACATAAAAGTGTGAGGGAGAGGATGGGAGGAAAAGGTGCAGGAGGTGAATGTGGTGGAATATTATTCACTCATGTATGAAAATGGAAAATGAGACCTGCTGAAACTATTCCAGGAATGGGGAAGGGAGGTGAATGATGCAGGGGGTGAATTTAACTAAGACACATTGTGAGTACCTTTGTAAATGTCACAATGTACCCAGTATGACAGTAATATAATAATTTAAAAAATGTGAAAGTCTTTTCTATTATTTTTGGTATTTCCAGAAGGACACGATTTAGCATTACTAAGCTATATGTTATCAGGGTGATTTAAGCTATTCAACTATATAAAAATTTCCTTTCTTTTTTTGTCTGTTTTTGGTAGAACTGGAGGGGCTGAACTCAGGTTCTTGCACTTTGCAAGGCAGACACTCTACTGCTTGAGCTATGCCTCCAGCCCTTTTTGCTTTAGTTATTTTGGGGATAGGATCTTGCATCTTTGCCTGGGCTGGCCTGGACTGTGATCCTCCTATTTACGCTTCTCACGTAGCTGGGATGACAGGCACATACCAACATGCCCAGGATAAGGTGAGATGGAGTCTCAGTGACTTTTTGCCAGGGATGGTCTCAAACTGTGATTCTCCAGATTTCTGCCTCCCAAGCAGCTGGGATTAAAGATATGAGCCACTGCACCTAGCCCCTTCTTTCTTTTTGAAGACAAAGGTACTTGATAATGAACTGTGAGCAGCAGTAGCACTCTTGCTACTGAGGAGAGTGATAAAATAATGCACATGAATTGAAATAATAGCAAAACATTAGAATTTGAATCTTAACAGTAACTGCTGAGACTCAGGCCCAAAGCCATAGGAGTGGCATACCCTTCTTTTTAAAATTCCCTTTTAAAACATGTTTGCAGATCAGACTGATACACATGTACAGTGATGGTAGATGAGCTCTAATAGTTCTGCCCCATCTCTCATTAAGCTGGATTTATGTAGTTTTTAAATCTGTCGGGGTTTAATATAAGTAAGTCTCTACTCACCGAACTTTCAACTGTATCAGAAGCATTATCTTCTACAAAATACATTCCACATTTACCTGCAGAAAGTAAATGGACAGAAGAATTTAGAAATATCATATGCATCCATATGTGGATCTCTTGGGTTCCTTGGTTTGAATGTGACTCCCAGGACCTAAAAATAGTTCCAAGCACTCAATAAATACCATCAAACAGTGCCTGGAAGATCTCAGGCAAGCTACTCATGCTCTCTGTCTTAGTTTCCTTATTTTAAAAAGTGGGGGTGGGGAGGCTATTCTTCAGAGCTACTGTGGAAACTCTCTCAGAATACAAACAAAATGCTTATCAATATGCCTAGCATTTAATGCTAAGTAAATGTTGGCTATTTGTTATCACCATTACTCTTCTTATATTACAAACATATTGGTTTGCTTTATTCTGTCACATTAACTGAAGTCAAGTGGTAAACCTAATTTTCTTGCAAAAGAAAATTAACAATCCTTATTAATTCTCTGATTGAGTCATTCAATAGAGCAAAGAAGTCCCTAATTTTTTTCTGCATCCTAGGTGGGCTGCTGCCAACATATATCCCCATACTGTGTTTCAGAATGTTAGGGACAGTGACTCTGCCACTCATCTGCTAGTCATCCTTGAGCGCTGGGTGGACCATGAAGCACTGGAATGTGTGGCTCAGAGAAGCTCGCTGTTCCACCCTGTGCTTGTGGGCTCGGTCCCAGCAAGCACAAAGCTCCACATCTTGGACCTCAGCTTTGGTCTAGAGCAGTGCTCTAGTCAGCATACAGACTCCACCTGCCACAGAGTTCCAGAGTCTGCAGGGCTGTCTGGGGCCCACAAATGCTTTCTAAGCAGCTCTGATGTGATACGCACGCTGCTGATAGGGGTCACACTCAGGAGAACTGACCCGCAGTGTGAAAACCAGTTCTTTAAGGGAGAGAACCAGGTAGTGCATTCCGAGGAGAAACATCCCACTAAGTGTGACTACACAGGTATTATAAATCGGCAATATTGGCCCTTCTCTCAGAAGCACAATAAGGAATATAAATACAAATTATGAAAGGTACACATATTTCTTATGCATATCTGTTAAGATAATAGAAATATAAATGCACCAATAAAATTTTACTTTAAAAGTCTCAATTTGTAAACAATAAAAGGATTGTGAAAATGTAAAAAATGCAAACTCATGAAGAATGTCAATATTATGGAAATGAAATTTTAAATCATGTGCTTTCAGTACAAGATGTCATTTTCTCACATTCCTTAATCTGTACACCATGGAGGTCCTCCCTTATCTGTGCTTTTGCTTTCCAAGATTTCAGTTACTTGTGGTCAACTAGGTCTGAAAATATTAAAACTAAATTTTAAATTACACACACTCTGAGCAGTATGAGGAAACCCTGCCCAGTATCACCCTACCTGAAACACGAATCATGCTACCCATCCATTAGTTACCTAGCCAGTGAGGGTGTCAGATCACCATTGCAGTGTCACAATATTGTGTTTAAGTAACCCTTACTTTACTTAGGAAGGGCCTCAAAGCACAAGAGCAGTGATGCTGGCGCTTCAGGTGTGACAAGAGAAGACATAAAGTGTTTCTTTTAAGTGAAAAGGTAAAAGCACAATAAATATTTTGAGAGAGATCACATTCAAGTACCTTTTGTGTAATATACTGTGTTTTATTAGTCATTGCTGTTAATCTCTTACTGTGGCTAATCTAAATTAAGTTTTATCACAGGTATGCAAATACAGGAAAAAACCATAGTACACATAGGTTTTTACTATCTGTGGTTTCAGGCGTCCTACTCGGGGTCCTGGTGGATAAGGGAGAAACTGTGTAGATAATGTCAAAGTAAAATAGCCTATGCGATAATATCTGATTTAATGGTAACATGTCAAAAACAAAACAAAACACTTCAAGTTATCTAAGAATAAAATAAGGCAGGGTGAAAATATGCAAAATTGTTTGAAACTGACTTACCTAACAACAGTTCACCAGCTGTCTCTCTAGATGGTGCAACGCTGATACATCTTCTATTTACTCTGTCGAGACACATTTATAATTACATTTTTCCTAATTTTCAACTGTAAGCTTTATTTCACCTAATAAAAGACTTCAGCAAAGCACACTCTACTTTGAATATCATGAGATGGTGTGTCAAAATCCACATGACAATTCTGTGCCATTTGTTAACATTTCAGAGGAGAAGAAAATAACTGAAACCTTTAGAAAAGGCTGAGTCCCTAAAGCCTGTTGCAGAATATAGGGCTTCAGTTATGCACAAGAGACCTCAGTGTTTTATATTCTAAGTAAGCAGACAGTGTTTTATACCACTGATATCTCAACATGTGAAAGAAGTCGAGTATTCTAGAAAAACTGGGGTTTTGGATGGAAAAGTTCTGTGTTCCTGTCACTTATCTTCCTTGCCTTTGTTTTTAATCTATGAAATGGGCATAATCTCAACAACACCGTTAGCAGCTCATGCACACTCACACACTTAGTACTCAACAATGCTCTGGACACCTGAGTATGGCTAGTGTCCTCACAAGTGAGGACACTGAGGCAGAGAGTGAAGAAAGGCCACGGGCTCACACTGACCTTATGGATTCACTTGCAGCTTTGTCTTTGACAGTAGAGGAAAAAGAAGAGTGAGTTTTGTCTTCAAATAGATAAGAGAGTGGTGGCTTGATCACATCTGTTGAGGTAAAGGTATACAATGTTTATTTAATGACCGCAACTACCTGCCACAGCCATATGATGAGGCAGAAGCCATTATTACCTTCTGACTTTTGTCTGTCCTTCAGGAGATACTTATTTGGAATCGTTAAGTAACATCTCTGCAAACGTCTCCTCTCTCGGTTTGGCCCTTCTGTTGGATCCAACTGCCATGAGGTTGGATAGTAGATGGGGTCATACCAGACTGCTCTGCAAGTGAAAAATAAAAGGGCATTTAAAGTGAGGTGAAAGGCTGATAGCTTTGAAGAAAATCAGAATAGAGGCTGAGTGAATAAACCACAATGGATCTACTCAATTAGGAAACAACTGCATATATTTAGAGGGGGGAATGCACCTATGCAGAACAAAAGAATCACATAAAAAAGCAAGTGTCCTGCTCCCAAGTCCCAGGTTCTGAGTTCCCTTACCCTTCTGAAGCAAGGGCTGCTTCAGTTTCTTGCATCTATCAAATTTTAAAAAGTATCACTACTACTATGACGATTTCAGCAACATCAAAAACACAACAGATTTAATATGGTTAGCTAAAGAAACAAATATTCCCAAATTAGTCTTTCATATTTCCCATTTTTTCTACTCTCTAACAAAATTAGTTACTTTTTGTGGTGTGGATCACATTTGAAAAAGAATTTTACAACAAATTTATATTTAGATGAAAGAAAATATTAAACCACATTAAGTACATCTTTAGAAACATAAAAATCACCCTTGATATTACTACTTTAAACATCATTCTCTTTCATTTCAACATGCATCTGTTTTAGTTTCAGTTACAACCATTATATATACATATTTCTATACCCTGTCTTCATTTGCAAAATACAGTACAATCTTTATTATCATCACTTTCTTTTTTTTTTTGACAGTCCTGGGGTTAATGACAGGTGCCCACCAACACACCTAGCCATTAGCTAAGATGGGGGTTCAGCAAACTTTTTGCCTGGACTGGCTTCTAACTGAGATCCTCCTGATCTCAACCTCCGATGTAGTTAGGATTACAGCTTTGAGCAACTGTGCCTGGCTATCATCACTTTCTAGTGGTTGATAACATGACAGTGAGTGGATGCATCACAATGTATCTGAACAGGTTACTACTGCTCTTCATTTACACTGTTTCCAATTCATGTACCAACATAAATGACAGTGTGGAAACCTTTTTACTGTCTTCCACATTCTGAATACATTCTTCAGAATGGAATTCCTAAAACATTACTGGAGCTAGAAATGTCTGTGGGGTCTCAAGATATATTGTAACAGGGTACAGTAATTCTAATGAAGGACAGCTAGCTTTCCCAGCTGATATTCTGCTGTGGATACTGGCACCAGAAAAAAAAATGTTAAAACATGAAAAGCAAAATGGGTTATCTAAAGGTTTTTAAAAAATGAAATTAGTGCTCACTTCAGCAGCACATACACTAAAACTGGAACAATACAGAGAAGATTAGCATGATCTCTGCACCAGGATGACACACAAAATCGAGAAGCATTCCATATTTTTTGAAAATTAAACTATTCTCTAGCAATATTGAATATTTCCCCATGTGTTTATTAGTTCTATTTGTTTTATGTAAAGACTGTGTTCACTGTTTTTCTCTTTCAAATTTAAGGGACTGTAATATATTACTTTCAAAGCTACAAACATTTTCCAAATAATAAAGCATTAGTTCTTTGATATATTTGAAAAATAAATATCCATGCTTTTTTTTTGTCATTAAATACATTGGAAAACATTAGAGTTCAAAAGTGAACTTTAATGTTCTGTTGTGCTTGAGCCAAGAAACTTATCCACTCTTCACAGAGTTGAAACACACACTTTATACACGTTTGAGCTTAATTCTTTCACCTATTTGAAAATTACTTTAGAGTATAAATAAGAGTCAGTGAATTTTAGTGCCCCAAAGTCATGCTAATCAGTTATCTTAACAAAAGTTAGAGAATAATTTCCTCTTTTCATTATTTGTATAGCATCTTTTAAATCATATTAATAAAGTTTTAGTTAAAAGAGACCTATTTCTCAACTATCTTATTTCAGTGTTTTCTCTTTTTTTTGGAAAGTCCATATTTTACAAATGAAGTCAGTTTTACTGTCTGAAAACAGCAGCTAACACCCTCTCTGATGTTTTTCTCTGAAAGTCTCATGTAATTATTCTTCAAGATGGGGAAAAAATCAGACTGGGGTATAGCTAATTGTTAGAGCACTTGCCTCACATACCCAAGGCCCTAGGTTTGATCCCCAGTACTGGAAAAAAAAAAGAAGAAAGAAAATCACAAATGATTAAACAAAACATTTCCTGAAATAAATTTCTGAATTTGAATTCTGGAATGAAAACAGTGCTTAACGTTCACTATAAAATACTCATGCGGACAATTTCAAGCGTCCTCCCACGCTCACCTGTCGTGTGTCAGCTGTTGAATGAGCTCCTGCCAGTGTCTGCTGGCACTCAGATCCACTTTGTACATTCCTCTGATATGCTGAATCACCTTTTTTCTCTCAATACCCTGGGACAGAGATACTGTCTGGGTGATATCTGCAGCTAGTTTAGATATGTCTTTTGATTTTGAGTCAAGGCGCTGAAAGAGACTGAACATGCAAGACTGTCCATTAAGTTAAGTGCATACGCAATGTTAAATATTTATTAAAACACAGTATTTTAAAACTGGAAGTATACATGTGGGTTGGGGGTGTAATTCACTGGGAGAGTTCTTGCTTAGCTTACACTGATCTCTAGCACTACAAAAAAAATTAAAAAGCCAAAACAAATGCCGCAAAAACCAAAAATCAAACCCAAATACTAAAATTAAAAGTCTCCATAAGAACTACCGATTGCTAAGGGATAAGACGTCTGGAGCCATAGAGTCCTACCTTTGTTGATTATTATTAACTGTTTTCTGCCAGGAGGCTTTATTCATACCCTCTTCGGTTTCATATTTCTTCTGTTCCTAAAGATTAAGATAGTAATATATTATATACAACTTATTATTTCTCATGTAACATTGGCACAGAGCACAGAAAACTAATTTTAAAACCAAGTTAATAAAGGAAACAATATTACCCTCAGGAGACTAGAATAGTAAACAAATAAATGACTAAAACAATGTTATAGTTCCCCTTTCTTTCTGTACAATTGGGCCACAGAAGTAGCATAGGACAGTTAGCCAGAGCTGTCCCACTTGAAGTTTACATAGTTGTTTGCTTCCTTACATTACTTTTTCACTGAAGAACTCATAACTCAAGGGTACATTTCAACTTGCTTGTCTCTACAAATATCTTTCCTTCACAGAATGATACTAGTAATGACAAGGATGACCAAATAGAATAAAGAGATGCTTAAAAAAAGGCTACTTTTCCCTCATGAAAAAAAGCAATGTATAGTAAAACTAATCACTAATACTCAATGGGATCTCCTGAGAAGCAACTATGGTTCACGACTCACCTCTTTGATCATCCTAATAAGCTCAGGCTTTGACGGGGCACTGGGAGGGATGCACTTGTGGCCACACAGCCTAAGAGCATTCATAAGCAGCTCTGCTGTGTCCAGATCTTCTTCAGCCAACTCATCCTGGTGAGTATGTATCAACTCTGACAAATACAGAACTAACTTGGCTCCATGCTTTAAAAAAGGTAATAATTTTTTAGTAATATAGAATTTATGCCTTTCATTTAAATTATTTAACAATAAATTAAGTTTTATTGCCAAATTTATGTGGTTGGGCCTGATTTGAATACATAGGACAAAAAGACATTCTGGGGACAAAAGAAGAAATTTAATTATGCACTGGGTATCTGATGACACTAGATAATTACTGCTAGTTTAATTAGGTATAATAATGTCTTCTTAAAAAAGAATCTAAGCCAGGCACCAATGGTTCATACCTGCAATCCTAGCTACAAGGTAGGCTGAGGTCGGGAAGATGGCAGTTTGAGGACAGCCAGGCAAGAAGTTCGTGAGAATCCATCTTAAGGGAAAAAAGCTGGACACAGTGGCACACACTTGCCATCCCAGTGACAGTGGGAAGATTAAAATAAGAGGATAATAGTCTGGGCTGGCCTGGGCAAAAAGTGAGACCCTATCTCCAAAATGATCACAGCAACAAGGACTAGAGGTGTGGCTCAAATGGTAGAGTGCCTGTGTAGCAAGCATGCCCTGAGTCCAAACCCCAGTACGGTTAAAAAAAAAAAAAAAAAAGGGTCTAGAAAATGTAATGATTTCTATTAACTTACTTTAAAATAATTCAGAAAAAGAAATGACACAATTATGATAAAAATATACCATTCTCTCTACTCTTCTTTATGTATTTGAAATTTTTCATTGCACAAGGTTAAAAAAAAGCAGCAAGCTAGCTACCCACTTTTAGGGAAAGAATTCTGGAGAGGACTTGCTAACGGGATTGAGGAAATAGGATGGAGAGAAAGGAAAAGACTTCTTAGTTTTTCTCACAGAAAACAGTGTAACTAGAAGGGAAATATTAATTTTAAGGTAAAAAAATATGCTTATTCATCCTTTTCCCTTTGATTTTCGCTCAGTAGAAGAGAAGCTAGTGAAATTTTTGGAATAACAGCCTTCTTTCACTTGTCAGCAGGAGGTGAGAAACTCTGAAGCCAGTAAGGCTTCAGCACTCAGTTCCCCATGCATGTCCAGAGGGCAGATGGAGTGGGCCAATCTATGAAGAGTCTAAAGCCAAAACCAGAGTATTTCTTAAGGTAATGAAAATAGTTCTGCATAGTACAAACTTGAACCAAATTGGTTCCTGCTTTTTTTAAGTGGCCATTCCATGCTATGTGTACACTTGACTATAATGTGTTCCCCATGTATTAGTCAATAATTATGATAAAGATTAAACTCTTACTTTAAAAAACATGCACTGATACAAATGCCACTGAATTTAACTTTGTGGCATTTAAAACTGTGAATGGTATTAAATATCAACAAAAGGATCTGGAAACAATTACATTTTGGGTGATATTTAAATGAATCATCTCATGTCATTTCCCAAAAAGCATAAGATGAACATATGCAATAGTGAAAATAGCAAAGTTTATTTTAATGCAACATTTTAAACTAGTCAGAAGACAGCTGCTACCTGACCAAAAGAGGAAAAGGAACAGATGCTGTGTGAGGAAAAGGCTTAAAGAGTTGGCAAATAGAAAAAAAAGGACCGGAATATTTTCACATGTGTCTTAAAAGTAATGTTCTTTACATAACTTTAAAAATATTTCAATTTAGTATTCAGTGACATTCTAAAATATCTTGAAAAGCTATCAGAAATGTTTTTACTAATTCTGAATATGCAAAGAAACACATGATTTTCTTAAACACTAAGTTGTTTCTAACATCTCATTTTAACATCCTCTGATCACTTACTGGTTATTATTTCTGGATCTATAAAAGATGCGACTGAGGATAGATGCAAAAAGATCTTTATTTCAGCTTTCAAAAAAACTGACTTCTTGAGCCAGGTGTAGTGGTACATGCCTGTCTTCTCAGCACTTGGGAGGCTAAGTCAAGAGGAACCTGAGTTCTAGGCCAGCTTGGGCTACAAAGTGAGACCCTGTCTCAAAAATAAAAACAAATGCATAACAATAATAATAAAAACCCTAGTTTCTTGAAAAGAAAAGATGAGAGGATCACTTCAGCTCATGAGCTCAAGACCAGCCTGGGCAACACAGTGAGATTCCATCTCAAAACACAAAACAAGGACTGGAAGTGTGGCCCAAGTGGTAGAGCATCTGCTTTGCAAGAGCAAAGCCTTGAGTTCAAACCCTAGTGCCACCAAAACAGAAACGAAAACAAAAAACAATAAAAAGCTGATTTAAGGAATTGAATTTTTAAAAAATAATAAAATGCTTACATATGTAAAGGTAAAATTTTCAATGGGGGCTCTCAGAAGGAAGGGTTTTAAGTAGACTATAGAAAGGGAAAAAGGTTTTGAGAAATAGAGTGTGCTGGGGCTGGGGCTAAATGGTAGGGAAGAGTAAGGTGTCCTGCACTGGGCAGGCATCATACATAAAGCAGCATGGAAGCAGGACACATGGGATGTGAAGGGGATGCAGGAGACAATGACCAGATTATCTAGGAAAGAGGTGGGCTACAGACTGAAGAATTCATCAAAGCTGAGTGGTAATAGCAGAAAAGCAGCCTGGGGCCTTTATGACCCAAGCAGATAGCCAATGGAGCACAGCCTGAATGCAGCTGTGCAGAAAAAAAAGATCTCCACACACGGCTGAGTAATGATCTCAGAGAGGAAGAGGTAGCAGAGTACAGCTTTATCTTCTTGGGTGCTGAGAATGGGGGAGATAATGTTTACCAGTTGAGTGTGCGTGCTTATGTATAGATTTGCTTGTATCCTAAACAGAAATTTAAAAAAATAGTTCCCTAAACAAAGATGAAAAAGAGTGGTGGGAGAATAGGGTGGAAACTAGAACCTCTCTGAATGTGCTATGTGTCACCAATTTTAATTTTGGAACTACGTGGACATTTGACTTTACATGGTTAAAAATTAAACAAACAAAAACCCAATGGAATCACTAACAATATAATACAAATTTAAGCTGTAGCATGACTAAATAAAAACAATTATTTTAGGTAATTTTACAATTCAGCATTTACACTGGATGCCTATTACAATGTCATAAGAACAAAGAGAACCACAAAGAAATATGAAGTTACATTTAATGCAACTGTTATTAGTGATAATGTTGGTTACTGTCACTAATTATAACTAGTGTTATTAGTGATAATCTTATTTGAAATGTTATATATAAAGAAATATAATTATGTTAATGTCATCAGGAACCAAGATTATTAACATAAAAAATACAAAAATAAAATCCAAGAAAAAGTGAAAGTGCAAAAAGTCAAAGTATGGACTCATAATTTTTTTCCCTAAAAATATACTTATTTCTTAACTTTGTCCACTAGAAAGGCTGAGAAACAAGTACAAATGAATGTACAAAGTACTACTCTGCTGCAGTGTGGCAGCAGGATGCACAGGATGTACAAGGAGTGCCTGTAGCCTCCAAGTGCTACCATGCTGCTAAGATGAAAGATGGGTTTCTTGGCTCCCAGGTTCCAGTCAGAGGAAAGGAAATGTGTAAGGTGTCTTGGGACATCCTTCCGTGCCAGGAAGCAGACGCTAATCATATCAACTTGTTAAAAGTGAAGAGACGTGTTAAAAGAACACAGTAACTGGGGTATCAAAGTGATTGCCAGAGAACAACTGCAACAGATTTAACACAAGGTTTAAACAATACTTGAGTTTATAATGGCCCCCAAAGTAAAAACAAATGCAAAAGCAAAAGGTTGCCGGGGTATCAACTCATTACTATAAAAATTAATAAACAGGAAAAGAAACTAGCATTTATCCTGCCTTTCCTTCACTGACCACATTTTAGCAGTCAGTAGCAAAACAGTTGATAAGGGAAAGTTTCTCCCTACGGAAGAATCAGAGGTAACAGACGCTGGTGGAATGAGACTTGGAGAAACCACTATTTCATAACTCCTAATGAGAAGGTGGGGATGGAATCTGCCTTCAATGGCCGCTCAGATCCTTTTAGGAGACAGATTGAAAGTGAACTTCACAGTAGATAGGCTGAGTTGATATCATCTTGTAAAGCAGGGCAGCCAAACAACCATGACACCTGCTATGATACAACAGAAAACACAAAGCATTCTTAATATTTTCTGAAAAAAATTCATACATGAAACCAGTAACTGGAATCCAGTCCAGCCTCCATATCTAGAGCCACAAGGATGCAATCAATCAAATCCCAAAATGTGGGAAATCCCACAGAACAAATGACCTTACTTCCAAGGAGAAAAACTGCTGTGGACATTATGGCATTAAAAATATCGAAGTCACATCAAACAGACACAGTACATGGCCTTGTTTGAATCCAGAACAGAGCAAACTAAAGAAAGTTGGGAAGATTTAAACACTGGGCATTAAACAACAATAAAGAAATGGTGCTAGTAATACAGACATTAAAAAGGTTGAAGATATTATAGGATAAAAGTATTACTTAAAGATACAATATGAAGTATTCATTTAGTGAAGTAATCTGATGCCTAAGATCTTTTTCACCACAAAGAAAAACTAAAGCAGGGTAATAATGATGTGGAGTCCTTTTTTGATTTCACCACATTTTAGGTATATTTGAGAATTTCAATAATGAGCTTTAAAACAATCAGGTATAGCATATTGGCATGAAGGGGGAAAGGAAGCTATTGTATTAATTCAAGGACAAGGGGAAAAAGGTCTGAACTAGATTGTGAAGGTAACCTATTTTAAAAAAAAAGATGGATTGGAAAGACACAGTGAATAAATGACTAGCTTTTGTGATGAAATGGATTTAAGAAGAAAAAGTCAACAGTCCAATGCTGCAAGCTAAAATCTGTAGTGATTCCGCTGAGCGACATGGAGGAGAGAAGGGACGTTTACATGGGGAAAGAGGACTGCTAACATCAGGCTTGGGTTTAGATGAATGGCAACATTGCTGAGGATAAAGGAAAGAAAAAAACACCACTTCAAAGTCTCCATGCGAGGAAACTGTGCTTCTGCTTTGGGAAAAAGGAGGCGTATGCTTGGTGCACCTGGGAGTCTTTAAACTGGAAAGAGTGCCTGAACACTTCCAGATAGTTTTGACTTCCCGTATAGTGAGTTTTTCAGGTATTCAAAGAGGTGCCTGGGGCTCATACCTTATTATCCCAGTTACTAAGGAGATTGGGAGGACTGTGACTCAAGGCTAGCCTGGGCAAAAAGTTAGTGAGACCTGATCTGCTGAGTACAGTAGTGCACACCCACTAGCCCAACCATGGCAGGTATAGGTAGGACTGCGGTCTAGGTCGGCCTGGCAAAAAAATGTGAGACCCTACCTGAAAAATAACTAAAAAGTAAAAGAGGGCTGGAGGCATGGCTCAAGTGGTATCATGCCTGTCTAGGAACAAGCACGAGGCCCTGAGTTCAAACCCCAATACCACCATGAACAAAATAAACAAGTAAAAATAAATGGAGTCAGGCAGTGGCGGCTCATACCTGTAATCCTAGCTACTTGGGAAGCAGCGATAGGGAGAATCACCGTGGAGACCAGCCTAGGCAGAGACATCATGAGGCTCCATCTCACCCAATAGCGGGCATGGGGACATGTGCTTGTTTTCCCAAGCTGCATGGGAAGGTGAGATAGGAAGGATCACAGTCCCAGGCCATGTGGGCAAAAAACTTTGTGAGACCCTATCTCAAAGGAAAAAAAGCTGGGCATGGTAGTGTATGCCCGTCATCCCAGCTAGGAAGGGAAGCATAAATAGTAGGATTATGATCCAGGCCAGACTGGGGCAAAAAAAGCAAGACATTATCTCAAAAAAAAAAGATGCCTGTCTTTTTCATATGTCATCTTTTACCTTCTCTATTGGATATAATTCCATAAATTAAAACACATACGGTGCTTGTTTCTGAGTTTTGACAATAACTGCTCCTCAAAATGGAGATTTTAATCTTAGTTCTGTCACCCCATGGCCTTTTTCAGCACTCCCTTCTCACCAGCCCTCCCACAGAGCCAGGCACTGTCCTGAGTCCTGACACCACAGCCCAGTTTTGCTTGCCCTTGGACTTCACTTGCATGGAACACTGACTGTGCACTCTTTTGTGTTTGGCTGCTCCCTTCACCATGTCAAGTGTTCCTGAGACTCATCCATAACATAGTCTGCTCCTTTTATTGTTGTTGTGTAAAGTCTACTGTATAAATACATCATCATTTGTTTATGTATCTTCTTGTTGACAGACATTTAGGATACTTCTAGTTGGGGACCACTATGAAAAGGTTGGCACAGATATTCTTGTGCAAGTCTTTTTATGGACATACGTAGCTATGTTTTTTGGGTAATTATCTAAACATGAACGATATAACAGGTTTACAAGTTAAGTAAATGTTTAATTTTATAAGAAACAGCCTTCCAAAATACTTTAATGTATCACTTATACTTGCTATCATTCTTGAGATTACAGAATTTATAGACTTCTAATTCTTTTTTTTTTTGGAGGTACTAGGATTTGAACTCAGGGTCTGCACTTGCTAGGTAGGCACTCTATCACTTAGCCGCTCCTCCAGCCCGTTTTGGTCTGGTTACTTTAGAGATGGGGTCGTGCTCTTTTGTCCAGGTTATGCTTTCAGCAGTAGTTGGGAAACAGGCACCTGCTATCATGCCCAGCTTTTCTGCACTGAGATGGAGTCTTACAAACCTATTTTTGCCCAAGTTGGTTTGGAACCAAGATACTCCTGCATAGCTTGGAATGGGGCAGGCACAGGCCACTGTGCACAACTACTGGTTGAGACAGGGTCTTGCAAAGTCTTTGCCTAGGTTAGCTTTGAACTATGATTCTGTAATCTCAGCTTCTAAAGCAGTTAGGATTACAGGTATGAGCCACCAGTGCCTAGCTTAGACTTGGAATTCTTTTAAGTATTTTGGTTTTGGTCATTAAAAATGATAGTTTTTCCCTACTTTAACTACTGTGAATATTTTCTGAAATATGCTGTATGTAGTCTTGTTTGAGATAGTCAGTATAGGTGATTCATGCAAATAAAACTGCCTCTAGACAGTTTTTAAGGAAAAAGTTTCAAGATACGGCAACAAATTATAAGGTATCTTATAATGGAAGCACTGGAAAAGAACTGGGAGATAAGCAGAGAAATCAAATCAACTCTTAAAAACCTTAGGTTAAATATGTTTGGTAAGAAAGTTATGTTCATGACTCTAGGCATGAAAATACGGTTTCAATTATTGTTTTGAAAGACTTACTATTTCACCCAAAGTTTCTAGTACTTTACCAAATGCTGAGATACTTACTTGTGGGGATGGGCTGAGACAGTCACGCAGTATTTCCTGATGAGTTGGCTCACAAACTATTTCAAATATTTGCTTTCTCTCTTGTACAGTGTGGGCTGGTGACAAAATGTGCACTAGTAGTCTTGCAAGCTGCATTCGGAAGGTTTCTTTACAAGACCACAGGATTTTAGTCCATTGCTGCTTAGAGCCACTGGTTTTACTTGAACTCTTAAGTCAGAACAGGAGTGAATTAGGAATAATATACTAACTTTACACAGTCCTAAAGAAGATCATGGAATATGTTTCATTCTAGATCTGTTTAATATTCAAAGTTAGAAAACATATGCATAACTATACAAAAAGGAGTTTAAAAGAGATAGATTGCAATAATATTCATGACAGCATTATTTAAAATAGCTGGAAGGTGGAAACAATCCAAATGTCCATTAATGGATGAATATGTAAACAAAATGTGCCATATACACACAGTGGAATATTAGTCAGCCTTTAAAAGCAATCAAGTTCCAATACATGCTTCAACATAGACGACCCTCAATGACATTGTGCTCAGTGAAATAAACCACATGCAAAGGACAAGTGCCATGGTCTCACCTAGACAGTGGAAGTCACAGAGACAGAAAGTAGAAGAGTGGGTATGGGGCTGGGGAGATTGGGTAACAGCAGTTACTGTTACTTCTTGGGATCATGAAAAAGTTCTGGATATGGACGGTAGTGATGGTTGTGGGACAATGTGAATGTACTAAAATGCTGCTGAACTGTAGCCTTAAAAAAGATGATAAATTTTATGTTATATGTGTTTTACCACAATTCACAAAAGAGAGAAGGATGGATGAAGAAGCAATAAGGACTTCAGTTAATACTACAATATTGAGCAAAGAGTCACAAATCAAGAACCGCATGTAAACTGACCATCAATTCTCTCCAGTTTCAATCGTGGCTCCACTGAGGCTGGCCTGACACTGAGTAAACCCCTGTCTTGAGGTTAAACCTGGTAGTAGTACATTTTAGGTTTTATTGCTCCTTGTCCTGAAGGCCCTGTGTTGAATTCTAGGTAAATCCCCAGTTTGTTTTGAGTTCAGGACTGGACACAAAAATCAAGTTTAGATTTGAGTTCTGCTACAACAGATTGGCCTTAGGTAATGCTTATGGAGTGAACTGACCAAGTGGTTCCCCACGGTCAACTGTAAGTGACCCACAGAAACCCAGGTAAGACAGTGATAAACGCAGCCTGACACCTGTCAATATTCTCTGTATCATTTTGAAGGGTTAGATACATTTATGCCAAGACCTAAACTTTGTAAGAATTCAGAAGTCCAAAATTATAGCTATAAGTAAAGTCTTTTACAAATAGGTTGTTAATTTAAAGTCTCAGAATAATGATCAAAGCTCCTCTCTTTTCTGATGTTAATCTTCCTAGACTCTATTAGAAAATGGCCCTTAGGGTACAGTCTTAAAAACCAAGGTTGCAGAGGTAAGTCATTTTGCAATAGGTAAGTTAGCAGTACATATTACTCTATTATTAAAAATTCAAGTGGTCTGAGTTTCAGAAGCCTTTCTGAAAGAGCAGAAAGAAATCTGATTTTGGAAATACGTAACACAAACACATAAACCTCTATTCCTTTTGTGTGAACAAACATTTCCCAAGTAATTAGTTTACTCACAACAGACACTTTGAATCCTTCTACCAGATATGTGAACATTTCTTTTTGAAACGGATTGAAAGCAGAAGACTTTTCGTGATGCATGTTTTCCTCAGAAATTTCAGACTGGGAAAGTGAGATCTTGCTTTGAGTTGTGTTTTCCGGAGTTCTCAAAATGTCAATAATGTCTGAATTAAAATCTTTGAATTAAAAAAGAAAACAAATAGTCAAATTACTAATATTTAGCCACTATAAGTGATGATGAAGCCGGTAAAATATTCTAAATAATTACTAATTGAGCCATCATAATATGAATGTGGTAGGTACACTGGATGAACTAGACACAGCACAGTGGAGAAAGTGGGTAGAGTATTTGATTGCATGATATAGCAGAGAAAATGCACTCGCTTAACACAGTGTAGACATCTAAAATGCACAGGCCATAGAATTCTAAGTTATAGATTTAATTTACTAAGGAATGTGAGATAAAATGCAAAGTTATTCAGACCATAAGATTCTTAGACAGAGACCACAAAATCTATACAGTAGATGAATCTGCAGAGCTGTTTCACTGCACATGCTATACAATTAAATGTTGTAAAATAATCCTGGCTCAATTTCAGACTAAAGCCTGAGAGCCTGCTGCCCTAAATGCAAACTAGAAAAGCTAAGACAGAATGCCACCTCTGCACTGGGTTTATCATATTTTTCTAGCGATTAGCAATTTCTGTGTTCTTTTTGCTAAATTTCTGAAGTTACCTGAACATTTATTTTAGAATTTTATTTTGACTTACCTATTGAGCTTTAATATTTTCACCTTTATTAGGGTATACTTGACAGAAATTATATATTATTTTTTTATTTAAAGTACACAAGTTGATATTTTGATATTCACATACATGGTTGAATGTTCATCACAATAAAGCAAGGTAACATTTAGTGGTATCTATACACAATGGAATTTTATGCAGCCATGAAGAAGAACGAAATGTTATCATTCGCTGGTAAATGGATGGAATTGGAGAACATCATTCTGAGTGAGGTTAGCCTGGCCCAAAAGACCAAAAATCGTATGTTCTCCCTCATATGTGGACATTAGATCAAGGGCAAACACAACAAGGGGATTGGACTATGAGCACATGATAAAAGCGAGAGCACACAAGGGAGGGGTGAGGATAGGTAAGACACCTAAAAAACTAGCTAGCATTTGTTGCCCTTAATGCAGAGAAACTAAAGCAGATACCTTAAAGCAACTGAGGCCAATAGGAAAAGGGGACCAGGAACTAGAGAAAAGGTTAGATTAAAAAGAATTAACCTAGAAGGTAACACCCATGCACAGGAAATCAATGTGAGTCAATGCCCTGTATAGCTATCCTTATCTCAACCAGCAAAACCCCTTGTTCCTTCCTATTATTGCTTATACTCTCTCTACAACAAAATTAGAGATAAGGGCAAAATAGTTTCTGCTGGGTATTGAGGGGGGGAGCGGGAGGGGGTGGATTGGGTGGTAAGGGAGGGGGTGGGGGCAGGGGGGAGAAATAAACCAAGCCTTGTATGCACATATGAATAATAAAAGAAAAATGAAAAAAAAAAAAAAAGCAAGGTAACATTTATTACCCAATGATTATTGGTGTGTGTGTGTGTGGAGAATATTATCTATAGTACTTTTTTTCTTTTTTGAGACAGGGTCTCACTTTGTAGCCCAGGCTGCCCTGGAACCCTGGATCCTCTTGCCTCAGTCTTGGGTATAGTTTTTATCCTAATTTTCATTTGCATAGCTTTGTTGCTCTAGGTATTACCTTTACATTGGTCACTACAGAAATGCAAAACCCCAGTGAGATATCACCATACATCTATCAGAATGGCTAAAATAAAAAGTAGTGACAATTCTTTACTGGTGAGAATACAAAGAAACTTGGATCACTCATACATTAGTGATGAGAAAGTAAAATGGACCCCCGGATATTAATCTCGGAAAAATGAAGACTTATGTTCACACAAAAACCTGTACATGATTATTGATAGAAGCTTTATTTGTACTATACCCAAATGGAAAAAAACCCAGATGCTTTCCAACAACTGAGTTGTAAACAAACTGTGGTACACCCATGCCATGGAAAACTACCCAGCCTAAAAAAAAAGTAACATAATAATGTTACATGAAGTAAACTAGGCTCAGAAAGATAAAGGTCACGTTTTCTCCATATGTGGAAGATAGATCCAAATACAAATACAAGCATTATCATACACACACACAGACAGAGAATGTGTTTCCAATAGTGGGACTGTTGGAGGAGATTAGAGGAGGAGTGAAAGAAGAAGAGAATGATAGAGAGTGAATAGTACTGAAATATATCACATCTGTGTAGGAACAAGACACAATGAAATACACTGAAAACTGATGAACAATATGGGGTAGGAGGAAAAGGGTAAGGAAGAGTAATAGAGGGGGCTAGAATGTTTACAGTACAATATATTTACTGGTAAAATACCAAGGCAAAATCCCACTGAACAGTGAATAGACATTTAAACAATACAGGACAGGAATGCAAAACAGGTCATGTTAAGGGGAGGGTAATAGTGGGTTGTGGAAGGTAAATGAGAAGGGTAAAGGAGAATAAATATGGCACAGGTATTTTCTATACATGTATGAATATGCAACATTGAGACCTTGTTGAAGTTATTTTAAGAAGGGAAAGAGGGAGAAAAATGGAGGGGATGAACCAAGCTGGGATACACTGTACACATACACAGAAATGTCACAAAGAAACCCTTTGTATAACTATTATATACTAATAAAAGAATTTTTAAAAGTTATAAACTACTGGTACATGCAATAAGCAAGATGACTCTTCAGAGAATAAGGCTAACTGTAAAAAAGCCAATCCTAAAAGGCTATAAACTGTATGATTCTATGCATATAAATACTTTTTTTTTGAAATGGGTCTTGCTGTGTTGCCAGGCTGGTGTGGAACTCCTGGACTCAAGTGATCCTTCCACCTAAGCCTCCTGCAGCAGGGGCCACAGGTGTGTGCAGCTGCCAAGCTTATATAGCAAAGTTGAAATAACAAAAACATGGAAACAGAGGACAGATTAGAGGTTTTGGCCAGGGCCTGAGGAGGGGTGGAGTGGGAGGAATGTAAGTGTGGCCACAAGAGGGCAACAGGAGGGATCCTTGTGGGGATAGAAAAGTCCCGCTTCTTCATTATATCCATGTCACTTTCCACAGTGACACTGTGCTGTAGTTTTGCAAGATCCATTGAGAAAAACTGGTGAAGGGTACAAAAGATGTCTATTATTTCACCACTTCATGTGACTCAGGAATTATCTCCAAAAAGAAAGTTAAAAAACATACTGAAAGTGCCATTTGTTTTAAAATTAATGGTCTAGCTAGGCCATCATTTCACACATTAAAAAGTAGACTTTTATTCAAGACTCAGCTCCAAATTTAAAAAAATCCCTTCTAGTGTGGATGTTAAGAGGAGGAAACTAATCTAACCAGCTTCCTCTGAAGTGGTCTCTTCTTTAATTCAATATCCGAGGAAGAACAAATGAATCCTGTGGTCCTACCTTGATAAATGATCCTGTTGACTGCTAAGACAGTGAGCCTCTGCAGTCTCTGAGCAAGCTCTGCTTCCGAGGCCTGGCTGGGGTTCTCCTGGCTCATCCTCCTCTGCATCATCAAATGGAGCTCATCACTGGCCACTGAACGCATTTTCATCAGAAGAGATTCAGTTTGAGCCAGGGGAAATTTTCGAGGCCCTTCAAGTATATAAATGAAAACATCTAATGCCAGTGTTAACAATGATCAAGGAATCTATTTTCATTGCAACTTTTTGATTATTAGACCATGAAAAGAGAACCTTGTTTATTACAAAGTTAATTTATACAAAGGAAGAAAGTGATGAAGAAAATGTTTTTCCCTCTTCAAAGAAGTGCAACAGTACTTCTCGCTTAAAGTTCAAAATGACAATATCAAAGCCAGTGACATATATAGCTTAGTGAGATGGCTATCATTTCTCTAAGTCCAAGTCTTCTGAAAAACTTAAAGTATTAGATGGGCCTAAGTGGTTCACAATGCTTTGATAAAATCTTTTCAAATACTGTTTCACTTCCTTGCATTCCAAAATCATCAATAGAGTTTTAAAGCATATTATGTTTTAGTAAGAACACTAGTGTGTTTGAACAATCATTGCTGTTGAATTTTATAAAGTAATTCTGAAAACTGTATATAATGCAAAGTAGGAATCAGTCAATCAAAGTGAAGAGATCAGGAAGGTGAACATGAGCCCAGTGATTTCCCATTGAAATGATTTGGGCATATGCATCATTTGGAATTCAGTATTCCAAGAGCATTTCCTAAGAACTGTTTCCTCAGATTGAACAGGGAGGAGTGGTATTCCTGTTCCATTACTGCACCTGCTCCGGGAGTTACTGCATAGGTAGTGCATCCAGGAGAGATCTGGGGGGAGGAGTCTTGACTTAATGGACCCAAGGAAAAGGGCATCGGAAGTTGACCATATGAACCAAAATGACGTCTTGGTAGGTGAGGAATAACAGAACCCTTCACTGGAACTGAACCTTTGTTTTAAATTATGAAAACATGTATCAATTTTCATAAATAACCTCTATATTAAAATTATAGATAACTAAATTATAATAGGTTTTAATGACTTGTCCTACAAGATATTAAAAAATTCAGCAGTATTTTAGATTGTTGTGATCAGTATTCTTAATCTTTAAGGCAAAAAAGAAACAAAAAGAAAAATATTCTTAGTTTGAATATATTCAAGGAGACTATTGAGACAATGTCCTTAGTACAGTCAGATTCATCCTAGAGCCTTCAGCTCCCACGCTGCATAAACAAGTGACAACACAACCCAGTGGGATGGCACGATTCTGGATAAGTAAATGTTAGGTCTGCTTAAAAAGTGGGAGCGAGTGTCAGCATGTCAAGCACATGGAGCTGGTGTGGCCTTAAGTACACCTCTTTCTATGCCTCAGTTTCCTCAGATGTAAATGTGGATTAGAAAACAAAGACCTTCTGTCAAAGGTAGATATTTACCACTATTTGGCTTCTATTCAATATATTTGTTTGTACGCGAGTCATCATTTTCTCTAGTACAAATTCTATGAGGATAGGTAAAATAGTAATTGGTACCTGGCTGGTGCACAATTATATTTTGGATGAAATAAGTAATGTGAATAAAACACAATGCTTATTCTTATTCTTACCAAGAATAAAAATTGTTAATGGTTGGTATCATTTTTTATTGGTTAAAATATAAAGGAAATTCATTTGTATGAGAATTATATGAACAATACAACCATCTATTATCTGTATGAATGACAATTTAAGTGTAGGTATACCACTTTAAATAATACCCCAATGCTTACTTCTAACTTCATACAATAAAGATGATGTATAAAGGTTTTCATATTGATAAACAGAGAAGTGAAAAGGATACATTTAAAAGAATGTATATCGCTAACCTGTTTATAATGGTAAAAACAAGTAAAAAAAAGTTAGGGAAAAAGATCCTCACATATCAATATTAAAACATTCATTAAAATAAGAACTATTTCATTAAAATAAAGAACATGCTCATTAATATGGAAAGATTTCCATTAGAAATAGAAATCAGCTTGCAATATTTGGTAGAGTGTGATTCCATTTAAACAAAAATCACATCTCTCTGCCAGTAGTTATTTATACCAAAAAAGAGGCAGAGGCAGAGGCTAGGCACCGGGCCTATTCACTGAGTAGAAGAGAACCCAGGGCTGCTGAGCAGCACATGTATGTGAGGTGGTAGGAGGATCAATCTTGAACATAAGAGTATCTACTTCTTCAGGAGTGTGAGGACATTAAACCTAGGTATAATGAAAGTGCTGTTGGAGAGACAAGACCCAAAGCCATGGACACCCGAGTGTCCTGAGTAAGTCCATCCATTTTCAGAGTACAGAGTGTGGCATGATGGAAGCCCAGCCCTTGGAAGTCCCCATGACTCCTGCTGGAGGCGCCCAATGGTGGCAATAGGGTTGAAGGCATCACTCATCTCACAGTTTTCAACAAATGCTAAATGAATTTATTTATGAAAAACCCCACTGTCCTAAGCATTTATCAGTAATTAGAATAGCTTGCTTCAATCTTTGAAGTGATAATTCATGACTTAATTGATGGAAATGGAAGCCACAGAAATTCTTTTAACTTCAGAGTTTTTGTAACTATGCTGCTCAGAAGAGAGGAGTCTCAGTACTCTGTGTAGTTTTTATACCTGGGTCAGTGTACTGCTGACAGTAACTTTTAACTAGTAATGAACCCATATTAAATAACAGTCTTTCTCAAATATACATGCAAAAACCCAAAATGAACAACTATGAAGTAACAAGTCAACATATACAAAGTAACATTTTGCACACTGGATTCACAGACAGAATTTTGTGGGGAGTGGATTATGAGAGGCCTATGACAACTTGATACAAGCACGGCTGTGCCCAATAATTGGCAGGCTGAGTTTGGCGTGGCCCCAGCTCAGAAGAGTGCAAAATGCATCACAACTGCTTCTCCTGAGTTGTTTACATTCAGAGAAGAGGGAACACAGGTATCTCTTGTTACAGTGTCATGTCCCTCCCCCAGAACTGCTGCTCCACCTCCTTGTTTACACTGGATATGAGACTCGCTGAAGGAGGACACAAGGTTTTTTGATGGGGGATTTTGATTGGCTGCCGTTGCCACTGCCGCTGGCTGTTGGGTCTCCACCAGAGCAGCTCTCTGCACTGAGAACTTTATACACAGACTTTAGAAAAGCTAAGCTAAAGAAAAGCTAGTCAAATGCAAGTCAAGGACAGAGATTTTAAGAGTTACACATATGAAGTTTTTAGGCACAGCTGTTGTTTGCAAGTCTGAGCACCAAGGCTTTAAGAAAGCTAAACAGAGAACATGGGACAGTGCAAATCTGAGGGCAAAGACTTTAAGAGAGATTATGCTAAAGAAAAACTAAGAGAGAACATGGAACAGAGCAGGTCTAAGGCAAAAGTCTTTAAAGAACAGAACAGAAGACTTTAGGTTTTAAAGATGAGAAAATAAGCAGAGTAAAGAGAAGAGAAGTAAAAAAGCAATGAGGCTGTTGTGCGTCTCCATCTGAGTGCCCAACACACCTGTCCCCACCTTTATTCATGTCTGTCTTCCATTATTTGTCCTTCCTGAGTCTCCGGTCGCCCCCAGTTAGGTCAGTGGACCAGGAGTGAGAGAAAGCTCGCTCAAGAAGTTAAATTCTGCTACTATTCAAAATGGGAAGAATTCTTGGAAGAGGCTTGAGGGAGATGTTTTAATAGCTCTGTTAGACCTAGAATGAGCAGTTGTGGTATAGGAAACAGAGGGAAGAGTGTGGGGGTGAGCAGTCACCAATTCAGGAAGCAGCAAGTCTGTAAGATAAGGGGGCTGCACAAGATGACCTGTAAGGTCTTCTATTAGGCTAGAAATGTAGGGGATTCTGTGAGACTCAAACAGCTTATAGCAAGTGCATTTACTTAAAGTGAAAAAATAACCCTAAGTACAAAAGCTTTGAAAAGTCAGAGAAAAGAGTGGTATAGTGCAAAGACTAAAAATACATTATCCATTTAAAAATGGTCAAATAAAAAACAATAAACTTGCAGCTATATAGAACATTGAGGCACATGGTGACAAATGTACAGTATCCAAACAGAAAGATGATTAACAAAATCACAGACCAAACAGAAAACAGCACAATGACCGTGTGTTAACCCTGGTACAAACTGATGACTAGCTACTCCAGGCATGCAGATACGGAAGTGGGAAGGAATGGATATGAGAGTGAGACCTAACAACAAGAAGGAAGGAGAGGCCAGAAGCATACTTTCTGATATCCAAAGAGGGCCAATGCCATCTAAGCAGTTGGCAAGTACAGAAGGAGTCCTGCAAGGGAACGTGTTCAGAGGTCATCTTTTGGCCTACAGGAAGCTGAGCTCTGCTGCCAGCCAGAGGAAAGACACAAATCTACATGGGACAGAAGGAAAGTACAATGGAGGGCAGCTCAAGAGAAGAGACTTTGTTTAGATATGAAATAAGGAAGGATGCAAAGGGGCAGTAAGTTTAGTTGTATCAGAAGTTTTATTTAGCATAATTTAAACTTATATTTTTGTGAAACATACATTTATAAGTTTTTTTTCCTTTTCTTCCTTTCTTTTTTTTTTTTTTTAGCAGTTCTGAGGGCCTCACACTTGCTAGGCAGGCACTTTACCACTTGACCCATTCCACCAGCTCTTTTTTTGTGTTGGGTATTTTCAAGACAGAGTCTCATAAACTTTTTACCCAGGCTGGCTTTGAACCATGATTCTCCTGATCTCTGCCTCCCGAGTAGCTAGTATTACAGGTGTGAGCCACTGATACCCAACTAGAAGTTTTTCTTGATGGGTCACCTTTTCACATGGTTTAAATTTTTTGCATAGCACTGAACACAAAGAAGTAGATTATCACAGACAGAAGAGAGATCTGGACTTGGAACTCTTTAAAACTTCAAGGGTAGTGAACTTCACACAGATACTCTGGAAATGGCTGCAAGTACTCTGCACGCACCTGCCAGAGCCACTGCAGACACACATATACATGTGAATATGGTGTATATGTGTGCACATATGTACATTCTATGTGTGTAGTGTTTATTTATCTTTCTGAGTGTGTTCATATAGAGGGAATAAATTTTTTGAGGCCTAGCAATGCTAACACTTTATTTGATGATATGCAGACTTACAGCAAGCTTTGATGCCATGTGCATTCAACCATCTGCAAGCCATCATCATGTTCCTCGACTAGTACAACAGCCCCTCCCCAAATCTCTCCTCTAACCCACACTCTACACAGAAGCCAGAGTCCTCTTTATGAAATGAACATCTGACTATGTCATGCCACCGACTGAAATCCTTTGATGACTTCTCACTAGGACCAAATTCAAACTCCCTGATGTGGTTGGTGACATACATGAATTGGCCACAGCATGCATTCAGCCTCACCTGGCATCACTCTCCTTCAGTGCCATGGTCCAGCTGAATGGACTTCTTTCAGTTCTCTGAGCAAGCTCAGCTCTTGTTCTGTAACCATCTTCCTTTGACACTACCTTGCTAGCTCCTTTTGCTCCTTTACGAATGTGCTTATGTCTCACATCCACAGAGACCTCCTTGGCTCCCAAGGTATTATCCAGTTGCTCTGTTACACTCTTTATTCCAACCCTCTACATTTCCCTAATACTTGATCATCTTTACAAGGATTAAATCTGTCTTTTTTTTTTTTCATTGTTATCTCCGACATTTAGTACAGTGCTTGGCACCTGGAAGTTGCTACCTTCAAGTTATAATGATTGACACGTTACTTCAACACTCACCTGCAATGCTCTTCCGCTTCTGAAACACTGCGTGGTGGGGAGAAGGTGACTGTGATGTGTCCGTTGGGTTTTCAGAGTCCAGATTTGCTGTGCTCTTTATAAATTCCATAGCAGCCTGAAGAACTCTAAGCTGCAGGGCAAGAGCCATATCTAAAAATAGAAGAGACTAGAATGTTTTCAAGTTATGAGGTTATTAATCTTTTAATTGAACTTATTTTATATTATCTGATATCTAAACTATAATATCTGATACCTAAACAATACTGTCTTATTAGATCTAAATTAAAAATTTTTAATCAAAATGGGTTCTTGATGCTAATCAGCATTTTAAAAATGTTTTTAGCCTGACATGGTGGCTCACACCTATAATCCCAGCTACTCACGAAGTGGATATCAGGGGGCTCATGGTTGGAGGCCAGCCTAGGCAAAAGTTAGCAAGACCCTATCTCTGCAGACCAGTCAGGTGTGGTGGTACATGTGTGCAATCCCAGCTATGCAGAGGTGTACATAGGGGGATTGAGGTACAAGGCAGTCTAGGCAAAAAGCATAAGACCCTACATGATAAATAACTAAAGCAAAAGAGACTGGATGAGTGGCTTAAATGGTAGAGTGCTTGCCTAGTGAGTACAAGGACCTGAATTCAAACTCCAGTACAGTCAAAGAAACATTTGTTTAAAAGCAATTGCAAAGCAAATTTCCAAATGGTAACTAAAAAATTTAATGGAAAAACATTAGCTCACACATTTATTTCATTATATATAGTTATTTCAAAGAAAAGGATTTTTCATCCATAAGGCAAAAGCTTAACCAGCAGTTCTTATGTTTTCTGGACTTATATTCATGCTAATACTTCCCATTAAAGAAAACTAATTACTATTCAACATAAGTCTTCTAATTCTACCTAGTAGGAAAAGCCAGAGGCTTTTTCCTTTCCTATGATGTGTAATACTGAGGCATCACTTTTTCTATTTTTACCCCCTCAAAAGCTGCTTTTTAAAAGTCAATATCATCACAAAGTCAAGGTTAAAACTTCAGTAGAAGTTAACAGGGAGGCTAAAATACTATATCCTCCAGACCCATGAAAATTAAATCTTACTTTGTGTCCTCTTGCTTTTGCTATTGTGAAGATATCCAAGGAGTACGATAAGGTCTTCAATAACTCTAAAGTACTGTGAGCCTGAGGAACTGCAAGCATGAACTGTAACTGCGATGAAAAGCTGCTGTATGTCACATGCAAGCAATCTGTACTCATTCAAAGAAATGCTAAGAATAAATGAAACACAACAAAAATAGGACACTTAGAAGAAAAAGTTCCAATAATTGAAGACAAAGACAACTAACTGGTTTAAGTTCTTATTCTACCAGCACGCATTTGGTGTGTATTCACAGTAACTCTGTGGCAGCAATGCATGATGTACATTAGGAGGAAAACTAAGAAGAGACTCTGCTGCCTGTCAAATGCAGTCTTGCAGAGGATGGGACAAGTGAGATCGCAAAGAGGTTGAGGGACTGTGCAACAGCATCCAGAGGTGAACTCGAATAAATTGGTTAAGCTCTCTGAACCTCATTGCATGAACTGTACATATTTTAAGGACTAGATGAAATAATAGGACTTAATATATATAAATCACCTACAAATATGTAACAAATATGAATGTGTTATTTCTGTCTTGATAATTGACCTCAGTGTGTGACATTAGGCCCAAATACGTCCCTCCATTTACCTTTTTAGTTCTTTTTAGGAATCGTTAACAGTACAAGGGTGTTGCATTGTGACAATTTCATAGATGTGTCCAGTGTACTTTGGACAAGTTCACCCGCTCCATTATATTCCCCTATTTCCCCTTCATCCTTCCCCTTTCAAACAGTATTGGTGGGTTTCATTATACCACCTTCATAGGTATACATGCAGTACACTGTGATCTGCAACTTCCCCCATTCTCCACTCATTTAATTCAAGTCAAGTAAGGGTTAGGAATATAAATGTCTTGAGCCAATTAATGAGGCAGCACATGGGACTATCAGTAAGTAGGATTTATTTTTATAAAAAATAAGCAAAATCTCCTTACAAGCCTGTGGGTACCTTCCAAGTTTTACCAATTTCACGCATACCTTGATGATCAAGACCAAGTGTGTTGAGGAAAAATACTTTGTATTTCTTTCTATTTCCCATAGGCCTAGCACTGATAGAATGTGCTAACAGTATATAGCATGGTAAATTCAAAACAGGCTCTGAAGTGAAGCATATCCAGGTACAGGTTATCTGCTGTTTACGATTCCTGATGGGGATAATAATTTTATAAGACTATGATGGAAGCTTATTAAATATATTTGGAGTAGTTAAACTTATTCATCCTCAAGTTCTAAATATCTAAAGATAACTCATATTACCATTGTCAGCCAAACATTGAAAATGATGAAAAACATGCCCTTTCCAAATTAATGTAATACATTTTGTGGGAAATTCTTTGAAAGCATCACAAAAAATCACATGCTTTAATCTATCATGAAAGTTTCCCCCTCTAAAGTACTTATCAAGTATAATTTTAAATAATAATTTAAAACTTACTTTTCTAATCCATTCAGGGCTGCTACTGTATTACATAACACATAGAGTAGACCATTATCCAACAGCATGTCTGCTACCTTTGAACAAGAATTTAAAACTTGGAGGAGAAGTAAGAGAGCATTGTGCAAGAGGATGTTGTCATATAGTGAGGTCTCTACTAGTCCCAGGATAGGAATGATAGACCACTTCTGAAAAAGTCCCATGTTTTTCACATCTTCCAGATCAAATCTACAATAAATAATACATAGTTAAGAGCATGTCAGAAGCAATTAGTACAAAATAAGAAAAAAATGATTTAAACTATGAGTCATGTAAAAAAAATGGGCCCCTTGTATCCAAAGAATGCTTATTTTAGGGACTATGTACCAGTGTACAGGAAAAGCATCATTTTACAAAGCATTTGAAAGACAGTGAGCTAATAAAAAGAGGCTTAGTACAAAAGTTCTACTACCCCTTCCCTCTGTGGTGGGGAAAATTATGTATGAATTTTGTGCCTCATTTTCCTATCTAACACATATGTGTGACTATTTATCCTACTTTCTCAAGGCTGTTGTGAGAATTAAATGAGGTAATAGAATTGCTTTGAAAAAGCTGAAACTGAATGCAAATAGAAAGTCCCCCTGAAATTACCATAGTAAACAGTAAATTCCTGAAGGTCTGAATGTGTCTACCACAAGAAGACAGACATTTTTCTCTACTCTATCATAAACAGAAACAACAAATAATTTTCCTAGCCAACTTTTGGTTTGGGTGAAAAATAATCTTTTATCTTTGTACCTTTGCTGAAGGATTAGCACTAAATTTTATATTAAAGACAAAGATCCCCAATTATGGTGGAGGGTAGAACTCACTTACTCTTCATCAAGACCAGCACGTCGACCAAAGAACATTTCAATGAAGCAGTCTAACAATTCCTGAGTTCCCCGATGAAGATACAACTGGTTGGCTAGCAAGGAAAAGCCACGATTCTTCAGAAATTTATCCTTTTGTTCCTTAGATGCTCTATTAAAATATGCATGTAATAGCTAAAGAAAAAGGTGAGACTATTTAGACCATGTATTAAATTTTAACATAATCTATACAAAGCACAGTATTTGTAAGTTTTTATATTTGTATTTGTCTATTAAGTCATATATATATTTAGTGATAGTAATCTCTTACTACTGTGGAATTCTAACAATGACTATCTTGGAGATCCTAATACTTCCGTGATGTGGAAACTGGCATTTTCAGCTAAGCAAAGACAGGTGGGAGACTGGCAGTCTCAGCTGAGGATAAGTGGCCTATTTTGCTTAATTCTGAAGGAAAAATAATCAATGCAGTGTCCTGTCTGGACTTCCATTTCTAGACTTATTAAGAGATCATTTATTCTGAGCACAGGCCTGAATTTCTACCACTCTTTAGCTTCTGAAATGCAACATGTGTAAAACTCAATTAATTCTTTTTCTTTCCAAACCCACTTCTTCCATTTTTCCAAACTTAGATGGATCTTAGGACCATTATCTATACACTTCAACATAAACTTAGTTGAAGTTTATTATATACTAGACATAAGATGTCCACTTTCATAGAGTTTATATCCATATGGGAGATTAAAAAAACAAGTGTGCAGACAGATTAAAAAGATAACTGTAACACATAAATAGGATGCTATGATAAAATAAATAAGGAGTAGGACTAAAGAGAAATAATTTTGATAAGGTGATCAGGGATGGCCTCCCTGATAAGGTGACAACTGAGCTGAGACCTGAAGTAGATATCTAAAATTTGATACATTACAGGAGAGATTTCCAATCAACTATATGTTCCTTACAAATTTTTGCAAAACAGACTAAAAGTTCAGATATATGCATTTATTGGTAAATTTAAAACACACTGATAGAATCAATATACAGAGGAATTAAAATTAGATAATACATACAAAGTATCAGTAAGAAATAACAAACTAGCCAGGAGTGGTGGCTTACACCTGAAATCCTAGCTACTCAGGCAGAGACCAGGAGGACTGCAGTTCAAAGTCAGAACCATTCACAAAAATAGGGCTGGTGGAGTGGCTCAAGGTGAAGATCCTGAGTTCAAGCCTCAGTACCACAAAAAAAAAAAAAAGAAAAGAAAAAAGAAATAAACTATATAGTTCATTATTCCTAAGTATAAAGTAAAGCTTTAAGTGTACTTTGAATCTTAAATTACATGTATATTTTCCTGATTAAAACAACCCTTACTTTAATCACTCCTTGCTGTATAGAGGGTGATGGGTGGTTCACAAGGACTAAGAGTGTATCTGCTTGAATAAGTTTGTCCATCACATCTTCAAGCATAACATCAGGCAGGATGAGGAGGACTCCACTTAAAAGTTCATATAATCCACAGCATATAGGTACCAAGCATTCTTCAGTTGCACTAAGATGGAGACCAGGAGAGTGTTACTAACATAGTATCAGGGAGAAAACACATGAAGATTACCTTAGAAACTGTGAAATATAGGGTTAAGAAATGGTTCCTAATTTAGATGTGATTAACAAACTTACCATCACTTTTTATCAAGGATGTTTTTAGCTATGTACCATACTAAACACTATTCTATTCTGTATCTACATGTCTAAGGCAATAGTCCCTTGCACTTATGCTATTGAAACTATTGAGAATCCAGTTCCTCAGCTGCACTGGCCACGTTTCAAGAGCTCAGCAGGCAGGTAGCTGCTGTCCACTGCATGGGACAGCACAGAGAAGGCATCTCCACAAGCACAGAAAGGGTCACTGGGTGGTGTCCCTTGGGATGTCACTGGGGACAGGGATTTATCTGATCATTTCTCTGAACTAAAGAATTTTTATCTAATAACTAAAAGGAATGAGATAAGCCACAAGAGAATATGGACTTCAGTACCATCTAATATTGAAAGAGGAGAAAGGCATCTTTCTGTACTGTAAGCAGTGGCATAATGATACTTCTAGAAGTTCAGAGATTCTTCAAAGAATATTTGAAAACTGGGGGGAGAGGTGCACACAACACCACGTGAGTACCTGTGAGCACTTGCAGTTCGGTTGTAGTTTGGCTCATAGCCAAGAGAAAAGGCAAAGTTTTCCCAAACATCAGTGTTCCTATCAACAAGACTCGGCCACCGGCCGACGGCTGCAGACCCGTTCTGCGAAGGAAAAGCTAGCCCAAGACTTGCAATCATGCTGTGGCTTTGCTGGATGGAGGCCAGCCCCTTCAGGTTATCAGGTCGGCGGGGACAGAACTCGTTGCCAGGACTGTCATCATCTGATCTGGGTTCTGTTCCCAAGTCTTGATGATCTACTTTGGCCACGGGAAACCCCAGGGTTCCTTTGGGGACACCACTGACAGAAGCTTGGGCCATGAGAACAGCTTCCTCTTCACACGCAGTTTTTTGCAGACTCACAGCTACTGATGAACGCATCCTCTTTGCCAGTTTTTAGCGTGATAAAACTCCCCAAAGGATTCTGTTTCTCTGGCTGGGTAGCAAGGTAAGGCTCTACAGTGTTTTCTAACTTGTCAATACTACAGTCCAGACTTCTAGTCAGTTTTCGTGGCTGCATTAGTGATGAAGAGGTAGGAAATGTTGGTAGGCTTCTAGAACGCAGTATGTGGGCAGCCATCTGCTGAGGAACAGTATTGGAGGAATCATTTCCTAGTAAGGGTAGACACAAAAATATTACTTAAACATGTATCAGGGCCAGAGGCATAGCTCAAATGGTAGGGCACCTGCCTAGCAAGCATGAAGTTCTGAATTCAAAGCTCAGTACTGTCAAAAAATGTACTAAATGGGATCACTTCTCTTCTGCAGTGTAAGTCACAGCCATGGCAATAGCCTACCCACCTACCACTATGACAGAATCCATGCAGGTTAATTTTAATAAAAAACCATTAACATTCTTAAATGCCAAAGCTATTTTTCTTTTAACCCCTTTTAATTAAAATTCTCCAAAAACATATGTGTTTTTCTATTTCCTTAACAAAATACAGTACTGATGGCATGATTCAAAGTCGTTGGGATTAATGGTTCTGCTACAGTGAAATTAAGTGAATTAAGATTATCTTAATTGACTCAGGCCAGCAGTCATAGAATGCATTGTGACAAAGCAGTAAGATCCATGCTTTGCAACTAGTCACGACTGGATTCAAGGTCATTAGTTTGATGCCCTTAGGTAAATCACGCAATTATACCATAATAGCAGTAGACTCTGCAAATGCAAAATGAGGATTCTGAATGTCTACCTTGCACGGTTCCTTTAAGGATGAAGAGAGATTATATTTGTGATGTACCTAGCATAGCACCTGGCATGTAACAGGTGCTTAATAAAAGGTGGTACTTATGATTAGATCAAATGGCCCTAGACTATTCTCTCTCTTCTCCATTTCTGTAGTCACTTCTTGCTATTCTTAATGAAAAACAATAGTCTTCTCTCTTCTTTATGGCTCTCTCATTTATTGCTTCTCACATTCCACACAGGAGACCAGAAAAATCCCTTTCACAGAGAGCTCAGGTCATAGTATGTGCTCCTCAAGGTGTGCTTGGTGTGCTCGGTGGACAGCTTGTGCAATGGCTAGGAGTTCACATTTCCAGGCCAGGCCTATACCTACTGATCCAAAATGCAGGGGGAAGCACCGGAAATCCCACATTTTAACAAGTTTTCAGGTGTTTTACTAATGTTAAAGTGTCAGAAGTGTGATGCAGAGTAAACAGGCACTAAATGAACTGCTTCACAGCATGGGCCCCACAGCCCAAGTTATTTCTTGATGTTGGCTGGAGAGCTAAAGCTGCCAAAGGATTCTGTTCAAATAACGTAGTAAAAATGGGGGAATGGTTGTATTTGAAAATGTACGAGTGACATGTAATTAAAAAAATAGACATTTCCTATAAATCCCAAATAAAACTAATTAAAACATAACCGTAAAGCATTACAGTAAAAGATCACAAAATGTGCTAGAGGGTAAGTGAAACACTTTAGGAGGTAAACACAATTAGAGACTAATACCCATATATCTAGTCCTATTTTTTCATACTTCTACCTTATCTTCACTACTTAATTGTACTGGAGCTACAGAAGACTAGATTGGATGGATAATAAAAGCCATGCTGCAGCAAGGAAGAGGAGGGCCATCAGGAAAGAGAAAGATGAAAGCCAGTTCACAACTAGGAAACCTGCACCTATTTTTTTTTTCCTATGAAAGCAGAGATGAAGCAGTCTGTTAAGAGTAGTTAGGAAGACAGAAAAGTGCTATAGGCTTAAAGATTTGACTATGTTTACTATAGAAACAGAAGATGGAACTGATTCTGAACATTGGGAAAAAATGATGGGACAGCATTAAAAGCCAGCTGCAGCTTTCAGCAGGGTGAGGGTGGGTATTTGGGTCCAGGACAGGGCTTTCCAGGTCAACACCAACCTGGGTGTTGGCCAAGGGAGCAAGAAAACTGAAGACAGTATCAAGAAAACTGGTGAAGTTACTGGTTAATGGGATATATGCTGGGTAGGCACAGCAAAGGCAAAGGGAACAAGGGCCGGTGATAAAGAAACCAGAAAGATGGGGGATTGTTACAGCATGGATCAGAAAGGGTCAGTGCCTCTTCTTGCCTTCTTCAGTCTACCAGAACTCTCCAGAGGATTCTGTTTCTGGTTGCCAGGAGGGCCAAAGCTGCCAAAAGGCTCTAGTCAAAAGACCCGGAGAAAACAGAGGTGTGATTGTATTTAGAATGTTCAGAGTGACACAGGTTATTTACGAACTGGTCATTTTGGCAGAACAGACTAGAACACTGGGGTTTCAGAGCTGCCTGGAAGCCTTCTTGATGATGCTCAGGTCCATAACAGATGCCTGCAGACAGGCTGGTCAAGGACAGGGGAAGGTCCCCTGAGTCAAGCAATGTGAGGCCGGAGCACTGCTATACTTTTGGCAAGTGAAGCTGTCTGGAATGAGGGCTTAGGAAAAAGAAGAGAGTATGACCAAAAAAATGTGCTTTTGAGGTTACTCCAGAGGCACCTGCACACCCATGTTTATTGCGGCACTATTCACAATAGCCAAGTTATGGAAACAGCCAAGATGCCCCACCACTGACGAATGGATTAAGAAAATGTGGTATCTATACACAATGGAATTTTATGTAGCCATGAAGAAGAACGAAATATTATCATTCGCTGGTAAATGGATGGAATTGGAGAACATCATTCTGAGTGAGGTTAGCTTGGCCCAAAAGACCAAAAATCGTATGTTCTCCCTCATATGTGGACATTAGATCAAGGGCAAACACAAAAGGGGATTGGACTTTGAGCACATGATAAAAGCGAGAGCACACAAGGGAGGGGTGAGGATTGGTAAGACACCTAAAAAATTAGCTAGCATTTGTTGCCCTCAACGCAGAGAAACTAAAGCAGATACCTTAAAAGCAACTGAGGCCAATAGGAAAAGGGGAACAGGTACTAGAGAAAAGGTGAGATAAAAAAGAATTAACCTAGAAGGTAACACACACGCACAGGAAATTAATGTGAGTCAACTCCCTGTATAGCTATCCTTATCTCAACCAGCAAAAACCCTTGTTCCTTCCTATTATTGCTTATATTTTCTCTACAACAAAATTAGAAATAAGGGCAAAATAGTTTCTGCTGGGTATTGAGGGGGTGGGGGGAGAGAGAGGGGCGGGTAGGTGGTAAGGGAGGGGGTGGGGGCAGGGGGGAGAAATGACCCAAGTCTTGTATGCACATATAATAAAAAAAAATGTGCTTTTGAAGAAAATGGGTAAATAAACCAGAAGCCTCCTGAAAGACAAATGATTGTAAGAAATGACAGAGAATGTTATAGCAAGGTAGCATGAGCCCCATCCATTTTCTGAGTTTTCCGGAGGACTTGTGCTGGATACCTCCTTAAATAAGGTAAGTCAGAATAGCAGAAGGTGTAAAAATGGATTCTTTAAACATATTCTATTATTTTAAGTTTAATCTTCCATTTGTTTAGTCTGGATATCAGGCTACACTATATTGCTAAAACATGCACAATTTAATTATCAATGAATATTGAAAACTAAAATGGGAAGTCTTGTATTTTCATTATTGCTACTGTTACCTTCAGGAGGTGAAGCAGTAAAACCAGACGGGCTTATTACCATAAATCCAGGGCCAGGGAGGGATTTTCCCCCACTGCTGGAATGTCGCAGATACATGATTGACTGTACTTTCTCCTGAAAGATCTTGCCATCTAGAATAGGATGAAATAAAAATACAACTTTAAAAGCAAATCATTAAATAAATTATATTTTGACAAAAAGATGTTCAAAGAGAACAATTATGACATGCTTCCTACTACTGCACACTTGGCATGCTACATTTTCTTACTACAGATCTTGTGAATTATTGCTGGCCACAATAACTTCTACTTTCTTTTAATTCCAACTGTATTTACAGTTATTTCTGTGATTTAACTTTTACCTGTTAAATCCTTTTTATATACTATTCTGATCTCTTCAAAGAGAATACTTATCTATTTATTCCTTGAGGAAAGGAGAGTATTGCTATACACCCTCAGTGCAAGATTGTGACTGCCACACTTTTCTTTCTGAGCTTCCTTAGAAATTCACCACATTCATTTCTTTTTTCTTTCCCTATTATTTATTTATTGGAGGGCCTGGGGTTTGAACTCATGGCTTTACTCTGGCAAAGCAGGTGCTTTACCACTTGAGCCATACCTCCAGCCCATTTTGTTCTGGTTACTTTGGAGATAGGGTCTCACCTGGGCTGGCTTTGAACCTCAGTCCTCTTGATTTCAGCCTCCCTAGTAGCTAGGATTACTGGTGTGACCCACCCAGTGCCTGGCTTACATTGATTTCTTACTTGGACCATAAGCACAATAACTTTGTGCTCTCACTTTACTCCTCCTGTTTATTCTGTGGCTAGTTTAGTAGAAGTACTATTCATCCACATAGAGAATGGAGTTGTCCTGGACACCAGCTTCCCTTCATTTCAAGTAAGTCATCAGGGTCTACTGACTTTCCTTCCACCTTCTGGAATTCTTCTCCCCTCTAACATGGTGTGATAATAAGGGCTTGATCATCTCCCCCCTGTATTACTGTCACAGATTTCTAAATGGCATCCTGGTAGACATCTTGTCACCTTCAAATCTTTACAGCTACCAGAATTCTCTCTGTTAAATGTCATCTCTGGCTTAAAAACCTTCCAGGGGCTTTCTGCTGCCTTCTTAACACCTTAGATTAAAGGGCAAGCTTTTTGTCTAAGAATCTCCATGATCTGTGCCCAGGGCACCTTTCAGTCTTGTTTCTTACACTACATTTCAGCAACACCAACTTCTGAGTCAAGCCCCTGCCTTTGCCTGGAGGGCCCTTCCCTTTGAGCAGAGAGCATCTCCTCCAGAAAATATACCCTCAGGCCTCACCATGCTCTGTGCCACCAGAAAATAAAACACTGACTTCCACAACACTGTGCTTTCTTTCCACACAGTGTGGTGCAACTACCTGTTTATGTTTCTCTCCCCTCTACTGGGCTATAGGCCTCTTAAGGGAGGGAACCGTATTTTTCTTGTATTTGTAATTACCCTGCTTCAGAATGCTGCAGAGTACTTTGCCCACTTAAGTGTGCTGACCCTAACAGGAAGTCATGCCATCTAATTTTATCTGGACTTTTAGTGATGCTCAATCATTTTGCTCACTTATTCCATTTCTTAAAATGTCTGTCATAAACCAGTTTTCCACTTTAGACTTACTAGCTTACCTAGCTTTCTCATAGGTTCACTTTTGCTTGCTTTCTTGCCACATTATATTTCTCTTTTACTGATTCCTCTTCTTGTTGCACCTTCTAAATAATAACATTACCAGTAATTCTATTCTTAGCTTCCTCTTTCCTTCTCTTTCTAGATACTGCTCTTCAGAGATTAAACTCAACTCTATGTAGGCAGCTTTTTGTAGCTTCTCTCATGTTTATAACCCTCCTTTCCAACTGCCTGCTAGACCATTATTACAGGGCACCTCAAATACAACATGTACCATAAAACCAAAGTCATTATCCTCTTCCCTAACATCTGCAGAGTCATTCCATCTTAAGCTTCTCACTTCTCCACCTATCCAGTTCCACTGTTACTAGCCCAGAGTCTATTATTTTGTGTCTATTCTAGATTACTATAATTGGTCTTAGTGTTCCCTAGTTTCTTAGTCCTGAATCCTATTGCAATAATTTATTTATGTCATGTTTCTTTGCTCAAAAACAAACAAATGAACAAAACCAAACCCTTTTAATGACCTCTAACTGAAACAGAGTTCAAATTCTCTGGCCTTACATTCAAGGACTCATTTACTAAAACCCTGGGGAGAATAAATATAATAAATGATGGTCTCAAACTATATTTATGGCATTATTTCTCACTATTTTTATAGATCCCATGTATGTACTTAGGTAAAAGTCATTACTCCTTACTTTCTCTTTCCAGTTTTCCACTCTTTAAGTCATTCTCTTTGCCTGTAATGCTAGTTCTCCAATCTACCTATCAAATTTTACCTAAATTCTTTCATGATCACAATAGACACAATATAATCTACTAAAAGTTCTTCCCCATAAGTCTGATGAAACACTCCCCTCTCTGAGATCTCATTAGTTTGCCTTTTGTATCCATTAGGTACTTACCTGATTTTTTTTTTTATCAGTTATTTGAGTGCATGCTGCTTCTCTCCTCTTGGCATTTAAGCTCCCTGGAGGTAGAGGCCATTTCTAGCCTGTCTCAACCCCAGTATGTAAATAGAGTAGTTTCTAGCCCAGAGAGATCATCCAATAAATTATCAAAACAAATGTGGATCAAGTGGGAATAATAAGACAAAAGTGGAAATAGTTAAGATCCAACAAAAGTGATTATACCTACCTATGTGCAAAGAAAAGTAGAAGTTTGTGGGATTGTGACAAACGTAAGTATTAGTAGGAGGGTGAACTGCTAAAAGGAAATTGAAGATAATTGTCAATAATTCCAAATCTGGAGGAGATCCAAGGACTTCTGCAATAATTTTCACAAATGATCTACAAACCTCTCGGGGCATGGATGTAAGTTGCCCCTCTTTGTGTTCCTGAAAAAATAAAAATTAAACTTTCCTTAGATTTTAGAAATAATTGTCAACTAACATTCTTAATTTAAGCAAGATAGTTTTTTTAAGAGTTCTGTTGATTTACTACTCTAGTCTGACCACATTTGTCATTAAAATCTCAACTTGAGCCATTTTATCATTAATTCACTAAAACAGCTGGGAATGGTGACTTGTGCCTGTAATCCTACCTACTTGGGAGGTGGAGACTGGGAGCATCACAGTTCAAGGCCAGCCTGGGCAAAAAGTTTACAAGACCACATCTCAACCAATGGTTGGGTGTGGTGGCACACACCTGCCATCCTAGCTATGTTGGGAAGCACAAGTAGGCGAACTGCTGTAGTTTAGACTGGCTACAGCATAAAGCAAGACCCTATCTCAAAAACAACCAATGCAGGGCTAGAGACATGGGTTAGAGTGCCTGCCTCGCAAGCATAAAGCTCTGAGTTCAAACCTCAGTACCTAAATAAATAACCAACACAAAAAGGGCTACTGGAGTGATTGAAGTAACAGAGCACTTATTAGCAATCCCCAGAACCACACACAAAAAAATAATCACTAAAACTGATAGCAATTTAATTCTGGCCCATTAACTTAATTAACTGAGGCAAAGTTATGCTATAGCACTCACAAGCATGGACTCAAAAGCCAAACTGCCTAGGTCTGCATTCTGGCTCCTTTAGTCAGTCACTAGATGTGTGATTTGTAGGGAAGTTATCTGATATTTTCATGCTTTTATTTCTGTGTCTATAATATGAAAATAATGGCAAAAGTACTTAATAAGGTGTTACAAGGATCACATGACACAAACTCTTAGAACAGTGCTTCATACACAGTAACCCCATACAGGTATATATCCCTTGTCTAAAATGTGTGGGGCCAGAGTGTTTCAGATTTCAGAGTTTTCTGGATTTGAGAATATTTGCATAGACTTTATAGTTAAGCATCCTTAATTCAAAAATCAGAAATGTTCCAAACTCTGAAATGTTATGAGTACATGATGCTAAAAACTTTCAGTTACTATTAGTAACTGTACTACAATTATTAGAAGTAGTATCACTATGACTTCCTTTTCTACTACTGCTATGGAATCTGGAAGAAATTTTTCTTAAAGAAAAAACTAGTTACACTAACATAACATGCTCTGAGTTACAAAGCTCTTTCTTACAATGGTTCTGTGAGGGCCCTTATCTTTTATTTCTAGATTATGGGAATAAAAGTTCTTATCTGACTATCTTAAGCCACACAGAAAATACATAAACTCTACAACTATAACTTGATGTCAGGCCTCCACCGTCTTTCTGCAGCATTAACTATTGCTTGGAGTAATGAGATTTGATAGAATGCCCAGTAATTACTAAAAATAGAGATATAACTTGTTTATATCCTTCACCTCTGCTCCCCTAGTGGGTAGCAGCTGGCCTCCAGATTAAGGAGATGGAAGTAAACCACCTCACCTCCCTCTCCCTATGTCCAAACATATAGCTCTCCACCCACTGCTCTTCATGTACTATTGTACACTGCTGATGTCAAAAGGAGATGTTATTTGTGAGTCAATTTAGTCTGAGTACCTCACATTTAGGAGGAGAATATCAAGTGCACAAAAGAAAGCACAAACCCATTTGCCAAGATCTCTTGACTGTCGAGAGGCCAGGACAATATGAGACCATGTCTCCTGACTTCCATTCAGAGCTATTTCTGCTACAGCCAGAAGGTTCTTCCCTTACTCTAACTTGAATCTCCAAACTTTCCTGGTTGTCTTATCAATTATTTATCCCTATTGCCATCCCAGCCAGTTTCTCCAATCTTGCTCTCTCCAATGACTTCTCAGAAATAGTCTTTGGTATCCAATTTCATTTAAGAAACAAATCCTGGGCTGGAGATGCAGCTGGAATAGAGTGCCTCCTTAGCAAGAGAGAGGCCCTGAGTTCAAACCCCACCACTGCCCTTCACAAATTCTCTGCCTTGACCCTTTAAGATTCTGTTTTTTTTTCTTTGCTCTTGCTGCTGGATTTTTAAATTATAGTTTCTTCTCACTGCCTCTGATGACCCGCCACACACACTGCCAGTTTCTGAAATGTGGTTCTTGTCTTCTCCACACAATTTAAATCTTGCAAGCCATTCATACAATTCATCAGCTTACACTTTCTCTGAACTTTCTCCATCATTTGGCTTTGGGGCCACCACCTGTGAGCATTGTTCTGCTTGCCCTTGGCCACCACTTTCCTGAGTTTCCTGGTTCTTCTCTTAGCTCTTGGTTTATTCTTTCAACATCTTTCCTAGCTCCTGTTCCTGCTTCTCATCCTGACAACAGATATCTCTGAAGTGCAAAGCTCAGCCCTCTATGATTACTGCTTGCTTACAGTATAGATGCTAATCTCATAGTGCTTATCTGTTCCCCCAGATTGACAGCCACTGTCGAGTGCTCTGCAGCAAGCCCAGTGCAGAAAACCTACAAAACTTGCATGGCTGCTTTACTGATGCTGTCATTCTTATAGTCTGAGAGTTTGAAATTTTATGTTATACTGAGCTCCTATTTAAACAAAATCATGTCTTACTAGTTCTGTGGTTTTAATCTCTCTCATATTGTCTCCTTACTTGTTCACTACCATTTTTTTTTATCACTTTAGCTCAGGTTCATTACACTGCACTTATAAACTAATGAAACTGTCTCACATCCACTGGGCTAACAAGTTATTAATCTTCTTGAAATAACCATAAAGAATCTGAGATATTTTAAGGAAAAGACTAAGATCATTTCTTTATATACTTTCCATAGACCCAACACAAGGCTATGCTTAATAAATAGCTGTTAATTTGAAAAATAAGTTCTCTGAATGAAGAAGGGTGAAGAAATCCACCATTCAGAAAAAAGGAATTGGTACCTGGGTTTTTCAAGCATTCTTATAAAATGACATGGAAGTGTTCATTCATTGAACAAATATTTACTGGGCTCCTATTTAAACAAAATCATGTCTTACTATATACCATGTACATAGTACCATGTACCATGTACAGGGGTTACTCTGTGGTCAACAAAACACATACCCTGCCCTTAGGAGGTGTACAGACAGAAATAAAAGTATAATGTCACACACAGCACATAGTGTGTGCTTACTAAGAGGTGGGAAGACGCCTCACTGTGTAGGGAGGAAAGAACCCCAGGGAGCTGAGTGGACATAAGAGGAGGCTGGCGTGGTCATCAGATCACACGAGTCTCCTCATGGATATAGTCATAGTGCTTGGATTTTAGCCCAGCCACAATGAGAAGTCCAAGTGCCACTGAGGCAAAGGCACTAAAAACAAAGTATTACTGATCCCATGGATCACCCATACTTATCTAATTGATAAAATACTAACAAATGCCTTGGGCATTTTAGAATCCTTGGAATATTGTCCAATATACCAACAAGACAGATAAAAGGACATCTGTAAAGGCAGAGAAAACAATTTAACTAGAAGCCAGACCATAGCACATACATTACAACATAAAGTTAGTACTGCTATTTGTTTGAGACAGGGTCTCATTATGTAGCCCAGGTTGGTCTTGAACTCTTGATCCTTCTGTCTCAGCTTCTCAAGTACTGGGATTACAGGGGTGCCCCACGCTGCCCAATTCAGTACCACTTTGTAACATAATATTTTGGACAGCTTTCCAAGTTGCTATTTCTGACATATAAGATAGACCTCCACAAGCTACACTTATTAAAACAATACATACTTTCAAGTTGCTATTTAAGGAATATGGGAAAAGTTAAGGCTCATCAGCCATTGCTAGTGCTCAAGAAACTACAAAATGATCCCATCCCAACAGAAAGCACCATCTCAGAAATGTAGCAGTTGCCGTTCTTTTTGAAAGATGACAGTGTGAAGATCAAGAGGCAAGAGTTGTAAGATGGGAACCTGGAGAATACATAAGATGAAAAAGAGAAAAAAAATCTCCACCGAGAGTACCACAAAAATTTGATGCCCCTAGTATTAAATTAGTCATCAGAGACAACTGTAGTGGATGCCTCCCAAGTAAAGCTGAGGGAAAGTACCTGCAAAACCTGACAGGTCAGTAGGAAGTGATGAACCACTCGCGCTCTCAGCAACTGCTTAATATTGAAGCACTGTTGTTGGTGCTCTGCCCGGATGAGGACTTCTAGTGCGGCCAGCAGAGTTTCCCACACACCTTGCTGAGAAAGGAAGGAAACATGCACCAGTTAGCACAGGCACTGAAAAAACATGCTGCAGGCCACTTCCAAGACTATGCACCAATTTAACACTGTGTATATTCAATGTCAAAGATTACACATTTATCTGAAAAAAGTAAATCTTGAAATTTGTCCCCCATTTTTATTTCTTGTTTCAATGGGTCATTTCTAAATACCTTTGTTGAATAAAGTATTGAATTTGGTGATGTAGTACATTACCCTACCTAAATCATTAAATGATATGTAAATATTTTCAAAAGGGATTTATTCGAATCAACAAAACACATACATTACCAATATAATTGCTTTCAAATTATTTGTTCAGAGTGGTGTTATTAAAAATGAATAAATTTCAGTACTAATTTGCATACACAGTATTTAGCCAAATAATTTTAGAAAAAGTTCCACACTGAAGGATTAATGTATATTTAGTCCCAAATAATAGAATTCTCTGCATAATTATGAGCTGCATCTTCAACATCATTTGAAGGTGTCTTAAAAAGCTCCTACCACATTGAATAAAAAAAAATTATCCATAATCCTGGAGAAAAACAGATCTCATACAGATAACTAATACTGAAAGGTAATTTTATCATCTTATGGTGATAAGAATTATATATGATACATATGTGATTAGCCTTCCAACAAAACTACTAACAAAAGTAAAACTGGCTGGCATGAGTTGCAAGTCTTAATAATTCTCCTGTCATTATCTGACAGTAGTGAACAATGACAGCCAAGGAATCAACAGACTGATCACACTACTCTTAGCAAGGCCTCTGTCTTCATAAGACAGAACCAAGACACCCAACAGAAAAAGGTGTCTGGTAACTGGAAGGTCAGGCAGCCGAAGCATGAACACTTGGTACAGGTCTGACAAACAGTACCAGAATAATACAGAGCCAATACAATGAAACAACAAACAGCAAAAACCAAACAACAGAAACAGTTCAAAAATAATTAGGTAAGAACACCCTTATGTATGGTTTATCACATATGAATGCAATAAAACATTTTTTAAATCAAACAACCCCAAATTTGCTTGCTCTTTTGAAATAGTAAATTGACTCTCCAACATTTAGTCAGATAGATCTTCCAATCTCCAACTCAGCTTATTCTTTTTTTGGCAATACTGGGGTTTGAACTCGGAGCCTCATGCTTGCTAGGCAAGTGTTCCACCACCTGACCCACACGCACCCCCCAGCCTCCTCTCATTTTTTTTTTTTGCTTTATTTTTCCAGTACAGTTTTTTATTTTTTTTTGCCCAGGGCCAGCCTCAGACTGTGATCCTCACTTTTTGCCCAAACTGGTCTCACAATGCAATCCTCCTATTTCTACCTTCTGAGTAGCTGGGGTTAAGGCATGAGCCACCATGCCCAACGAGCATATTCTTTGTTACATACTGACTTTGATTTAATTTGTTTACATATTTTATCCCTATGTTCATTTGCTTTCTCTCTCTGCAATATTAAACATATTTTGAACTATATTCCTTTTTTAGGTCTGAAAATGAGTATTTGGAATGAGACATCAAAATAGATTACAAAGTTAAGAAAACTGACAAATGCCATCAACACCACAAATATAGAAAAACAGCAGTTTAGTTAGTAGTTTGGCAGTCCTTTTTGATACTTTTATGTATGTGGGTACATACTCTTTAATTTCCTTTTCATAAAACAACAGTTTTCTAATATAAATTTCTACAGGAAGAGCAGAAAAGTAATTCTTCCTCTGTTTGTACAAAATTTCTTTATTTGGGCAGCACTGGAGTTTGAACTTGGGGCTTCGCACTTGCTAGGTAGGTGCTCTACCACTTGACCCACTCCACCAGCGCTTTTTTTGTGTGTGTTGATTATTTTCAAGACAGGGTTTCACAAACTATTTGTAAGCCTTGGTTGGCTTCAAACCACGATCCTCCTGATCTCTGCCCCTTGAGTAGCTAGGATTATAGGCGTGAGCCACCAGCACCCGGCTTGTACTAAATTTCTTATAAATGATAGATTTGAAAAGATTTTTTTAGCTTCACAATTTGTTAGTAATTATAAATTTTTAAGGGTTGTTGCCAAATTTGGGAATAATCAATTAAAAAAATGCTAACAGTATATACTTGGAGTTGCCCTTCAAATAATTAAGTTTGACAATACTACTATTATATTCCAAATGATTCCAGACAATCTCGTTTTTTGCAAAAACCACCAACACTTACTCCTGTTGGCGAATACTATGTGGTTCCACTGACATTCGACACTCACAGTGGTCAAAATCATTGCGTGCAAGGTGGTGGTTGTCAGGCCTGGGGCGGGGAGGAAAATAGGAAGCTACTATTTAACGGCATAGAATTCTGGTTTACAAGACAAACTGCAGATAGATGGTGGTGGTTGTACAGCACTGTGAATACACTCAGTGCTTCTGAACCACACACTTAAAAATGGTCAAGAGTGAATTTTATGACATGTGCACTTTACAATAAAAAATGAAGAAGAAGTACATGACATGCCTCTGCTTTGTTCCATATCTTCCAATCAAGCAAGAGCTCCTCTAATAGTTTAACATCTTGGATTATAGCATTAGTCTCCACATCCAACTTAAATTCTCCATTCTCACTGATATGGATAACATCTTCGCCACAACAACCTTCAAGAAGAGTCTATGGAAAATTAGCATTAATATAAGTGCTGCAGTAATAGCTGATTCACCAAGTAATTCAACAAAACATTAAGCTTTCAATCTTAGCCATCGTAACATTAAAGTCAAAGGAAGACTACTAAATAGTTCTCAACACTTGACAAAATATCTGTGCTTCACACAATAATTCAAATAAAAAATCCCAAACTTTCAAATATTTGTGATTACTCAGACTTAAAACATAAGGTAAAACAATCCACATTTTATTTTTATGTTTTGATTTTTACAGTGCTGGGGATTGAACCCAGGACGTTGGAATGCTAGGCAAATACTCTACCACTTGATTTTGTTTTTTTAGTTCAAGTTCCAGTGCTTACTAATAGGTGACTTTATACCAGTCCTTTGATCTCTCTCTGATTCTGTCTCCATCCCTACAAAATAGAGACGTGAAACAATATAAGCCACTATACCTTCAAGTTGGCAAGAGTACTAAGACTGTCTATCCCTCCTGACAATCTGGTGATACGGACTAGTTTTACAGGCTCCCTTTTACAGATATGGAAGCTGAGGCCCAGACTGGTGAATATAGCCCTTGGTTTTTTGAGACAGGGTCTCACTAGGCAGCTCAGGCTGGCTTTGAACTCATGATCTTCCCACCTCCACCTTCAGAGTGCTGGGATTACTGGCATGCACCACCATGCCTGGCTGTTATTTCCATTTTTTAAATTGAATTACTCTGCTATTAGTAATAAGCGTTCATGCCACAAATGTATACATCTTGATAAATTAAAGAGGTGGGGGGGAGGGGAAGATAGAAGAATCATCTTTTTGCCTTAATACTCATCCTCAGAGAGAAATACTTTCACAACTGTCAGCTAGAAGGTATTCAACATATTTATGGCGATCGACAGCGATGACAGTGAAAAACACCAGATATTTGTAATTTTACAGATATGACTGCAGCCCAGTATTGCCTTGGGAGCCAAATGTGTCCCATACCTCTAGAGAGCTTAGGTCCTTCCTCCCTAAGTTGTGGAGTGAGGAAAGCCAGCTTCATCAGATCTGCTAAGAAATGAGGGCCTGCATGAGTGCATATATTAAAAAGACTGAAAGATCCCAAATCAATGACCTAATGATACATCTCAAACTCCTAGAAAAACAAGAACAAGCAAATCCCAAAACAAATAGAGAGAGAATAATAAAAATAAGAGCTGAAATCAAACGAATAGAAACCAAAAAAACCATACAAAGAATTAATGAAACAAAAAGTTGGTTCTTTGAAAAAATAAACAAGATCGATAGACCCCTGGCAAACCTGACTAAAATGAGGAGAGAAAAAACCCAAATTAGTAGAATCAGGAATGCAAAAGGGGAGATAACAACAAACACCATGGAAGTCCAGGAAATCATCAGAGACTACTTTGAGAACCTATATTCAAATAAATTTGAAAATCTAAAGAAATGGACAGATTTCTAGATACATATGATCATCCAAAACTGAACCAAGAGGAAATTAATCACCTGAATAGACCTATAACACAAAATGAAATTGAAGCAGCAATCAAGAGTCTCCCCAAAAAGAAAAGTCCAGGACCTGATGGATTCTCTGCTGAATTCTATCAGACCTTTAAAGAAGAACTGATACCAACCCTCCTTAAACTGTTCCATGAAATAGAAAGGGAAGGAAAACTGCCAAACACATTTTATGAAGCCAGTATTACACTTATCCCAAAACCAGGCAAAGACACCTCCAAAAAGGAGAACTATAGGCCAATCTCCTTAATGAACATTGATGCAAAAATCCTCAACAAAATAATGGCAAACCGAATTCACAACACATCAAAAAGATTATTCACCACGACCAAGTAGGCTTCATCCCAGGGATGCAGGGGTGGTTCAACATACGAAAATCAATAAACGTAATAAACCACATTAACAGAAGCAAAGAAAAAACCACTTGATCATCTCAATAGATGCAGAAAAAGCCTTTGATAAGATCCAACACCATTTCATGATAAAAGCTCTAAGAAAACTAGGAATAGAAGGAAAGTACCTCAACATTATAAAAGCTATATATGACAAACCTACAGCCAGCATTATACTTAACGGAGAAAAACTGAAACCATTCCCTCTAAAATCAGGAACCAGACAAGGATGCCCACTATCTCCACTCCTATTCAACATAGTACTGGAATTCCTAGCCAGAGCAATTAGGCAAGAAGAAGGAATAAAAGGAATACAAATAGGTAAAGAAACTGTCAAAATATCCCTATTTGCAGACGACATGATCCTATACCTTAAAGACCCAAAAAACTCTACTCAGAAGCTTCTAGACATCATCAATAGCTATAGCAAGGTAGCAGGATATAAAATCAACATAGAAAAATCATTAGCATTTCTATACACTAACAATGAGCAAACTGAAAAAGAATGTATGAAAACAATTCCATTTACAATAGCCTCAAAAAAAATCAAATACCTAGGTGTAAACCTAACAAAAGATGTGAAAGACCTCTACAAGGAAAACTATACACTTCTGAAGAAAGAGATTGAGGAAGACTATAGAAAGTGGAGAGATCTCCCATGCTCATGGATTGGTAGAATCAACATAGTAAAAATGTCGATACTCCCAAAAGTAATCTACATGTTTAATGCAATTCCCATCAAAATTCCAATGACATTCATTAAAGAGATTGAAAAATCTACTGTTAAATTTATATGGAAACACAAGAGGCCACGAATAGCCAAGGCAATACTCAGTCAAAAGAACAATGCAGGAGGTATCACAATACCTGACTTCAAACTATATTACAAAGCAATAACAATAAAAACAGCATGGTACTGGCACAAAAACAGACATGAAGACCAGTGGAACAGAATAGAGGACCCAGATATGAAGCCACACAACTATAACCAACTTGTCTTTGACAAAGGACTAAAAATATATCGATGGAGGCATAGCAGCCTCTTCAACAAAAACTTGCTGGGAAAACTGGTTAGCAGTCTGCAATAAAAACTGAAAACTAGATCCCCATTGTAAATCACCGGAGAAGCCTAATACCCAGATTAACTCAAATGGAATCAAGGATCTAATATCAGACCCCAACCTCTTAAGTTGATAACAAGAAAGAGTGAGAAATACTTGTGAGATAGTAGGTATAGGTAAGAACTTTCTCAATGAAACCCCAGCACACAGCAACTAAGAGATAGCATAGATAAATGGGACCTCATAAAACTAAAAAGCTTCTGTTCAACTCAAAAGAAATGGTCTCTAAACTGAAGAGAACACCCACAGAGTGGGAGAAAATATTTGCCAACTATACATCAGACAAAGGACTGATAACCAGAATATACAGGGAACTTAAAAAACTAAATTCTCCCAAAACTAAGTGAACCAATAAAGAAATGGGCATGTGAACTAAACAGAACTTTCTCAAAAGAAGAAATTCAAAATGGCCAGAAAAAACACATGAAAAAATGCTCACCATCTCTAGCAATAAAGGAAATGCAAATTAAAACCACGCTAAGATTCCACCTCACCCTGTTAGAATAGCATCATCAGCAACACCACAAACAACAGGTGTTGGCAGGATGCGGGAAAAAGGAACCTCTTACACTGTTGGTGGGAATGTAGACTAGTCAACCACTCTGGAAAAAATTTGGAGGCTACTTAAAAAGCTGGACATCGATCTACCATTTGATCCAGCAATACCACTCTTGGGATATACCCAAAAGACTGTTACTCCAGAGGCACCTGCACATCCATGTTTATCTGCGCCACTATTCACAATAGCCAAGTTATGGAACAGCAAGATGCCCCAGCACTGACTGACATGAATTAAAAATGTGGTATCTATACACAACTGGAATTTTTATGTAGCCATGAAGAAGAACGAGAATGTTATCATTCGCTGGTAAATGGATGGAATTGGGAGAAACATTCATAGTGAGGTTAGCCTGGCTCCAAAAACCAAAAATCGGTATGTTCTCCCTCATATGTGGACATTAGATCAAGGGCAAACACAACAAGGGATTGGACTATGAGCACATGATAAAAGCGAGAGCACACAAGGGAGGGATGAGGATAGGTAAGACACCTAAAAAAACTAGCTGCATTGTTGCCCTTAATCAGAGAAAACTAAAGCAGTACCTTAAAGCAACTGAGAGCCAATAGGACAAAGGGAACAGGTACTAGAGAAAAGGTAGATCAAAAAGAATTTAACCTAGAAAGGTAACACCCACTGCACAGGAAATCAATGTGAGTCAATGCCTGTATAGCTATCCCATTTTTATTTTTTTTTTATCTAAACCGCAGAAACTCTTGTTCCTTCTATTAATTCGCTTGATACTCTCTCTAGCAGACAAAAATTGAATAAGGGCAAAAATAGTTTGGTTCTGCTGGGTATTGGGGGGAGAGGGAGGGGCGGAGTGGGTGGTAAGGGAAGGGGGTGGGGGCAGTGGGGAGAAACTGAACCAATCGCTTGTCAATGGCACATCAATGAATAATAAAGAAAAAAAAGAATGAGGGGCTGGCCTGGAGGATGTCACTGATGCATCCATAACTAAAATTCTTTCTTTCTTTTTTTTTTTTGCAGTACTGAGGCTTGAACTATTTGCCCGGGCTGGCTTCAAACCACGAACCTCCTGATCTCTGCCTCCTGAGTAGCTAGGATTATAGGTGTGAGCCTTGGGCGCCGAGCTAAAATTCTTTGAGTTTATTTTTTTTCTTACTTTTCTAAGATACTTTAAATAACAGAAAAATGCAATTATTTAAATGATGAAAAGAGCCAGAAGAGTTCATTGATTTGATTAAACATGCACTAGTGAGTTTCCTTCATTTTCTCCAGGAGTGCCAAAACAAAGCTATTACTGGAAGACTTTGATGAGGGTGAGAATCAGTGTATAGAGACCACAAGAATAAATTTTATGAGACCATACCTTCAAAATGTGAAAGCCAACAATGCATTTTTGTTTGATCAACACCTGATGAATCATGGAAAGTCCATTACAATTTTCCAATTCGTGTACTCTCTGTTGGCTGTATTTAATTAAAGACAATATAACTCGCAGTGCTAATGCTTGAGTTTGTTCACAGTCACTGAGTTCCACAACCTAAAAGCAAAAGTGGAAACATTTTTAGCTTTATCTGTTAAGTGTGTGATTTGCCATTATGTTCTATCAGGCCGTTAGTTTCTAGGAAGGCTTATTTTTAACGCTTATACTGTAACTAATTAAGAACTGTGGATGAACTTCAGCCTCTTAAATGGACTGTGAATGAATTCAAATAACACAGACAGCCATAGAGGTCAGGAGCATTTTATACTTAGCAATCTGAAATAGTACCTCAAGTTTTCAATTATCAATCAAGAAATAGGCTCTGATATCAAGTGCTACAAGAGATTCAAAGAAGCAAAAGGTATGATGCTTGCCCTGAAGGGAAATCCTGTCTAGCAAAAAAATAACAAGTAAAATAAAAGCCACATATAGTGTCTTGCATTCAGTTCCAACACTTCTAACAGCTACTATATGTAAGAAATACCTATTACCATGATAAAATCAAAGAAGGAAACAACAGACACTCCATAAGAACAGAGTGCTTCTGATTCTCTGCTGCTTTAGGGAAGGCCGCACAGAGAGAAGCAGGCTTGGAAAGAGAAAGAGCCAAACCCTGCCTGGAAAGCAGGGATGCAGCATGCTCAGGTGGGGCAAAGGCCTACCATGGAAGCTTGTACAGCTCAGGAGGCTGTGGGCTTCCTCTGGTGGAGATGACCTCATGAAGCAGGCTATGTGAGTAAGGAAACTAAAATTTATTTTTGAAGGGAAGGTAAAGATACTGAACAAGGAAAGTTTTTAAGTTTTAAATGTGAAAACATACTTTAAAGGTCTTATTGGCAAGATTCTAATGTATGTACAATAGAAATCTAACCATTTTCTCTAGGATTTAATCACTGCAACAAAATTGAACATTCAATTTTGAATTGAATATTCAATACCTGATGAAGAGAAAAAACGAAGGACAAGTATTTTGAAATAACAGAGTGGTATAAAAAGAGATCACAAAATGTTGATGAGGAAGTAAATGAAGAGTTTTTACTTTTAAAACATGAGGGGAAAATCTATTTAACTAGATACTGGACTGGAAAAAGTAATAAAAGGGTAGAGGAAGAGAAAACAAGACAGCTTACAGAGTTCAGTGGATCAAATGCCAACAAGATAAAATATTTCACCTTATAAAATAAGAACACAACAACAAATGTTGATATGCTCCTTTATGGCAAAGTTAAATCAAAGGTGGCCCCACTAAAGAAAGCCATCCAGTTAAGGAAACAGTGTGAAAATTTGATGATGCTTTAAAAGTTAGACTTGGGATAAAATGGGGTGGCATTCTGAGGATGAAGACTTGGGCAATTTAATTAGATGGGATATGGACCTGAAGAAGTAGAAATGATCTGTAACAAAGTGACGCTATTTGGTTATTATGGATCTCAGCAATCCCAGAAATAGTCAATACATAATCAAAGTGATTGCTCACTTTGCATCAGGGAAGATATTGGTCCTGCCTTCAAATGACTAAACAGAACAGGTAATTAAGTGGTTTCTTTTAAAATGGTACTTATGGCCTGTGTCAATAAATAATTTTTTTCACTTATTTGTTGACCTTTGCCCCATGCACTGGGAAGTTTCAAGAGACAAACTTTCTCTTTTTAAAATCCGTTTCTTTCATATCATCACTAAAAGCATACATTTTTCCTTCCAAAGGCAATTTAAAATCTCGTATTTGACATTTACTTGTTCCAATTACATTTGTGGATAACATAAAACTTCTAACACCTTCATAAAATAGAAGAACCTTAATTACATGTGGCGGAAAGCTGGATGTCATCCTGTTATGTGATTTTCTTATCTTAAAAGTTGAATAGAGTTGAGTGTAGCTTTTTTTGTAGTTTACAAGTAGCCCTTTAATTTGTCAGTAAAAAAGTAGTTTTATCTTTAGACAAACTATAAATCATGGTTCTTACCCTAGCAAAGAGGAAAACAAATATACCAGCTCCACCAATCTCATGCAGAATGCCCTGAACAGTTTGACATTCAGTGGGCTGGAGGGTCTTCAGCTGAGGAGGTTCTAGCAAGATGCTGTGGACTTCTTTTGAGCTGAAGGGTCTTTGAGAGGGCTGGGTTTTCACTTGACCTTTGAGTCTAATCACTGGTTCATAGATGGTGTACTGGCCTGGGCAATAAGTTGTATAAACAACTGAAAGACTTTCCTGAAACACAAAAGGTTTCCTTTAGTAACAAAACAAAGTTTCAAAAGTAAGGTATGGGTTAACAAAAAAATTTCAATGTGAAAAGATATCTAATTAGTTGGTTTTTATTTTTAAAAAGATGGTTATTACATTAAACTAAGAAGAACATTCGAAGCAAGGCTGCTTCTCAGAAAGGAAATTGGTCAGTTTCATTGAGCTGTGGCCAATAACATAAAGTATCCCACAGTTGAGAAGAGTTGTAGTTCTGATTGGTTCAGAATAAACATGAAATCATACTTTCCATTAGTACTAGTTACATCGAAGTCTTCTGCTACACTCATTATAGACCAGGCACTATTTTTAACACTTTGAAATATGGGAACTCTGGGTCAATTTACCTGAAAATTTTCCTTTGGATTTGCTCATGGTCATCTAAAAGTGACTCTAAACTAGATTTTTCTTTTTATTAGAATAAAATTCCAGAAAGCCAGCAGAAGTAAACAAAATTCTTGGGCCACACTTGAGATCTACCAAATCAGAGGCTTTGGCACAGCAGTGTGTGTTTTAACAAGTCCTCGGGTGATAGTGCTGGACACTCAGCTTGAGAACCATTTCCCTAAAGCATGTTTCCTCAGTGAGGAGACTTTTGGAGTACAATGACCCTCTGTCATTTAACAGTGTCCATGCACTCAGACCATTTGGTATCCCTAGCCCCCACCCAACAACTGCTAACAACCAAAATCTGCCCCCCCCCACCATTTTAAAACACTGTTTAGGGAAAAAAGTATTATATGCCTAATGTCAAAGTTTTCAGTGCATTATAGTTATTTAGTAGATCTTCTAAAAGTAGTGGTATTTTTGTGATTTTGTTGTTGTTTTTGTTTTTGAGATAGGCTGGCCTGGAACTCACACTCTTCCTGCCTCAGCCCCTTAAATACTGAGACCACAGGTGTGCGCCACTATGTCTACCCTGAAATCCTGGATTTCTAGTTGCTACTGATGAAAAACCGTAGTAGCGCCAAAACTGTATACTGGCAGGACAAAATATTACAATAACATAAAAAAAAGTTTCCTATTCGCAGAATTAGCAAGATTTTGAAGGCAAAATTCCTGGGTTTTATTGATGCTGAAGAATAAATTATCTAAAACATGAATGCATGTAATTAAAACTGGTATCACAGATGAATGCTAGCATACATTTGCCAGTATAAAATATTATAAATGAATATCAGTATTTATTTGTAAGTATGCAAAAGGGAATAATGAGTGGTATGTTTTATCAGTACACCAGGCAAAAATGTGCTATATTTCTCCTTGTATCATAAGCATTTTTCCTGAATGATTAGTAAGTACAAACTAAACCAAACTTATACAATTACCACAGAAATATTATGTGAGGCCCTGAGTTCAAACTCTAGTGCCACTAAAAAAAAATAAATAAAAACAAGAAACATAATTCCAAGGAAAAGGAAATATAAACTTAAAGCATGGAATAATACTTGACTATACATTTCAATAAATATACCTGTAAAAATTTACTATAGTTAATTGACTGCTGGAAGAGTGGTTCAAGTGGCAGAATGTTTGACTAGCAAGTGCAAGGCCCTGAATGCAAACCACAAGTACCTCCAAAAAAAAAAAAAAAAAGTTAACTGAGTATCAAACAAATAATACCCTATAAAACTATACTTCATGATAACAAGGTTAAAACTTAAAAAATTAAAACTTACAATTAAGAGACCAACATCCACCTCTTTCTTGGTCATAAAAAGTTCTCTGATTTGTTCACACTGCAAAATTTCTTTGTCAATATATTTGGAGAAGTCGATCACGGGCTTGCCATATTTACATGGCATTACAGATGTGTGGCTGGGTCCACAAGCATATAGATAAAAGGCCTCTTGTGAACCAATCTTAGCTCCTGAGTAGCAGAAAAATAAAGTCAGTTATTTAAAATACTCTAAGTAAAACTGTTCATAAAAAGTAAGAAAATGCGAGGGGGAGTTGCCAGACTCTTTCAGTTGTTCACTATTTCTGATAAAATTAATAAAGCCTCAATTTCCAAATTAATGTATAATGAGAAAATTACCTATGCCACTTATGATGGGGGATGAATTAATGTATACAAAGTTAACTGTGAAACTCTTGATCAAACAAAATACAATTTCTATTTGTTCCTTAAGCCAGGAAAAGTTTTTTGGCTTGTCTGCTTTGCTTTTTTATTTCTTGGTAAATCCATTTTTAAATGAAATTTGAATCAAAACCTTACATGCCTTCCCATCTACTCAATAAACATGGTCTGAATGCTGTTATTTTTTAAATGATGTATTTCACTTCCCCCCTACGATCTGGCATCTGGATAGCATGCACTAAAATTAGAAACAAAGGGACAGCCATTCTAAGCTTATTAGTTATGACACAGCATTTTCCAGGACTATAAAACAACACTGACTACATAATATAGGGAGATGGAAGAGAAGGGAGAGGGTGAGTCTCTATTATATAAGGTATTGCAAAGCACAGCTAGGTTGCAATATGTTAAAGTACTTTAAAAGTGCCTCTTAGAACCGTGGAAATGCAGTGCTGACTAAACACAGGAGAAGGAACAGAGATCAATAGTTAAGCCTGATTAGTTTACATGGTGTAATACTTGTTAACTGAGAGAAAAAAACTGGGAATGTTTCAAACGGGAAAAATGTACCATTGAAAAGGAGCAAATTTCCGAGGTCCCATTTTCCAGCCACTTGCAAAAACTCTTCTTGGGAAGATAAACAATGGCCAATCATGCAAAATGTTTTGTTACTATCAGATGATAAGCTTGTTTTTCTTGGAAGCATAAAATCCAAAGTGACATCAGGCTTCCTAAATTAAAAAGAAAGTTAATGACTTTAGAGAGTACAAAAATTATTCATTTTAGAAGTATGAATGCTTAATGATGGGACCTTCTTGGACAACTTTTCTTGATTCAGAATTAAATGGTTGGCATGAGAGAGAAAGGAGGCTGCACCTTGCTGTCTCTTGGTCAGAGGTGCTGGTGGGCTACAAGTCAAGAGAGCAAAGCAGAAGAGATGCCTGGGGATCCTACAGCAAACCATGGGAAGCTGTAGACATCTTTATCATTTAACTGTACCTTATGAGCCTACCTGTTCTACAAACTCAAACCAACTACCTTCCCTTAATTTTACCAAGAAGTCTCCCATTTTGGCAAACAATTCCTAAAATTTCATGTCCGCTATGAGGCTTTCAAAGACTAATGTCACATCTCCAAGTGTTGCTTTGTCTTGTTGCTGAAACACCAGTATTTTTGCATTTTGTTTTTTCAACAGATTTTGATTAGCCTCCTCTTTTTTCTTTATGGGTAAAGGTTAATCAGGAATGCTTACAAAAGACAGGGCCAAAATATGTAAAGTCAGGCTTCCTCATAGATACACAAAAGCTGGGAGGACTTCCATCACTGTAGTGAAAGTGCTGAGTACAGGGTCCACCCCTATTTGAGGCATGTGGTAGACTCCATGTTAAGGTAATGCAGGCACCTATCAGAAAAGGTCAAGTCCAGCACTTGTGAAAAAGATGGGGAACCTAGACTAAGCTAACACCAGTAAACTCCTTTGGGGGAAATTCAACTGTGTATTTATCTATTTTAAAACTTTTCCTTAAAGCTATTTCTTATTTAGCAGATAAATTCAACTACTTTAAAAACAAATTTTTTTGGCGGCACTGGGGTTTGAACTCAAGACTTTCTGCTTGAGAAACAGGTGCTCTACTACTTGAGGCACACCTCCAATCCTAATAGGAATATTTTTTAATAAAAAAAAAACTGAGATAATCATCTTTGTAGGCCAAATAAATGGTTATGACTGAAATACTACTACCACCTAATGGCATTATGACTTAATACTTTTTTTTAAAAAGGTGAAAGAAAATCTAGTACAAGATTCATGCAAAATAAATTCAACAAGTATCTACCATGTGCCATATATTTCTACCATATCTGTGTGTTCATCAAATAATAATATAAAATATTAATAATTCATTTTAATTGTCATTATGCATTAAAATGACCTCTTAAAATGTATTCTTTGTAGAAATTAATCTATATATCTTATAAAGTGATAAGTCAATAGAATATTTTTGTCCTTAATCTCTTTCTTGCTTCTATGTTAACTAATGAAATCATGAACTTATATCAAATGGCAAAAACTCCTTCAAAGGAATGTAAAATAAGTGAGAGAGTACACAAAGAGTGATGAGTGAGTCCAGCAGCTATCCTCACTTCAGAATTGTCCACAATGACAACCTGGTCTCTTACCCCGAACGTGCCTGAAGACTACTTTACAGTTCCTGCACCTGTCAGGTGCCTGGTAAAGAGGGGACTAGAGAGCAGCACAGCACAGGGTTTTAAAGCATGGGCTCCATTTAGGCTCAGAGCCTCAGTTCAAGTTTCACCTCTACTCTTTCCATGTCCCCCACTCTAGGTCTCAGTTGACTTACATAAAATAGAGTCAAAAAACATACCATATAGCATTTTGGCAGGATGAAATGAGGTGCTCTGTGTAAAGTGTCTGACACTTGCTACTAGCTCAAGAAATGAGTAGAATCCAAGAAGAGAAAGGGGCTGTCCACTCATGGCCTCACCTCCAAATCCAAGAGATCCAATTCAATATTCTGCAGATGAATTTATTATAGCTGCCATTCAGGCTTAGGCAGGTGTGAAGATGGAGAACTTTTCAGAAAGCATTTTATTTGTAATATGGAAAGAAGGCTTCAATTATGTATTTTCATGTGTTTTCTTAAATGAACAAAACAAAACAGAACTCCTGGTTTAACTCCTGTGGCAGACACTGTGGACTGGCTACCCCAAAGCCATTTGCCAGTCCTTCTCCCTGTCTTGCTCTGACTGAGGCCTGACAGCTGTGAGGAACCAGTGCCTGCAGCCTCCCGCAGCAACGCTTGGCACCCTGATTCTTCAACAAACACTCAATGAACAAGTAAGTGAAACTCAGTTAATCTGTGCTAAAGACATGCTATTTTTGAGCGTTTTTGAGAGAATTAGGAGATAGTGTATATAAAGTGCCTAGCAAAAGATCGATGACATAGTAAATGTATTCACTTTTCTAGTTACTCAACTGAAGACACTTCCAGCCAACTTCATCCTCTATAGCCTTCCTTACACTTCCATTCAATCAAAATGCTTCTTAACTTACAAATCCAAGACACCTTATAGTTCACTCACAGTTAAATTTTACATAAAGGTAGTCTACAAAATGTTCCTTAACCTGACATACACTTCTGTACAGAAAAAAAAAAATCACACAATACTCTACATGAATCAATCACCTGCTATATTTCTAGAACTCTACCTAAATCTGTCACATGATACATTGGCTTATATTTTTCTCTAGTTATTCTAACTTTGTTTCAAAGTCTAATTTAATTTAGACATTAGTTTTATTAGACAATTAATTTAAAAAATTCCTTGTGGATTCATTTTTATAATATATGAGGTTGAGGAACAAAATTATATTCTATAATTCTTGATCTAATATGTATTGGATATAAATGTCTAAATGTCCAGGTTTTCTGCATGCTTCCCAAACCCAAATATAGTCATCCATCAGTATCCACAGAAGAGTGGCTCCAGGTCACTGCACAGATACCCACATGCAAGGATGTTCAAGTCCCTTACAGAAAACAGCCTATTTTGTACATAACCTTATTCTCTTGTGTACTTTAACCATCTCTAGATTACTTAGACTACCTAATGCAATGAAAATGCTTTGTAAACAGTTATTATATCTATTGTTTGCACAGTAATAACAAGAAAGAATCCATACATGTTCATCATAGGTGCAACTGCTTTTCTTGAATATTGTCAATGTGAGGTTAGCAGAATCCACAGATATGGTGGGCTAACTATATTAATTTTCAGTTTAAGTTTTCAAACTGTATCTGAGATTAGCATGTAGTTTTTAAAAATGCTTCATACCTCTGCCAGAGACCCATATGGAGATTTTCCCATGGACAGTCTTTTCCCTTGAGGCCGCTGTAGGTAGGTGAGTACTAAATGTTGCCATTTGCTTGGAGGAAAATATTCTCCTGTGATTCAACCTGTGCTAGTAAAATGGCTTTCATATTATCATTTGAGTCCACACACACACTACAAAAAAGAGAAAGGCACAGGCTGAGAACATGGAAATTCTGACCTTAATATTTAGTATTTATGGAAACTGTAATTCTCAACATTTAAGTGACATTAAAATCAATTCTATTTTAAATTAAACCAATTGAAAGTTATTTTAGTATATTATTACTTCAATTTATGAATTAAAATAGATTAGGTTCACTGTTCGTGTTAATATTATTTCTATTACATAGTCACTGCCTTTTTAGAAACTACAATGTAATATCTGGTTAATAGAAAAATTAATATATTATAACGAATACCTAAATGACAGAATACATTGGATGTCTAACCTACTTTGAAGGATTACTGAAAGAATAAAGAGATAGTATATATAAAATCACCTAATAACATTTACAACTTTTATGAAAACGTATATTCTTAAGTAACATATTTTATTTTTAGTCTGGAGCCTTATACAAATAGTACCATAGTATCCATATGCAGCACAAATAAAAGATTTATAGCTATACCTCTCAGAACAAGATAGCAATGAGAGCCCAGCTTGCTAGATAATGGCTGGTAAACATATCATCTACATGGAAATATTTGTTTGTTAAAAACATCTTAAGATCACTGCAGTCTGACAGCATGTCTCCATAGGAAAAAACTTCAGTGTTAATACAAAATCTAGTATAATATTAACGTAATCAAGAACGATATAGATTTGGGGGCAGAATAACATACTAGTACCAAAATGGTATTAATAACTGTCAGAATGTATCTTCTTTTTTAAATAAGATTTTTCTCTTTTGCTGTAATGGTCTTTATTATCAGATTTCACAGTAATGTCTCTTACACAAATTTTTTAAGTAAATGATCTACTGTTAGAGGTTGAGGACAACCAATACCGAAAGATGAAAGTGCCACTGTGGGGATCAGCCCACCTTGGATCATCAGTGCTTTGGATCCCAGTGAAATCAAATGAATACAGCCTTCTTCTATTAGTCTTTCATCAGGGTTTATGGACTCCGCACCTTCTGGTCTGTTGCTGTCTATGAGAAAAAGATTTTGGAACTGAGTGGAAACAGGAATTTAAAAGAATACAAATTGTGGTGGTTCATTTAGCAGATTCTTTACCCTGAATGTACGAGCCTGACCAGTTTTACACAATAGCATTTCCAATTTAGATCTTATCCCCCAAAAGGCACAATGGGTGGTGAAAAACGGTAACCAAGTGCTTTAAGTTACTGAATGTTTTAAGAAATGTAGTAACTGAAGGCAACTGTGGGCATGACTGCTGTGTGTCACTGTGGTCACACAGTACAGTCTGCACTGAGCTTCTGTCATCAGTTCGATTGCGCCACGTTCGCATCACTGAACCTGATCCAGGCAGCACACGCCATCATCACACATCTCACACTACCAAAGTTCACTATGATTATCAGAATGGCATGATCTTTAAAACACTGATCTTATTAAAACTCATTTTAGAAAAACTGTAGCGTTTGAACACAGTGGTTACTTAGACTCTCTGTGAGTGATTTTGAAACATAATTTATGGTGATTCTGAAACTCTGCTAAGGCTTTTAAGTCAGGGTAAAGGGTTATAGGTTTTGGCTATCTGGTTATCCATCTCAATGCCTTTCTTCACTAAAACTCTGCACTACCTGAATATGTATGCTTTACTACTTGTTACTATAACACATTTGATTTTTTTTGTGGCACTGGGATTTGAACTCAGGGCCTCAGGCTTTCTAGGCAGGCACTCTACCACTGGAGCCATGCCCCCAGCCTGAGACAAGTGATTTTATGTAAAGCTGCACTAAGATGTACCAAAATAAAAATTTATGTTCAAAGGTTGAGACATTTAAAGAAGAAGGGCATTACTAGTTATTAGACTGCCATTCTCAATAGGCAAAACTACCACCAATCTATAAGAATACCCCCTTCTGGTATAATGACAATAGTCCTAAAGAAAAAAGGGTTAGTCACGGATCATTTTGAGGACTGCTTATGACATAAGATACAAAGAGCTCATATCTGATGTGACATTTAAAAAAGGTTTCCATACTGAAGATGAACCTGTACAAATAAAATACTAGAACAAATACCACTATGTACCTAGGAACTGCAGAGAATGAATATTGTAAGTATTCTTAACCTAATGTTCAGAACAATCTTAAAAGGTAAATATTATCATCCTTATTTTGCAGGTAACAGAAGTCAGGTGGTAAGCAGGTTAAATATCTTGCTTGACACACAGTTTAATGCCAAAATACTGATATCACTAAGAATATTTTCATTACTCTTCAAAAATTCTTATTTTAATCCACAAAAGATATTCGGGTAACTGCCTGAAACATTTCAGATTCTCTGCTGATTATTTTTAAAGCTTAGTTTCCTACGTGATGCTGCAAAAGCACACAAGTATTATATCATATTAATGGAATGGAAACTGTCTGAAGAAAAGGGGTTCAGATTTCACCTGCGGGCTTCAAATAACAGTTCCCACCACTTCAGCCTGAGGTGTCATTAAGGACTTTCTTTTCCATGTACAGGTCAGTGGAGCTCAGACACTGGTGAAAGTCCAGAGGCTCCAGTGGGTGGATGAGATTTGTGGGATGAATCCATGCACATATAAAACCTTCAGCATCATTCCATGACCCTAAGAATTTCCCTACTTCCTTGTGTTCTTACCACCATAAAACCAACTCTTGTGTGTGTGTGTTTCTGGGGAAGGAACCTGGGCTTCATGCATGCTAGGCAAGTGCTCTATTCACTGATCTAGCTCCAGCCCCTATACTGCTCTTTAAGAAGCAGTTTCTTTCCTACCCTCATTCATATAGGAACAAAGACGGCAGTTTCAACTGGCAGCATAACAACAGTTCTTCAGTTTAGAAAAGGAACAGGAATGAACTTGCTTCCAACTTTGGAGAATGACTGGTACATGTAAACTTCGTGACAGAAACTAGGAAAGGTCACTGATATAAGACATAGCAGAAGGGAAAACTTGAATAAAAGAAGAAATACGATGGAATAGGGGGCTGCCTAATAAACACTGAGGAAAACATGTAGCAGAAAAAGCTGCTATGGGACTTTATCCTTTCCTTTTTTTTCATTGGAAGCTGCCCTAACCCATTAATAGGACCAGCAAAGAGGCAAGAATGGCTGGAACCCCAGCAAGCAGTGTTATAAGGGTACCCCTCACTCCTACCCATATGAGAAAAAGTATAGGAGGAAATGGAGATTTCAAGCTACCTGAAAACTCAAGTTTGATAATTCAGGCCCTACCACCATTAAGTTAGGCTTTAAGGTGAAAAGCAAGTTAGAACACTGTCATATGTTCATAAGTTCATCCAAATGCTATGTGAAAAATCTTAGTGCTACTAAATTGGAAGCTGCTACCAATACCTGCTCCATCAAACTGCTGTCTTGTTAAAACTGACCAATTTGCCCTTTTCTTTGCCTTCTTTCCTCTTTGTGCAGTATTCTGGCAAGATCATGAGTGATACACATCCACATTAAACCAAACAGTGGCGGCATTACTGAAACCTTCTGAGAGTGTGGCCAGCATTCTGCCCCAGCAGCGGCAAGTGTGATTGGCGCTATTGTGCCAAGAGGACAGGCAGATGATGGTGGGAAAACCTTCTCTGCCAGCTTCCTTCTTGCCCCGGGAAATGCTCTTCTCAACAAGCCCATGGCCTGTTGTTTCAGAATCCCAGGACACTTTGTGATGAGATACCATTGCTGACCCATTGGGCTGTAATGCAGCAAAGGAAGGTGAGGATAGTGTGACAGGCTCATAGTAACATCACTTTCAAACAATTTTCAGAATGCCAGAAGAAGAATTTCCTTAGAAGAAAAAAAATGAAAAATACTACAGTTCATATAACCAGGTACACTTATAATACTGGAATTCAGATGTAAAGTTAAATAAACACATACCCTCTTATTTCAGCATTCTATTAAGTAGCTTCTTATCTATCCACATCTTTAATTTTCCATTATGTTGTAACTAAATGAACTTTATGAAACAGATAATTATTCTTTAGAATGTTAATTATCATAGTTATTTGGTTATAAATTATACAGTTTTGTGGGACAAATCTAAATATCTCTGAGTTTTAAGTATTATAATTAAGTCGATATTACATCAGTATTATTTTCTAAAAACAAGATGTTTATTGCACAACTTTGGTCTTTCTCTCATTTTTTTTCAATATGGGGCGGAAAACTCAGGCCTCATTGCAGGCTTGCTAGTGAGGGCACTCTACCACATGAGCTCATATCACCAGTGCCTATTTGCTCTTACTTGTTTTCAGATAGGGTCTCTGCTCAACTTTTCAGACGGCCTCAAACCTCAATCCTTATTTTGCCTTCCAAGAGCTTGAAAATTACAGGTTGCACCACATCTATCTGTGCCTCTCAATTACTTTTTAAGTGAGGGATTTATCCAAGACCTTACAATTCTCCGATTCTGTAATGATATATACCCTGCGACGGCCTCATAAAATTGAGCGTGCTCAATTATTTCCAACTTTATTCACATGCTTTTCCCCTTAGTCAGTAAATGGAATTGATTTGTATATCTATGCTACATCAAAGAAGAGGAAACTTAGGGATTTCCAAATAATTAAAAATACTTCTATTAAGTTGAAAATGTAAAAAATTATAGCATATTACTTGTACAAGGAGATTTCTCCAGCAAATTTCTTTCAAAAGAAGGTGTTAGGCTCTTTTGGTAAAACTGTCTTGAAGCGCTGTCGCATCTCAAGTGATTACACTGAAATCAAGAGACATCCAACCAATACTCTCTGGGCGCATTGCTCTAAATTTTGAAAAGGAGGAGAGAAAAATTTAAACTCCATACACTTTATAAAGGAACATAATAAGCAAAACGACACTGACAAGAAATCAATAATCAGTATTGTCACATTTTGAGATGGATTAATAAAGCAATCTGTTTTAATATATCCTATGCTGATTTGAAGAAATAGCAAGATAAACTAAGCAAAACAAGAACTGCTCAAAAACATCCTCCGATAAAGACTTGACTAGACTATAAGTACAACCTGACTAGGTCATCTCTCTCTCCGCATTATAATCAGTACCAAATTTAGTTAGATGAACTACGAGCTCACTTCCACATAATACATAAGAAATAGTTTATCCTTGGCCTTTTTAATTTGAAATGTTAACTATAACAAAGAAAGAAACCCCAGAGACAATATTAAAAGATTGCGATGTGTAAATGTTAAAATACTAGATATCAAAAACATTTAGCCTGGATTGTTTTCTTTATTTATCAAGAGGTCTCTAGCATATAAAAAGCATAAAATAGAGTGTTAGTTAAGAAATTCATAGCTTCTTTTTTCTTAGATAGGGCTTGGGTGAGTGTAGCTCAATGGTAGTAAGTAATCGTCTGCCACTAGGCAAGCACAACAGCCCATGGATTCATCCTAAAATAGCTGGATAAAAAGAGTTTCTTTAGGAGTAAAATAAACAACCACTACTTAAAAAAATTAAGAGCATATTATAGTGCTCCAAGTAATATCTTTATATGAATCTACCTCACTAAAAAATCAAAAACCTATAAATTTATGATCTCCATTTTTATGACATGACGATAAATATATCTTGGATATAAACCTGAGATGTATTCTTTAAAAGATGCGTAGGTTCTTTGAAGATAATAAGGTCAGAGAAAAAAAAATCCAAGTTTAAGGCAAGCTCATTCTGTGGAGGGCAATGAGCTGATGGAGTTAGCTGCAAATTAGGAGCACAGAAGGCGAAGACAACTTTGCAGTTGAGGCCATAAGTTACCATGAACTTATCCTGTAATAATGTGTAAGCATTTAAAAGTTTTTGAGTAGGAAAGCCTAACATGGTTAAAAGAAAAAATGTTAGGTTTTTCTTCTTCTTAGTTTCAAAAAAACTAATTGGGTTGTTAGTTGAATGGTAGAATGGATACACGCACGTGTGCCGTCTGCGTACACAACACACAAATTGCTTCTGTATGCCTTACATGAAAAACTTAATACTAACGAGCTTACCGAATTCAAAGGAAGAAAAAGCTGGAAAAAGAAGGCAGTTTTAACACTGAGGGCATTACTGTGTAAGAAGCCTAGAAAATCTATGTTCTTGGGGCAAGAGGTAAACTGGAGAAGAGTACAGTTGTAGAAAGGGCTCAGTGAGAGGGAACACAAGTTTCTGACTGTATAAAATCAAGTAGTGTGGACAAATGAACACCACAGAGTTAATAAAATATCCTGTCTGGGATCTACTCCACCTCCTTACCTTTTTGCAGTATAGAGCGCCAGACTGGCTTCAGGGTCTTTCATTTTTAAGCCCCCAAATTGGCATATCGTGTTTACGAATGCAGAAAGTAGATTTTGTCAGGCGAAAAGCTTCTGACACATTAAAGCTGGTATTGTCTCATCGTCCGTCAGGAGTGCCATCGTTGCCTAACCAAAAGGAAACAGAAGTAGAGCCTAAATGCTGCTTTGCCGAGGTTTGCTTCCTGGTTTTAGGTTGTGTCCACCTGGATGAAGGGAAGGGATACCCTATTCTTAGCACAAAGGTGCTCACCAGCCAGCTCTGCATGTGGACAAAGCATTGTAAATGTACACAAATTGCTCCATGGGGGCTGGTGGAATGGCTCAAAGCAGTAGAATGCCATACAGCAAGCATAACGCCCTGAGTTCAAATCCCAGTATCACAAAAAAATTTGCCCCCCTGGGGTAAGAGTGTCCTCCAAAGTAAATCTCTGTTCTAATTATTGGGGTATCTGGGAGTCCTTAATCAGTCACTGACACATCTGCCCAGAGACCTTTCAACAGAATGTTCCATCAGGAAAGAGGTTAAAAATGAAAAAAAAATTTACTTTTACAATAGAGGAAATGTCCAACACTTTTCTTAAATATACATAAGCATAGAAAAAATACAAACTATTTCAGAATCAATCTAAAGAAATCCCAAGACGTAAAAAACAAACAAATAATAATAACTGACCCTAGAGGAAAAGGAAGTAATTTAGGGATGGAAGACCATCTTTTTAAACTATATACATAAATTCATATATTAACACACATATATGACATTATATCCTCTCACAAAAAAGAGATATACCAAAAAAAATTAAGGCAAGCAAAAAGACCTCTCAGAGGTTAAATAGTTAACTGCCAAAATTAAAGCCTGAAAAAAAAGGTGGAATTGAAAAAAAAAAAAAAACTGCCCAGAATGCTAGCTCAAAAAGAAGTGAAAGTGTGTAAGATGATAAAGACACACAGCAGCCAATCCTAATGGCCCTGTATTGACAAAGAGCAGAGAATATGGAGGAGGAGAAATTATTTTAAACAATTATTAAAATCTCTGGATTTAGATCAGACCTTCTGACATTTGATACCAAAAGTGTAGCAACAAAAGCAAGAAAATAAACTATTTGTCATGTGGGTTATACAGGACAGGACCCTTGAACAGGACATGGACATCAGTAAACAAACTACGAAATATCTGCATACACTATGGCTTTAGTTGATAATAATAATTATACATTAATATAGTTTCATTAACTGTGGCAATACTCTATGTTAATGTAGATGTAAACAGGGGAAACTGGGGAGGAGTGTAGCATGACATATAAACACACCAATACATTAACTAAGTGAATGGGGGAGAAGGGAATGCTTTTCCTTACAATTAAGGATCCCAGTTAATAAGTGTAAAAAGAGTGAAAGAAATAGAAAATCTGTTTGGCTAATACCACAGTATTAACTTATATCAGTCAAGGATCACAAAGGATGCTAAAACTCATAAGGTTATAGTAAGAAAAAGGATATTTAGCCAGGCATGGTGGCTCACACCTGTAATTCCAGTAGGGGGGAAGTGGCTATTCAGGAGGATTTCATACGTTGAGGCCATCCCAGGCAAAAATGTTAAAGAAACACCTCAGATCAGAAACAAACGTGGTGTACATGTGTCCCAGCTATGTCTTTGTTGGGCAAGAAGTGGAACCCTATCTAAAAAATAAAAGGGCTGGCCGCATGGCTTAAATGTAGAGAGCTTGCCTAGCAAGCTTGAGGCCCTGAGTTTTCCACAACTCCCATTGTACTTGAAAAAAAAGGGATATTTATATACTTTCAAGTTACCCATATCATAAGTAACTTATTTAATAATAAAGGGGCCAGGTGCTGGGCTCACCCCTGTAATCCCAGCTACTCAGAAAGACAGAGATCAGGAAAATCGTGGTTTGAAGCCAGCCCAGGCAAATAGTTCACAAGACCTATCTCAAAAATATCTAACACAGAAAGGGCTGGTGGAGTGCTCAAGGTGAAGGCCCTGAGTTCAATCCCCAGCACCATAATGGAGAAACCTGGTGGGCCATCTTAGCTAAGTGACCAAAGTCCACTTCAGTAGTAAGACACAGACATCACAAACCCTTTGATGTAATGCTCTCTGGGGACCCAACCCCACTTCAGGGCATTTCTGCAAAATTTAAGATTTTGTGTATGTTTAGCCTTAATACTCCAGCTTACAATTCAGTTTATTGTTGTTAGAAATCGGAATTGTATATTCATAGTAAATTCTCCAAATGTCTGAGAAAGTACTAAGTAACAGGAGACAATATTAGATAAGGTAGCAGGTTAGTGACTATATAAGCCAGGTACAGTCCTCATGATGCTGCTACGCGACAACTTCAGGGTCTTGGAATTTACACTTGTGCCTGTTGCAACTTCATTCATGAATAGGACAGGACAAACATATAAAAACACCCTGCAAATCACAGAGCACTATCCAGTGAAACCCCTGAGTGCCCACTCTTCATACAATAGCACAGGAATTTCACAGCTATTTGTTTAAAACTAAGTTTCAACTCACCTTCAAACTCAGAATCAGCTTGTGTTAAAATACTCAAGAACCCTCCTAAAAGATTTTTCACAGTTCCCTAAAGATTAAAAAATGAAACAGAAGAAATCAAATGTTTTACCTCATGGAAGCATAGCATAATTGCACTGTCATAATAAATTATTTGACAGGAAATCGTATGTGTGTGTGTGTGTATTTCAAATGACTGGAAAGAATGCTGTGCAGAAGTACACATTTCTTTTGTGCACTGTCCTGAATTCGCAGAAATTTTAAACAATGAGCATACATTACCTTTAAATGCAATTTAAAAAACGATACCCATTCTTAAAAATTTAACCAATGACAATATCAATTTTTACACCACTTTAGAAAATTATGGAATTAGAAAATTTGACTTGAAGGTCAAAACACAGTTAAGGTGGGCTGGCGGAGTGGCTCAAGTGTTAGAACGTCTGCTTAGCAAGCGTGAGGCTTGCTGGAGTGGAGTTCAAACTCCAGTACCACCACCACCAAAAAAAAAAAAAAGCCACAGTTAAGGTATTACAAAAGAAAAGCAATCATCTCAAATAATTTTCAGACAAGCTGGGTTATAAGTAAGGAGATGGGTGGTTAGGGCCTGAGGCATGAGTGTGATAAGTACTGATCAAATTTGATTCATCTTTTACCTGTTGCATGAGCAGAAAAATATTCTTTTCTTTCTGCCTGATGACTTTCAAGAAACTCTCAAAAACATGAGTGAGCACATCAAGTTTAGCTCTGCTGGCAGAAAGCAGATTTAATTCCAGCATGCAGATCTCAGGGTATATCATCTCCCCCTGAGAGAAGTTCTCAAGTAAGTCATGTGGACCTGCGGGTGCACGGAAACCTTCCGCTTCTGGCTCTACTTCTACCTCTGGAAAAGGGACAAAGAATGATTATTTTCATTCCCCAAACACTGGATAAATATTTAACTTAAAATAGTTATTTAAAAGATAAAGAGGCAGAACTGCGATTTACAAGAAGATGCTTATGAACATCTTCCTTTTGATTAAGGTCGGTGTCCTGAGCATCCAGTTTTATGGAGTTTGAGGTTTAACAAGCAGCCTTAAAAGTAATTTTCACCTTCAATGAAACTTCAAATGTTACTGACAGCAATTTCATAGACATGTGATACAGACTGAATACATCTTTTGTCACAACAGGAAAAATTCCTGACCCTATTTAAGTCACAGGGTGGTCACATTTTTGTGAAAATAGTCAGCTTGAATTCTAAACTGTCTTCTTTCTTTCTCTTGGGGTTTGAACTCAGGGCCTCACACTTGCCAAGCACTTGAGCCACTCTGCCAGCCCTTTTTTATGTTGGGTATTTTTGAGATTTCATTTTTATGCTGGGTATTTTTTGACTTTTTTTTTTTTTTGCTCAGGCTGCCTTCCAACCACAATCCTCCTGATCTCTGCCTCCTGAGTAGCTAGGATTACAGGCTGAGCCATCAGCGCCCAGCAACTTTGTTTTCTTTATTTGTGAGAAACAGACACTCTCTTACCAAATGTTTCATTTTGGAAAATTTGATTGCTCTTAGCAGAGATTGCCGCACTCTTTTAAAAAAGGATTAATATAATGAAATCTATAATTTTCTACCTCAACAGAATTCTTCAGGTCAATATTTAGTTACCAAACATGAAAAGGAAACAATCCACCATTATAAAAATCAAACCTATATTATGATAAAACCACTGTTAAATCAATATTCTTTCAAAAAGCACCAACCATAGGTTCTTTATGCCTTTTAGCTAAAATACAAGTGACTATTCCCATTTACCCTGTGGGAAAGAGAAAACAAACTTTGAGGCTGATAAAATACTGTAAACTTAGTGAAGTCTAAAAGTGCTGGAAAACTGACTCTAAAAAGAAATCTATCTTTTTCATTTTATCCAAGAGACAAAAGATTACAAGCAATGTAGTTCCATCCTCAGGACAAGCAGGGCTGTGGTAAACTAAGAAGAAATCTATGCTATAGCCACAGCATCCTGCATGTCACAGAGAAAAGACGTCTGCATTCCTCTTTCCTATTTATGCTCCATAACAAACTAGCAGTGTTTGTCTGGCTAGGTTTTATTTATTTATTTATTTATTATTATTTTTTTTTGGTACTGCAGTTTGAACTTAGGGCCTCGTGCTTGCTAGGCAGGCGCTCTACCACTTGGGCCATGTCCCCAGTCCTAGCTCTTTTTTCTGAGACCTCAATGTACACATCACTTCTTCATAAAGGGCTTTCCTGACCACACAATCACAATGATGTTACCTGGACTTACATTTCTTGTGCTGTTTACTTTTGATAATTATCATCTCTTTCCCACTAAAATGTGTATGAAAGCAGGAAATTTGTTTCATGAATGTTCTTAGGCACTCAGTCAATGTTTATGATAACAGCATTCATTTCACTGATTTAAAATGCATATACAAATGCCAGATTTGTTGTGAAGATCAAATAAAATGATAATGCAATGCATTTTTAAAACCATGAAGTGATGCACAATTCTCGAGTGGTATCACTGTGAACCATTTGTGATCCAATCACAAGATCATCACGATATTTTACCATCATCTCGTGTTTCACCATCCTCAGGATTGCTTTCACTATCTGCTTCATAACCTTCTTCTTCACCCAAAAGATTAAAGCGACAATACTGAGACTCCTCAGCTTCTTCTGAAAAATCTCCAGGCTGGGATAATTCTTCCTCAGACTGATGAATCTATAAGACCAGTATAATTCAGAGACAACTCTTATAACATTCACTCATTTTTAGTAACAGAATATTTATCACTTAAAAGTCATTTTAAGAACAGTGTCAATATATACTGGTAATCACCAGTAACCACTATAAGATTATGAAATTCTTTCAGCAAAGTATCCCAGACCCACTCAAAGAGCTTAACTCCTCAAGAAAAGGGGTTTTTAACAAATAAAATCATAGGTCATTTCAGTTTCACTGAAAAATAAATGAAAGTAATTCCATTCTAGTTAGGGAATGATAGAAAACCACAATGAAGCAGAATTATACTTCACCCAACTTAATGTTCATAAATGTTACTTTCACTCATTTGATAATAGAAAATATTTTCCAAAGGATTTTTATAAATAAAACATTTCATAAATTAGATAGCCAGAGAAGATATGACAATTTTTCAAAGGAAATAAGATTAAGAATGCAATTGTCAGCCAGGCACCAGTGGCTCACACCTGTAATCCTAGCTACTCAAGAGGCAGAGACCAGGAGGATCATGGTTCATGAGACCTATCTTGAAAAATCCTTCACAAAAAATAGGGTTAGTGGAGTGGCTCAAGGTAAAGGCTCCGAGTTTAAGCCCCAGTACCACAGGGAAAAAAAAAAGAATGCAATTGTCTACATACAAACGTCCCACAAATAAAGAGTTCCAGCATTAACTTTCTATACAATTACCAGTGGAAAGACATTTTTCTTTTCTTATACAAATGCTACTAATACCTTCACTTTAGAACACATTTGCACTTAAAAAAGCTCAGGAAATTGAATCAGTGCAATAGCAATAAAAAGTAACATAAAGTAGATATTTTAATATTTTACAGTTAGCCAACTGATTCAATAAGAAGTTGAAGGTATTAATAGCAACTTGCATAATTTTAAAGGTATGGCAAACAGTAACATAAAATATTGTGGCAAGAGATTATAAAGTATAATATGTATTGATAAAGCAAAGAATTAAAAGACAAGTTATATGAAGACAAAGGTTAATAAAAATTAACCAAAGGTAAAAAAAATGACAAGAAAGGGAAATGAACTAAACACACATCACAGTGTCAGAAAAAAAATTTAAATAGTTACTTTAAAACAAGTAATAAGTGAGGCTGCTATCTTCTATACGAGGACTAGCCATTTTTATGATGAACGATTTAAAATTAAAGTGAGTAGAGAGTTCTGTAAACATTAGCTGCACCAATGTAGTACTTGGTAAGATGGCTGAATTGTCACCATTCCCAAATGATCATTTAATAAACTGTCAGTTATATGTAAAACTTACCGAATCAAGTAATACATTTCTATCTTATTCCCAGTTACTGGGAAAATTTCCAGATTATATTAATAAAAGCATGTCATTTTGCTTCCTGCTTTTTGAGATGGGACACTGACAAAACACTCTCCACTCCAGATGAAGGAGAAAGACCCACGGATGGAACTCACCTGATCAAAATCCTGGCCCAAGTCTTAGTCTCATCCCACACCTCCCGCCTCTGCTCATTCTACCCAAATAACCCACCTGTACAATAGATTCATACCTTCTCAGTCATAGTGTCATTATGTTCAAAGTCTGCTGAATGACTCCCCAGGGCTACTCGAAGCAGGGCATCAAACAAAGGTTTTGCTAATTCTGTTTCAGTCACCTTTGACTGGGAAAGATGGTCCTTCATTTCACACAATATATTTTCCACAGACAAATTCTAAGGTAAAACAAAAGAGATAAGAATATTAGTAACATGCTTTAAAAAAGTTACAAAATAGGAGATAATTACTTAGCAAGCAGAAAACTAGTCCATTTGCAGCTGATATGAAGGTAATTGCTTGTGTACATTTTGAACTCTCACCCAAAGATCCTACCTTTAAAATTACTAACATTATTATTTATTACATACATTACTCATTTGGGTTAATTTTTTTTGGGGGGGGGCCTGGGGTCTGAACTCAGGGCTTTGTGCTTGCATTATTTGTGATTAAATTTCAAAGTACCACAAATTGAGTCGCAAAAAGTTACTCTTTGAAACATCACGGAGTTTTGGTTAACCATCTTTAGAGTTTACAAATTCCTTACTCTTAGAGATTCTCTAAGATTCTAAGGAGCAGTTCTGATTCTTTTCTTTCACTCTCTTCCTTTTGCCCTTGAAGCAAGCTCTTGTTGCTTGCCTGTATCTCTACAACAGGCAAACAGAACATAACAAGATAAGAAACTGGCTTCTCTTTTAAGGAATTCTCAGTCCAACCTGCCAAATAGTACAGACAAGACAGAATGATTACTAAACCAGAACTATAAACAAGGGTCAGGGGATTGGGGTAAGCTGTCTCACAGGGGCTTCTGCATTGTAAATGAACTGTGAGCTTCTTTAGGATGAGAATGGGGCTATGTGCTCCTTTGGGCCCTTCACAGTACCCAGTACTGTGCTAAGCTTGTAGGAACATCTCAAAACATAAAAGCTGAAGCAAAAGAAAATGGCAATAGTATTAAATTAGAAATTTTATAAACACACACGTGTATGTATGTATATGTATATATGTCTGTCTTCAAAGTATGTAAGCATTGCACATGAGCTAGACTAAGGACAAACTTTACCTGACTAGGTAGCTCCAATTCCATCTTCTGCTGATTGGTTCTGGCACTATGAAGACAAATGGCTAGAAGGGCTTCCAAAAGCCGTATGCTCTGAAGTGAGGTCTCGTTTTCTTGACTTACAAATCCCTTTGCTCCTTCAGGAGCTGAAACTTGCTCCACATTTGTGCAAGAAGCATGCTGTGATCCAAATTTACCTAAACTATCAGCACACTTTTTTAGACTTCCCAGTTCTGATGGCGTGGAGTCACATCTTATAGTTAAGGATGATAAATCTTCCCTCAATATGTCAGGTGGAGAGGTTCTGATTAAGTCTTGGTTTTCATGTATACTTATACCTTCGTGACTTCTGAACAGTTTCTGTATTACCATAAATATTAATTTGTGGCACACTCGGAAACCACCGAGCCTGTGAAACTGTTTCTGGAAGGCTGAGCTCAGCATGTAGATCCACCGGCACACTGACCAAATGTCGGCTGCTTGGTGCAAGCGTTCAGGAGAAGGCAAGACAAGGCTCTCCAGGGACAGGCATGGCAGCATGTGACTCAGAGGCTCGCTGGCTGTACTGTCATAGCCAGAAGTGTCCTCTGACTCATTGGCTGATTCCCTATCAGACTCTGCTTCTTTACTTACACATAAAAAAGCCACACAGAGGAAGAGGTTTATGGTGGTGATATGAACATCCTGGTGAAGGGTCTTCTGTTTCTTTGGATAAGCTTCTTTGAGACTGACATAAAATTTGCTGAGGCTCTGAGGAGAATCTGAACAAGTGTGCTGGTTGTGAAAGGAAGGATCTATATTTAAGGATGGCGACTCCTTCTGTTCGGCATCTAGCCCATCAATACCTGGAGCTGAAGCATCCTTTTGTTGTTCCCCTAGGCTGATTATTAGAGTTTCAAATGCTTTTAGGGAATGGTTTCGAATACCGTCTAAGTAATTTAATTCAATTATTTGACTCACTCCATTACAACTCAAAAACAAATCTCTTATTACCCTGTGAGAGAAAGGAAAAAAAAACCACAAAAGGTTTTACAACAGAAAAATCATTTATAAATGAATCCCTATATTACTTGAATACAATATTGCTAAACACTGCCTAATTTGATTCATTACTAGCTAAAGTTGTTAGATATTGACCAGGAACTCAAGTTACTTTCTAACTGTCTCACAGCCTTTTAAAAATACCGCATATGTGGCTCTGGCAGTATTTTTAAAAAAGGAGTAATCCAGCCCAAGTTAAATGAAGCAACTCTGGAAGAAATGCCTTTCTCCAAATACCAAGTCCTGTATAAATTCTCAAGGCCACGACCCCTGCCAAGTGCAGGTGGATGGAAGCTGGACAGTAGCAGGCGCTGGTTCATTTGTTCATCTGCCCAATGGTTCCATCGGGACTTTTTATTTGTTTTACACCTGCGCCTCATGAAAGGAAAGAAGCACGCTGCAGAGGTGAGATCATGAGGAGGTTTTCTCTCATGAAGTCTCAGCACTGCATCGGCTCCTTGGAATTTCTCTAACCTGGCTAGCTGACGTTGAGTCATGAGCACAAGCACTACACAGGGCTCTCAGTGGCACCACGATTAGCTTTACAGCTGCTCCAATAAGGTAGGCCACAGTGCTACACAGGAGGACAACAGTGACAGGTCAATCTTAGATTCTTCAAATGGTGCATGCATGGACTTGAAAGCCCAATTGAAGTATCAGAAGCAAGCTTTATTTATAAAAATATTTTTAATGTAGACTTGACAGTCACAAAACCTGGAAAATTATACCAGGTACAGTGGCTCATACCTATAACCCAGCTACTTGCGAGGCAAAGATCAGAGGATCAAGTTTTCAGGCTAACCTGGGCAAAAAGTTAGTGAGTCCTCATCTCAACAAATAAACCAGGTATGGTGGTGAGCACCTGGCATCCCAGCTATGTGAGAGGCATAAGTAGGAGGATCACAGTCCAAGGTCAGCCTGGGCAAAAAACATGAGACCCTGTCTGAAAAAAATAACCTAAAGCAAAAGGGAATGGAGGAGAGGCTCAAGTGGTAGAGTGCCTGCTTAGCAAGTATGAGGCCCCAAGTTCAAACCGTAGTCCCTCCCCCGCCGCAAAAATCTGCAATATACACTAGTGAGACTGCAAGTAATTTCAATTTTCTTCTCTTTGCTATGTAAATTTACTAATTTTCACACATGTACTACTTAAATAATAAATATGAACATGGTATGTAAAAATGATCCCCTGGTGCCACTGCCTCAATAAATAGCTACCTTTTGTATGTGTGTATTTTACATGGCTGTAAGAAAGCGGGAGCTGTCTCAAGTTTCGCATGTTTTACTCATGACTACTAGTCTCCACATGATCTGTGTAACTATTTTAATGGCCAATAATATTCTATCTAGTAAATATAAATCTATTAATTTAAACTTGCCCTTGCTCTTGGGTACTTATGCTGCATCCATTTTCTTCTCAGAAATATATTAGAAACTTTACCTTTTTTTCCATTGAGAAATTAAAATCAATGGCTCTATCCTCTCCCCATAACTACCCCTGGAGAAACAAAACAAACAAAAGGTTTAAAACATGACATGGGGGGGGAGCTTTTTTGTTGCTAAATTAAAATCAGATCCTAGGAAAGAATACAGTAGCTGTGTTCACACACTAATGGGGCCCTGGAGATATCATGGTTAGAAATTAGAGAAGTTTCAACACATACCCTTGTCACATGTTCAAAAACATCCACTAAGAAAAACATCTGCATAGATGTGCGCATACCAACCTGGATTTAAGCAGGCTAGGCAGGGTTTTTAAGTAGATCTGAAGTACTTCCTGAGGCACACACTGCTTGGGACAGCTGCACACATGAGCTTGAGCTGAAGTGATGCTCAGGTGCTGACAATGACGTGCTAGTTCAACTCCTCTTTGGAGCACAGGATTAAATATGTAATTGTACAATTTCCACTGAACAAGTACGTTGCCTTTCTGGATTAAACTGCAAATGTGATTTGCAATCTGTAGGTTATGTAATCTGTCCTCTTCAAAAACAAAGTCCTGATAAGCCTCTAGTGCATCCCATTTCCATAACAAGTCTTCAGACCCACTGCTGGGCAGGATCCCTTGAAATCTGTAGGAGGGACTGGGGAAGCCCAAGGAAGGGGCTGCATCACAGGAGTTGCCCTGCAGGGTCTCTTCTAACTTGGTCAGCTGGTCAGAATCAACGGTACAAATGTTGCAAGCTGCTTTCTTAATTTTCTGTGATACTTCTGCTCCTCCTAACTGGTCCAAAATAAGTTTGTTAAGGATACTCAGTATGTGCTGCTGAAAGTTTTTCAGTGCTGGCAGTTTAAAAGCATGGAGCATGGGGACAATCACAGATTTGGGGTCCATACAGCAGCATATGCCAACACCATGAACACCTGACAGGATCTGGATACAGGTGCTGCTCAAGGAAGCCTGCTGCAGCAAGCGCAGGCACTGATGGGCGCACACCGCGATGCAGCAGCAGCGCTCGGGGTAGTGAACATCCCCATCTGCATTCTCTTCAAATGGATTTTTGGAAAGCTGATTTTTAAAGGCCGAAACCAGAAGCCCTGAGAGATCGCGGTGGTGATGCATGAAGTGAGAATACTCACAGCGTCGGTGCCTTTTTCCTTGTACACACTGAGTGATGAAGTTGCTCTGATTTCACCTTTTTCACTGTGCTCATGATTTTCATCACACTACTTATGAGGGCTTTCAAGTGTTGTGAGGCCTCAGCAGGAACTCCATCTCTTGAAACCAGCCACTCCATCTGAAGAACTGCTGTTTCAAATAGATTAAATCCTTGGTGCTGAATGAATTCCTGAACTAAATCCATGGCTTGACTGAAGTAGAAGGGATTGGAAGCTGCGCTTTGAAGACAACAGATCAGGATCTGTAGAACTCCTTCCAGAAGTTCAGGTAAAAGAAGGGCTCTATGACGATACTCTGAAAACACAAAGCCCTCCTGGACCTCCTGTAGTGTTTTCTTTTGTCTTGGTGCGAAAGGTTCCCGCTGCTTTTCTAAGCATGCTCTGATTTTCAAAGCTGCCCTAAGCAATTCAGTTAAATTTTTCCTAAGACTTTCTGGCATGGCCTCTGCAGTACTAGTATCTACTGACATAAGATGTAGCACTGTTCGAAAGAGCATCCGTTGAACCAAAGCCACTGGCTCTTCAGTCCAACCTGCAGAAACTACTTGGCTCTCTAAGTTGTTACAACAGTCCCCAAAGCCAGCTAGGAATTCAGTTAGTGTGGGCACTACACTGGCTGCCAGGGCAGAGTTACGATTCAAAGCAATATCAAACTTACAAACTTTCTCCAATAAAGATAACAGGACATGGCATAAGTCAAAAGGAGAATTATTCATGTTGCTGAGAATAGACAAGGCAGCTGGCTCACTTAAAATGTCAGTGTTTGACTCCGGTCTTAGAATGATCTCTCTGGAGTTTTCCACAGCCATGGTGTCAGCAGGAGCCTGTTCTCTGGTTGCAAGGGAATCAAGTTTAGCTATGAGGTGGTCTTCTCTAGGAGACTGTGTTATGAAGCGCTGTAGCACATGGGGCCTCCTATGCTTACTCACTGCTAGACTTTTCTCGTCTGAATTGCCTTCTGAGTCAGAGGTGGAGAGCTGTGTCTTTCTTGCATCTCTTACAGAATAGCGATGGGTACTTTTACGCTGTCGTCTGCTTTTTTGTAAAAGGTTTACTTTTGTAGAAACCTGACCAGAGGGGGCACTTCCTTCTAAATATAATTTTCCCTGAGTAGATCTTTGGGAAGTTGAGTTCTTTTCTTTGGTCAGGATTATACCAGATGACAATGGCAAATTAAAATCTAAGGAAATGAAGAAGAAAGGCTTAGAATACCTGAGTGTCTATTAGACTTGGTTTGTGTAGGCAATAGCCCTCGTTTACCGGCCACTTTAGGAGTTCAGCCTCAGTATACTTTTGCTGCAGGGCTGCTTTCCTTCAGCTATCTTATGTGTCTGGGTCATTTCCTCCCACACTTATCCTTGTCACTCTAAACACCAGCTGGTATTAGTTCAAAGGATACAAATTCATCTTGAAAACAACCAGAGAGTAGAATTAGGAAAGCAAATCTGATTTTAAACCATCTACTGCATTCTGATTTCAAAGTAAGAGACTCTTTTAAGACTATCTGGTATTTAGTGCTGTTTTCACACCATTTTACAAATCTCCCCCAATAGTACCACAATTAAAACACAGGTATATTAGGTTCTCAAAAATAGTATTAGCTTATCATGCTTAAGAACTTTAATATTTTCCAAAACTAATTCAAGGTCATACAGAATATATCAAATGTTCACCAAGATGGCGGTTATGAGTTCTTCATTCAAAGTATTTCTCCAGAGTCTCCTGCTTTATAACAGATACTTAAGAAACTGCTTTTGCTGAAAATTGTGGGCCCACAATTAACTAAAAGCTGGAGAAAACCTGATGTCTCTGCTTCAATTTTGCATCTGTCTCCTTTGTTCTGAGTCCTCTCCTGTAGCCACCTTGGGACACTGAAATCAATAACATCTTTATGGCAAGGGACCAAAACTACCTCCACTAAAGAGTAGAGCCTCACACAACAGATCACTCCCCAGATGAGGACAATTACCTGTATGATGAGGATGCCCCCTGGAGCAGGAGTAATCATCTCCCCTCAAGTGATGACAGTGACTACAACTTCCCTGGAACCCCTTGCAGAATCAGAACTGAGATAATGATCAACCAGGCCACACTTTGCCTGTTAATTATGTTGCTTAATTATGCTTATGCCCTACCCCAATTACATTTGCTTAAACCTAAGCTCATGTGAGATGGGCTCAAATGCTTACTTAGCCTCGTCTTGGTTCCATGCCACATAATAAATCTCTTTTCTCTGCCCTTCACTATCTATTCACCTCTTTATTTGGCTTATTGGGGTGAGTGGCTGGATATGGCATGTTAGAACCCCCAGTGCTGGCCTAAGACTCTGGTTACAATGTCCTGAGCTAGGCACAGGTAGAGACATCACTGTTTCATCCTCAGTCCCTAAAGCCTAAGGTCTAGCCTGTGGTCACCACTCAATGATAATTAAAGCTATATATTATATAGCTTTGTAATATATAATAAAAGCTATATGAAAAATATAGTTACAATTTACAGTGAATAAATAAACACTGTAGGTAAAATATTTGTGCTTTAATTAGGAGAGGGAAAACAAACCAGTTTAGAGCAGAAATTAAAAGGAACTGGATTATTCTATCCAAGCAGAAGATACTGACAATGAAATCAGAGAGCCCTTCCCTAAAAAGGCACTTATCTAATTTCTTAAAGGAGTAACAATTTTTGAATTCTACAAATTCAGAAGGAAATAAGAGAAGAGAGTTACTGCATCAAAAAGTAAGCAGGAAACAATACTAGAAGACCTTAAATACCTTCCTAAAAAGAGTTCCTGATCAAAGTTTACTGAAAATAGAGACAAGGCATTCAAGTGGAAGGTAGGAAGACATTTTTAGCCCAAGAGGCTCTCGAGTATCTCACAATTTACATATCCCAGAACTGGCCAAGGGGGAAAACTGTCCATCTTTCCACTGAAACATTTAAAGTTTCATGTATTTTCATATACATAATTTTTCAAAATCAGAAATTAAAAATATATATTGGCCTTACATGTCATAATTTTACCCAGCCTTGAAACAAATTATTACTTCAAATTTATCCTTTAAAAGAAACATTAGAAAACCTGAACTAAAACAAACACTGCAAAAATTATTCCTAGAGCACTGGTAATAGAAAGTAGTCTTCAAGCAATGAACTGGCATTTCTTCAAACTTGTCGCCACCCATTCTTCTGATCTTACACGGCACACCTTGCCTTGTTCCTTTTCTTTGTATATTTTCTAATCATCACTACATTTGTGTACTGTCCTATGAAGCACCATGACTTTGTATTACTGGAAGAAATAAAAATGTGCTTGCACAATGAATTTTTGCATTAAATGTATAATAAATCACAGTGATGTACACCATTCTGAACCTAAGCTGCATTACCATTCAGGCAGAAGTAGCTTTTCAATGGGAATTTTTCTCCCAATGGGACTTGACAGATAACACAATGACTTGCTGCAGAGGTTACATACCTGTTGCCTGCTGTTCCTGCACAGGGATCTTCCACACCAGGGGAAGAAGTGACAAAAGAAGAGTCAGGAGTTCTTCTCTGCATGTCAGTGCCTGTGTCAGAAACAAAGTGGTCCTTCATTGTTCTAAGGGCATGAGACACATTAGTTCCTAATATCTTGTCTTAAATTGAGCCAGGATACCCTTTGTCTTGAAAGATTACATTTGAGAAGCTAAGAATCAAATAAACCTATCTTAAATCCAATTAAAACTGTGACGTTTTTCAGTTTATAAGCCTTTCCAATGACAGAAGAATGTATGAGTATGTGATGGTATTTAGCACATTCCTGCTGATGTCTCCAAAAGTAGGCACTATCACCACCATGCACATTGCAAAACTTCCTCACCTCTGAAAAACAGATGTGTTAGGTGAAAATGAAAAGTTAAGCCCTATTAATTAGCAAACTAATAACACAAAGTTACTAGAAAAATGTCAGTCTTCATGCAGTTAAATGTAAAACTCATAAAACAAATTCAAAAGAGAAACTGACATTATTATTAATATGTGCATATAAAGACTTATTAGTGAGGGTAGTCCAAAATATTCATTGATGGCACACTATATCCACAGGATTTACTGTCTTACCCTTTCTGGAATATATGGTCCAACCTGGAGAAGATCTCCTCATTTTGGTCCAGAAAATACATACACACACCCACAAGAACAATAGAAGGTGTGTAGTATGAGTAAGTCCCCTGGTGTTAAGGTACAGGTGTCCAGTGTAGGAGTTCAGAAAAAAAAAGAGCAATTATTATGAGAAGTGTGAAAGTAGGACTCGCACAGTACAGAGAGCTATACCGGGGACACCTGGGGCACGGATAGTCAGGGATTTAATGACAAATCAAGTCAGGACTGATTCCTCATATCAGTTGGAGGGGAGGGGTCAAATTGATGCAATTAAATCTGCTGGACAGAACTAGAGTACCGGGGAGCTGCTGGTGTTAGAGGCAGGGTCGCAATGGTCCGCTTGAGTAGATCATGAGTATATGAGTATATACAGTACTCTTCATCAAAAGTGGAAAAGGAGATACATTAGAGAATGTGTAAGGTAGAACAAAAATGACTCACAGTTGGTTTTCTATGAGGCAGAAGGAAGAAAATAAAAAAGATCTAGAAAGACTCCTCACAGATTTCTGGTTTAGGTGACTAGGTAGCTGACAATGTATTCACCAAGTCAAAAAATTAAGGAGTGTTACTAGGTTGGGTTAAAGATAATGGAGCTACTTTTCAGGCATATGGAGGCTGAGATGCAGGTAAAATATCTCAATGTGGAGAGCTTTTCAGTAGACAAAACATTATACATATTTGGAACTTAAGCGAAAGATATGAACAAAATTATCTGGGAGGTACTGGGGTGAAGTCAAGGACATGTGTGGTTTTCCAGGTAGAGTATGCAAAATAAGAGAAAACTGGTGAGAATGAAGCTCTGGGGAATGCTGAAGGAACTAAAGGTGGGCTGTCTGAGGTGTAGCCTGCAGAGGAAACTGAGGAGAAGCAGATACACACAAACAAAGAAAAGAGCAGTAGGAGAAAGAATGCTAACAGCAAACAGCTGCTGTCCTTGAACTGTGTGAGATGATGGCTAAACAGCCTTCAGCAACTGAGCATCCTTATGGCCCTCAATGGAGGGCCGAGGGAGTGATCAGGGTACAGGTCCCATTGCAACAGGATGAAGAGTCAAGGGAGGTGAAGAAATGTACAAGATCTTAAAGGAAGCCACCTTTTAGCTCTTCATTCCTGTAGAGTCCTAATTACCATCTGCATCTTTAGTAGATGAACTCACAGCATTCTAATGGAGCATGTAGGAACCTCAGGAGTGTGTGAAGCAGCTCTATAGACACACTGTTCTAATAAGCTAGCCCTTGCTCCATGTAACAGTACACTGGTAAATTCCCACTGCTGTGTGAACAGAAGTTTCTGACTCCTGGTCTCTGAGTGACACATGCTCTGGTACAAACTTCACTCCTTCCCACCACTTCATGGCATTATCTCCTTGGTGAAGTTTCTCCTTCCCAACCAACCCAAGACTACTGCTCTCCCCTCAGGATTTCATGCCTGTTGACCCCCGTTTAATTACATTAGACTAATTCTTGGAAACACGAATTTTCTGAAAGATGAGATTATATAAAGAACAGATTCTGGGGTTTAGAACTGCAGTCCTGATGGGGGCCCGGAATCATCCTCCAGCCTGATACGGCAGTAGGGAAACAACTCTCCATTTCACACTCAGTTACCATCATTTCCAACACAAAGCATCATTGAGCCAGCTCTCCCTAATCATCTGGACCTATTATGCTGAAGTATCATATATTCCCAGGTTTATTCAGTCTGGAACCAAAGAATCTTCATATTTAATTATGTCCTTCTGGAATTCACAAAGTATTTTTCTCTTATTTGTGGGTATGCTGGAAAACTAGAACTTGCAGCCCTTTATTTCAAATCAAGCTCTAGTTTTATCTCCCAAGGTCCTGAGTATACACAATAGTCATAGTATATAAGGGATGGGGTGCTTCACCACACCAGTCAAGTAGATAGCTCCCCATATGCCATATTAGGGAAAACATGCCATATACAGCCTGCTTTTTAGTTGTAGCATTGACTCATAATGTTTTCTGTGGTTGTAAACATGATGGGTTTTACATATACCTTGTTGTTTTTTTTTTTGTTTCTTATTCTTTTGTTCTTCCTTTTGAGTCTGATGACTTATCAGAAACCCTGTAGCACTGGGTATCAGTGGCTCACGCCTATAATCCTAACTACTCAGGATACAGAGATCAGGAGGATCATGGTTGGAAGCCAGCCTGGACAAATAGTTCTCAAGACCCTATTTGAAAAAACCCTTAAAAAAAAAGGGGGGGCCTGGTGGAATGGTTCAAGGTGTAGGCCCTGAGTTCAAACTCTGACACCACAAAAAAAGAAAGATGAGAGAGAGAGAGAGAGAGAGAGAGAGAGAGAGAGAGAGAGAGGAACCCTAGAACAAGAAGAAAGTGAATCAGTGCATTTAAAGTTCTGAACAACAACAAAAAAGTCAACCCCCACAAGTGTGCATCTAGCAAAAATATCCTTTAAGAATGAAGAGACAATGAACAGATTTTCATATAACAGGATAAGAATCTGTTACCAACAGATCTGCAGTATATGAATGGTAAAGAAATTCTCCTATTTCTAGACTGTCTAACCTACAGAAATCAATCAATATCATACCATTCTTTATTTAATACTTACATTTTTGTCTCCCTTCCTGAAGGTAAAATCATTGGGTATTATCTTTTAAAATTCCCCATGGCAATGACAAATAGCAAAGTCATTCTCACTGAGATGGTACTTCTTAAATTTAAGAAACATATTTCAAGTACCTACCAGGTGCCAGGCACCAGCCTTTTTCATATTCTCCCTCACCCTCTTGGAATGCTTCCACCATAAGGTAAAGAAGTTGGGTATGGCCAGCTAATATGAGATGAGAGGCCATGTAGAAAAGAACCATGGCAGCCTGGCCAACAACCCCATCCAATAGCTTCAGTCAATCTGCTAACTAACTGCAAATTCAGATGTATAGCCAGCTGACCACAAGGAGCCAAGGTGGTTGGCTATTCCACCTGAGCCCCGCCTGAACTGTCAACTCACAGAATCATTTGTAGTTCATTGCTGTTCTTTCTCTAGCCCTGTATATCTCTGCATTTGCAGTTCCCTTGCTCTCACACTCCCTCTCTCTTGACATTGTGGGCCCCCATGTAGGAATGCCAGCATCTCTAAGAGGCAATTCCTGATGATTCTCTCCTCTACACTCCTGAATACCTTCACGCTATTTTAGTCATCTTTTCATCTGTCCATATTTTCAAAAGCAAAGAGCTCCTGGTAAACATGGTCTCTTTTCCTTTATCTCTGCATCTAGCAGAGGTGCTGGTCTGCTAAATAAACCAGTGATGAAATAATAGTCACTCTGATACTTTTCAATCATATTTATTTTATATATCACTGTAGATAAGCTAGTTATGCATTACTATATATGCATAACTATATATAAAAGTGATAATATTACAAGATGTAGAAAGAATAAAGTACTGTCTTAAACAGGAAATAGCTCAAGGAAAAAGAAACCAATTAGAATATTTAAATTAATTTTTGTTCATATATATAAAACCTCCATCAGTAAAACTTCATTCTTTACTCAGAAAAAGAGTAACATTATAAGACATCCATAGGGTTTGAATAGGAATGGGAATTATATATCGCTAAAATGTTTAAAAATACTATTTATGCCACATGGTTATGCACAGTAGTCAGTTTTAAGAAGTTTTTTTTTCTGGTGCTGAGGATGGAACCCAGAGCCTTGAGCATGCTAGGCACTCTTACATTGAGCTACATCCCCACCCCTACTAGTCTAATTTTGATATACTTTGTTGTCAATAGATTCCCACAATCTTCCACCTATTACATAAGAATAAAGCTATATATTTATAATCAGGGTATAGAGGAAGTCAGAAAACATTATAAAATATTATAAGGAAACAAATAATTTTTATGTTGGAAAAGATCTCAAGTCATCCAACTGGATGTTCTTATGTTACTGATGAAGATATCAAGATCTGGAGCAATTAAGTGACTAAAGTCACCCATCTAGTTGACAATTGTCCTAAGGTTAAAATCAAGGAAAACTGTTACTTTTTTAGGCTGGACAAAAGTTCTTTTAAAAGAACTTATATAGGCCTGAGTATAAACTTAAAATTTGTTATCATTAACCATTAAAAAGAATACGCTTTTTCTATTTAAACAGTATTTTCTCCTTAAGAATAAACAGATGGAAATGTATGGATGTAATAAATCATGAACAGGTTTTATCCTAGAAATGCTAACTTTGTTCAACATTTTCAAATTGTCAATGTAACTCATCCACACTACAGAATGAAGAGGAAAAAAATCATATGACAGCCTCAACAGATACAGAAAAGACATTTAACAAAATTCAACATCAATTCAGGATTAAAAACTCTCAGTGAGCTGGGGACAGAAGAGAACTTCCTCATTCTGATCAAAAGCTCACACCATATTCAATCATGGAATGTGCACACATCCCATTGGGTCAGACCCAGGAAAGAAGCCCACTTTTGCCACTCCCATCTGTCTTTGTGCTAGAAGCCAATAGAAAAGGCAAGAAAACAAAATAAAAGGCATAAAAATTGGAAAAAAAAAAGTGAAACTGTCATTATTCACAGATGACATGATGCTAAGAAAATTCTAAGAAATCTCCAGAAAAATTTCAAGATCTAATAAAAGAATTTAGGAAAGGCCCAGTATACAGGATCAATATGCAAAAAGCAAATGTACATTTGTTGTTGCTGTTGTTTGTTTTGTAATACGAGGCTTGAACTCAGGGCCTCATGCTTGTTAGGCAGGCACTCAACCACTTGAGCCATACCTCTAGCCCAGCAAATGTATGTTGTTGATAAGCAACAAACAACAGGGAAACAAAAATTTTAAATGATTATTACAATAGCATCAAAATAATAACATACTTTGAATACTTACCCAAAAGTGTGCAAGACCTCTATAAGGAAAACCATAAAATACTGCACAGAAGATACGGAAGACCCAAAAAAAACAGATTTATACCATGTTCATGGTCTGGAAAACTCACATTATAAAGTCTTTCTAAATTGATTTATGAATTCAACATTATCCCAAGTGAAATCAAAATTAGACTGAGCACTTTTATAGAAATGATAAGTTTAATAAAATTTATATGGAAAATCACATAAATATAAAAAGCAAGAATAAAACTGGAGAACTTATACCACCTAGTTTCCAGATTTACTTTTACAAAAGCTACAGTAATGAAGAAGGTGTGGTGTTGGTGAAGATTAGATGACAGATCAGTGAGCCAGAACAGAAAGTCAAGAAAGAGACCCCTACATGTATAGTCAACTGATTTTCCACAAAGGCTTTGATGATATTCAGTGTGGAAAGACCAGACTTTCAAGAAGAAATGATGTTGGAACAACCAGGTAGCTGAAGAGGAAAAGGAACCATAACTTCTACCTCACATTATACACAAATATTAATTCAAAGTGGATCACAGACCTCAAGGCAAAAGAAATAACTAAAAAGCTTTAAGGAAAAAAAAAAAAAACTGGGAAAATGTCTTGCAACTCCAAAGTTGCAAGACAAAGATTTCTTGAATGGGACACAAAACATTGCAAAAAACAGAAACCTGCTTTTCTAAAGACACTTTTAGGATGGGAGGGAGGGGGTGTAGTTCAATGAAAGCACTGAGCTTATATAGCATGCAAGAGGCCCTGGGTTCAATCCCTGGAGGGGGAAGGGGAAGAAATGTTGTTAAGAAATGAAAAGGCATGCAGGCCTGGTGGTACATGCCTGTAATCCTAGCACTCATGAGCTACAAGAGGATGAAAAGACCAACCTAGGCAATATAGCAAGACCCTGTCTCTAAAAACCGGGGAGGGTGGGATGAAAAGGCAAGCCACAGAAAAAAATTTTGTAACCTAACAGAAATTTCTATCCAAAACACATAAAGAACTACTATGCTGGATGATAAAGAATCTGACTTTAAAATGGCACAAAACTTGAACAGACATTTACCAAAGAAGGTATAGTAATCCCTCCTTATCTGTGGTTTTGCTTTCTTTGGTTCTGGTTACCCACAGTTTGAAAGTATTAAATGGAAAATTCCAGAAATAAGTAATTCATAAAATTTAAATAAATTTTATTACAGTATATTGTAATAAATGCTCTAATTTATTATCAGTTTTCATTAAAATATTATTGTGTACAATTTATAAATTATACTTTACCATAGGTTTTTATGTATAGGAAAAATTCATATATCTAGAGTTTGGTATAATCCACAATTTCAGGCAGCTACAGGAGGTGTTAGCACATATCCCCTGTGGATAAAGGATGACCACTGTATGTACATGCCCAATAAACATATAAAAAGGTGCTCAGCATCATTAGCTGTCAGAGAAATGCAAATTAAAAAGCATAATCAGGTACTATTCCACATTCACTTAAGAATGGCTAATAACAAGAAGACTGGCAATATAAACACAGGCTGTAAAACAACTGGAATTCTCATACACTGCTGGTAGGAATGAAAAATGGTACAACCACTCTGAAAAAGTTTGGCAGCTTCTACTAAAGTTAAGCAAACACCTACTCTTTCACCCAGCAATTATATGTCTAAATATTTATCCATGAGAAATGAAAACATGTCCACACAAAAACTCACAAGAATGCTCATAGCAGTTTTATTTATAATATCCAAATGCATAGAACCCAAATGGCTAAACAACAGGTGAATGGTTAACAAACTGTGGCATGTCCATACAACAAAACACTAATCAGTAATAAACAGTACTAAATGACTGTCTCATGCATCACCACGGACACAAGAATCTAAGACACTAGAGCACATCCTGCCTGGGCCCACCAATAGGAAATTCTAGAAGTCAAAAACTAACTTCAAAGCTAGAAATCGGCACAGCAGTTGCTTCACAGTGGGTGATGGGAACAGGCTGGATGAAAAGGGGCACAGCCAAACTTTCTAGGGTGGTGGGAACATCTAAATATTGATTGTGGTTGCATGGGAATAAATAATAATCAACATCCATCCACTACACAGTTAATATCTGTGCCTTTACTGTGTAAGTCCAGGAGAAAGTGCTCAACTTCATTAGTTGTCAGAGAAATGCAAATTAAAACTACAATAAGATACTATTTCACATTTACTTAGAATGGCTAATACTAAAGACTTGCAAAATATTACCATAAGAAAAACTATTATTGCTGAATGACTCAAATGATTTCAGCCATGTAATAATACACTAAAAGATATTTCATGGCATGAGTGCTGGTGGCTCACACATGTAATCCTAGCTATTCAGGAGGCAAAAGAGATCAAGAGGATCGCGGTTCCAAACCAGCCCAAATTGTTCGAGAGACCCTATCTCGAAAAAACCCCTCACAAAAAAGGGCTGGTGGAGTGACTCAAGGTGTAGGCCCTGAGTTCAAACCCCAGTACCACACACGACACACACACACACACACACACACACACACACAAAAGATATTTCATGACTTAAAAGAGGCAGCATAAAATATGCAGAGACAGTAAACAGATTAGTGGTTTCTTAGGGCTGGTGTGGAGTGGGGGGAAGACAGGAAAAGAAAAGTTGAAGGACAAGGGTTTCTTTTTATTTGCTTTCTCTTCTTTTTTTTGTGATAGTGGGGTTTGAACTCAGGGCCTCACGCTTGCTAGGCAAGTACTCTTAATACTTAAGCCACTCTGCCAGCTCAGGGTTTCATTTTGAGGTAATGAAAATGTGCTCGGTAACACTGTTATTTTTAAAACCTATTTAGATTTTGATTGGAATTGTATTGGAATCTACAGATCAATTTGGAGAAAACGTGTATCCACAATATTAATTCTTTCAACACAAGAAAATTACGTATTTCTCCACTTACTTGAATCTCCTTTAGTTTCTCATAATAACGTATTATAAAATTTCATGCAGAAGTATTACACATACTTTATTAGATTTATTCCTGGGTATTTTACATTTCTGATGCTATTTATATTAATTGTTAACTTTTTTAAAAAGCACTGAACTGTCTCAATATGGAGTAAGAAGATGAACAGAGCATAATATGCATATTAAAATTTCAAGATAAAAAATTACTACACATGGTCTAATGAATATTTTCAAGCAAAATTTCAAAAGAAAAAATCACTATACTTGGTGTAAAAAATACTTTTTTCTGATTTTAAATTTTATTTGTAGTAAATTCATACAATATATACAATTAAATTACATCTAATCACACATTTAACAAATCACTTTAATAAAAAAGAATATAAATACATAAAACCTGCAAGGGTCCTGGAAAGTTTGACATGTAAATAACACGGTGAATAAGGAAATCCTGATTTATGTTTGTTGGGGTTCTTGGTTCACAGTGAAACAGAGGCATTGCTTGATTTTAGTCCCTCATGTTTACTTAATTTATGTACTTGTTAAGAAGATGCATTCACAGCAAAGGATCTCAGTGATAGCTAAGCACACACCTAGCGCTGGTAAAGAGAACACAGCAGCACTGCAGAGCCCTCCCATCTGTTCAACTCAAGGTAAGGGAAACACCGTGAGCTGCGTTAACCAGCCCCTGAAGCAGATTACAGACGCTTTCCTCCACAAAACCACCACTGTGTCCTACTGAAATGAAGTAAAGATCACATCATGTTTGGGCTTTAGGTCAACTTTGAGTTTTTAGTGTTTCTAGACCTCAAGTTTTCACAATTATAAAATGTTGTATGAAAACATCTATCTAGTCCCGACTAACTTGAAACTCTCTTAATTCTTCAATAAAGAGACAGCAAAGCAACATGACCACCTGTACTTCAGACATAAGCAGCAATGCTTGCAAACTAGCTGTGAACAAGCTGAAGGACGCAGCAATTATGAGTTTACACGGAAGGAGTCTCTGCTTTCACCCCAGAATTAGTAAACTCCCTAAATCTAATTCATGCCAAACTTTTCAAACATGAATTTGATCTTTATTGAAAGTGCAGATTCATGTTTCTGAATTATAATCTTATAGCTCTACTAAGAATCATAAAAATCTCACTGATATTTGAATAAAAAGCATACATGAACAACTTCAGAAGAAAAGAGATTATTTATAACCCAAAGACACTTCAGTGTGAAAGTATCCAAACAAACAATGTGTTCACAAATGGGGCTACTTTTTTTTGTTGGAATGATGTGAGAGAAAGGACTTTATCTCAAAAAGACTCTCAGAAGCTGTATAACCCAGAAATCACAAACCTATAATCAAGTATAATGAAAGATTATATTATATATAATATGATGAAAAACTATTAGATATGGAAATGTTACCTGATCAATGATAGAATTTAGTTTGGTAAGTAAGAGAAATCCTTGCCCATGGACAAGGTACTGTCCAAGGGTTGCCATGTGTGTCTCTTCCTCTTCCTCCTCCCTGGCCTCCGCCCTTTGAACCACTGCATTGCAAAGCCGGTTGACATCGGTCAGAAATTCACGTGCCAATGAATTACTGTCGGTGCTCATGACCGAGCTATAAAAGAAATACAGTAAAAAAGATTAGAAAAATGGATACAAATTTACTTTCAAAACTGTGTGATTTTAGGGCTGGGGGCATGGCTCAAGTGGCAGAGTACCTGTCTAGCAAGCTCAAGGCCTTGAGTTTGAACTGCAGTACAGAAAAAAAACAACAAAAAAACCCCACGTGGTTTTGTTGTTTCACTGAAGATTGACTTAAAATTATTGGCTATTGATCCCTAAACCTGTAATATTCTCAGGCATTGCTCTGACCTACTCAGGTGTTCCTCAAATAATTCCTACAACATAGAAATGAGTCCCAGGTTTGAAATGTCTAAGCACAGACCAGAAGGCATAAGATAGAAGACACTAGTGAGTGGTGGCAGCTAAGGGAGATTCTGTTTGAAAACAGATACATGGACCTTTTAAAATATAATACAGTGATAGAGCCTGTAACCACTGGTCTGCTCCCTGGAACTCAAGGCTCAATTAACTGTGGGGAAGGAAGTGTTCCTATCAGGTAGTTCAAGTTAAGCCACTTGGCTTCTTACTATAAATAGGAATAAAACAAAAGGCAAGGTGACATTTGAAGGTTCAGGAGAACAATAAGGTAAAATAAACAGGAGGAGGGACATAAATATAGAGAAAAACGTGCTAATATTCAAAAAGGAAAAGTCATGAGCAACAAAATATCCAAGGAGTTTCTAAATAGTTTTATCTTCAGGCTGAAGGTAATTTTGAGACATATGTTACTTTAAAAAATGCTTCTCTCAAAGGAGCTGTTTTCCTTAACCCTCTTTGGGGGACGCTGGCTCCACAGTCATGGCCAAGAGGGCACAGGCCACATAACTGTACCTACTGCCAGGAGGCAGGGCCAGGGGCCTATCAACTGAAGCAAGCCTGATTCAGGAACAGCCAACATAAGTGCTGGCTGCAAGATGTACTTGTATAGTGTAGCTTGCAAAAGGGACTTGGGCCAGTCAGGGTCTCTCTTCAGCTTGGAGATCTGAAGTAAAGAACATACTTGGTCACACAGAGATGGGCCAATGGTGGTCATTACGAGGTAGTTGAAGCGCAGAAAAAGACAACTGGGTGAAAAGGAACCAATAGGATGCAAAGAAAAGCAGATGAAACATGAAAAGGAGAGGCTAGAGAAAAGTCCTATACCTCCTTGATGCCTGCTTTCTAGAGCATGACAGATTAACTCCTGAATTCCCACCCGAACCCTAGATATTATTACAATAACAAATATATATGAAACAAATATCGTTTTTAATGTTATTGAACAGTAAGAAAAAAAGCATGAAAAGGCACATCACTCATTATTCTAAAATGCAGCAATACCTCTATACATAACATTGGCTATTTGTAAATCTTATAAAGTTAAATTGCTCAATAAACTACAGAAGCTAATGCACAATTAGTGCACACTTGTGCATCTCTGTAGCGCATCTTGCCTAATGTGTCACTGCTGCATACTGAAAGGGCAAGGACCGCCACTGAATCATGATTTTTTTTTATGGCAGTGCTGGCGAGCTGCTGGCTCAGCAGGTATTCCACCACTTGAGTTGCACTTCTTGTCCTGTTTCCTGTCATTATTTTTGAGTGAGGGTCTCACTTTTCGCCCAGGGCAGCCTGGACCTATTTTAAGCTTCCCTCCACGGCTGAAATGACAGGTGCCCCTAACCCAGCTTATTTCTGTTGAGATGGGGTCTCACAAACTTTTTTGCCTGGGCTGCACTGGAACCATGACCCACCGCATCTCAGCCTCCCAAACTGCTAGGATTGCAGCGTGAGCCAGGGTGCCAGCTGACTCAATGCTTTTTTTTCACTCTCTGGGCCACACCCAGACTACCTATAATAGAGCATTCCTGAAGAGCACTGCACTACTGTTACTGAGACATTTCCCAAAGTTGCTAACATCATTCTGCAATTTTTCTTGATCTTTAAGAGTTTCAGAAAACATTTAAAACTCAGCAGGTGTAGGGCTAGTAATGCCCAGAACTCAGTGAAGCACTGACAACTCGAGGGGCTATGACCCAGTTCCTTCAGGAGTAGGCTGGTCAACAGCTTCACAGCAGCCTCCTGTCAGTGCTTATAAGACACCATCCACTGCAAGACACACTACAACTTGAGAAATGTTTGAAATGTTAACAACTAAAACAGTTAAGGCAATAATCTGGCCCCGTTTTCTAGAAATTAGGAAAATAAAAACTGCTACTTAAGCCCCAAATATGATCATTTTTGGAAGTGGCCTTCGAGAGGTAATGGGAGTTAGAAGAGACCATACGCACAGGGCCCCATGGAGGATGACTTTATAATAATAAGAAGAAGAGAGGTTGGGCACACACACTGCCACTCTCGTGCCCTCTTCTCCCTCAGCCATGGGTGGCACAACACAGAAACTGTCACTGTCAGCACTCATGACAGAGGATAAGAGATGCCAATGCATGCTCCAAGATGGTAAGAAGTTATTTATTGTCTTTGTAAATTACCCAGTCTGTGATACTCTGTTACACAAGCAGAAAATGCCCTAAGACAGAAATCAACATGAATTCTTAGATATGACAATTAATGAGGAATGATTTCAATCTTACTTCCTAAAAGCAGAAGACACTGTATCAGTAAAAAGCATTCTCTGTACATTAAAATATATAAAAAGAATTCTCTAATTTAAAAATATATATAAAATATATACATATTTACATGGATGAGGTATTATATATAATTGATTTAACACCTGCTTTGTTTCATTTAGACATTTTGAAAAACTTTTTCCATGAGCTCCCTTACTCTTTTATTTTTTTAATTGTTTATACATTTATTCATATGTGTATACATTGTTTGGGCCATCTCTCTCCCTTGCCTCCCACCCTCTTTTCTTTATTTTTGTGTTTTTACTTTATCTTAGTTTTTTGGTGGCACTGGGGTTTGAACTCAAGAACTTATGCTTGCCAGGCAGGTGCTCTACCACTTGAGCCGTGCCCCACCCTTTTTACTTTAGTTAATTTTCAAAAGGGTCTCATGTTTATGCCTGGAGCTGGTTCTCCTATCTATGTTTCCCACTTAGCTGAGATGACAGGCATGTGCCTCCACATCTAGCTTTTACAGTCGAGATGGAGTCTCTTGAATTTTTGCCCAGGCTGGCCTTGAACAGCTATATATTTGCCTCCTGAGTAGCTATGATTATAGGTGTAAGCCAGTGCTCCCTGCCTATTTCTTTTTATTTTTTAAATTGACAAAATCTTATTTATCATGTACTACATGGTGTTTTGAAGTATATATACATTGTGGAATGATTAAATCCAGCTAATTAACAAACTCATTACTTCACACAATTATGTTATGGTAAGCACACTTTAGATAGGCATTCTACCACTTGCGCCACACCCCCAGCCCAGAAAACCCTTTTTGTTTTGTTTGTTTTTAAAACAATCTTTTAGTTTTTTTTGTATAGATGGATGGAGGAATGTATTTTTTTTTTTTTTTTTTTTTTTTTTGGTGCTGAGGAATCAAACCAAGGGACCAATGCATGCAAGGGAAGTGCTCTACCACCAGGCCATATCCCCAGCCCATGAGCACAGTTTAAAACCCACTCTCTTACATTTTTCAAGAATATCTGATATCCTTGAAAAAAGTAAGCCAACCAATGTACAACATAAGCACTTTCAGAGTTGCCATAATGACTCTCCCCTATACAATGAATATATTGTAATAAAAAGAATATATTCTTATTGCACAGTAGCCATTCTGTGCACTAAGTCCCTATTATCTACAACTTATAAAAGTTCTGAACTCTCCTATGCAATATTCAAACAAAATTCCCATCCTTCTGCCCAAATGCATTAGTATTAACAGAACAACACTAGCAGGGGTGAGAGAAGGCACTTCTATTTTGCATTTTAAGTGTTTATTTCCTTCTTAAAGGAATGTTGAACTTAATTGAATGTCTTTCTGCCATTCTGAACACCAACTGAAAAGATAAGTATCATTCTTTCTAATATTGCCTTACATTATTTCTAATATTTCAAATATAAAAAATACTCCCAGACCTAGCAAATATTAACATTACATCATGTCAGTTAGAGTGTGTGTGCATGTGTATTCACATGCATGTGCATGTGTGTAAAGAAATTAAGGCTTAAAGTACACGAAAGTCACACCAACAGTTCCTCCACCTCCCTAGCTGGTGTTTATGAGAAACATGTACATTTTATACATGTTTATAGTTGTAAAAATATTCAGTATTGTTTTACTACTTTTGAAATGTGAGTTGGAGGTGTGGCTCAAGCAGTATTGTACCTGCCTGGCAAGCATGAAGCTCTGAGTTCAAACCGATTTTAAAAGTATAATTTATGTATTTAACTGTTTTCCCTCTTAACATTATATACATCTTGCAACATGCTGCTATATGGACAATCCACAATCTAAGGGAAAATTTAGCTGTTTTGCTTTGGAGTTAAATTAATGACATACAGCTACAGAGTTTCAAAGCCTTAGAGTAATCAAGTCTTTCAACTGTTAATATTTATTACATTAGATACTTACCAGAGTTTAACACTTCTGTAACATTTAGAGTCTATATAATTTGAGTTCATAAATTAGATGAAACAAATAGTCTTCGAATAAAGCTTCACCTACAAAAAAAGGACAAATCAACAGCAATAGTAAACCACAAGTAATTTTAACAAAGTTCTGATATAAAATCAGTGGCCAGTCTTTACATGTGAAATGTGAAATAGCCAACAAATTTTTAAAACACTTTTATTAGCATGTATTAGCTGTACAGGAAGGTTACATTGTGACGTTTCTATGTATGCTTACAATGTACCTTGGTTAGGCTCACCCCCACCATTACTCTCTCATCCTCCTCCTCCCCAACAAACTTTGTAATCATCTCAAGAGTGTAATAAAAAAAAATTCCTAACCTTAAGAACTGAATCTTGAGACAGGGAGCCCTAGAACATCCTACTAAGAACTTAACCATAGCTCTTCCTGTCCCAACTCCAATCTCTAGATAAATCACAAGTTGACCATGAAGAAGACTCAGACCAGCATCAGTATTAACAATGTAATCTAGGAGGTAGCAGGACATCACCTACATACAACTCAAGGTTCCCATGAACAGTCAAGTCATTATTCTCCTGCCTGGTGAAAGGCATTAGAGGATATATGAGAACTTAAAACACAAAAAAACAAACAATGATTAATAACTACCAAATTTCAAATCCTTGAAATTCTTAAATAGATTAATCTGGTGCTGGCAGAGTGGTAGAGCACCTGCCTAGCAATCATAAGGCCCTGAGTTCAAGCCCCAATACTTCCAAAAAAAAAAAGTAATTGAATTAATCTTTTGTGTACAGTGCAATGAGGGTTATTTCTAGAATACTAAAGGAAAATCCCTACTTCTTGGGATAACCACAAGATGCTTCTCTTTAGTTACCTGTTCTACCCTTCTCTATAGTTTTTACCACTAAGAAACATGAAAAATGTTTATTACAGTTATGGTGGTTTATTTGTAACCACAAACTTTTTGATAAACGTGATCTTGGTTTCAGAATGCTCAAATCTACAAACCTATCTTGAGTTTCCTCAACACACAGTTATTGTACCACACATTTTTCTAGGACCTTAAGGATACAGAAGGCAAGAAAGGGGACTGAGCCATGTTAGACTCTACAGAGTTTGTATGAACAAGAAAAACACCCTTTCCTTGTGGGTGCACCAGGTCCATGGCTATCAAGCATCAGCTAGCTGTCAATCCTACTCACTTACTTCCCCTGGATGACCACCAATGGTACTCAAAAGGAAGAGCCCTGGAATGGAGTCAGAACGCCTTCCATATATGTTTCTGAGTTAATCAAAATCATGCATATATTTTAATTCTAAAATTATGAAAGTGGAAATTATCAAATTCTGAGTCTAAAAATGGCATTCCAGTAATTACTTTGACTACTAACACATTCTAACTAGCTGGGACTCCTACAAGGTAGATCCATGTGTCTTAGAACTGGTTATTTCTCTCTTACTGAGAGACATTTTCTCAGATATGCCTGCTGAGGAACAGGCATATCTTCTTCAGCTCTGTATTTTGCAAAGCCCACCTTGGATATCTAAGGAGTTTCATTTTACAAAATTATAATTCTAACTGCTAGCAGTGAGCTGTATATACTCCTTGATGCTGACATCATACAACTGTATTCTAATTTTTATCACCCAATATTACATTAAGTGTTCATAAAGTCTGGAAACATATATTTTAATAGACTAAAGATGTCCTTATCACATTATACATATTTGCCTCTACTTCCAAACTACAAGGCACCATGTAGTTACTCATTTATATAACTGGCTTGCCCACTAGATCACAAGCTCCTTACAGCCAAGGATCCTATCTTATTATTTCTGCCTCTTATAGCTATAAGGCCAAATTTGAAATTTAACTTTATTACTATAATTTTCCATTTCTAATATAACTATTGTTACAAGATCATAATAAATGTCCCAAAAATATTACTAGAATATTCTTATATTCTTAACATTGATTATAAATGAGAAGCATAGTAATAAATGTCTGTGATCATATAAATGTCCTTCTCAGAAAAATACATTTGTTGACATCAGTGGTAAAATGTAAAATATGTACAGACATAACAAAATAAACCCAAAATAACCAAAAAAACCCTTTGATTTAATGTATTAGCTATACCTTCTAGTTTATGTCATCAGAAACTTCATCAATATGCCATTTACCTCAACAAATGTTTAGTGACTATTTACCACATTCCAGCTACTATTTCAGGCACTGGGTATAGAGAGAAAACAAAATCTACTCTCGTGGTTTCTAGTAGGGTAGAGAAAGAAAAAAAAAAAAACCAAAACCCCAAACATATAATGTTAGGCAGTGCTAAAAGTGCTACAAACAAAAACAGTTAAGTGTTCAGAGTGACAAAAATGCTACTCTACAAGGTGTGCAGAGGTTAAATTTGAGCAAAAACTTCCATGGAGTAAGAAGTAGGTCATGTGGGTACCCAGGAAATGTGTATTCCAGGTGCTGCGATAAATGCATGCTTCATACACTGGATACTGAATGCAAGAGAAAAAGAGAAATCAAAAGTGACTACTTAGGGTGGGAAAGTCACTCAGTCCTGCTTCTCAGGAACTGAAGTAAGGTGTGAAACCCTGGAAATGTTTCTTCCTAAGAATGCATCCTTCCCACCCACTCTCCAAAAATACTGTTAGGTTTTCTAGCCTGCGTGAAAAATAATACTGCTTACTGATGACAGAAGGACAAGCTGGGAGGGAAGACAGATTCCTCTTTAGCTATGTTAAGTTTGACAGGTCTCTCAGAAACCGAGTAAAGGATGTCAAGTAGGCAGGTGGAGATACAAAACTGTAATTCAGATTGGGAGGCTGGAACTGCTGAGTCAATTAAAGAATCCTCAGCAGGTAGGCACATTTTTAAATCTGGAGACCACATGGATGAAATTACCCAGAACAGTGTCAAGTGAACTTGCTGAGATGATGAGACTGTTCCATAATCTTTGCTATCTAACATAGCATGCAAAAGCTGCATGGTGCTAGTGACTGCCATCATGAACAGTAGGGACCTGGAGAATGAGTGCTGGGTTCTAGGATGGAGGCCAGCATGGGCTGAGCATGACTGAGTCAAGGGGAGGAACAGCATCCAGCACAGGAGAGAGAGGAACCACAAGTGAAGCAGGAGAAAAATCCGCAACATAGTGTCTCTCAGAAACCAGGCACAGGAAACTCAGAACAGGAAAGAGTGACCACCAATGGTATAAGATCTTGCTGAGACTGACGGAGAGGAAGACTGGGAACTGACGGCTGATTTAGCAATATGGAAGTTCCTGCCAAGCTTGTCTCATAATGGTCTCAGGGAGTGGAAGAGCAGAGACAGAATAAAAGCAAGCAGTTCAGATAGCTGTTTTGGCAAGTTCTGTAGGTAAGGAATGAAAGGCAACAGGAAGGAGTTGGAGGGGGCATGGGATAAGCAAACTGATATTGGAGCTAGTTTTTAGGCTGAGATATAGCATGCTGCTCCAAGCGAGAAAGAAAAATCTATGAAAAACTAGAATGAGAAGAGAGAATTTTAAGAACAAAGGGAAGGAATGACAGAAGGGAGGAAGGAGACATAATGTACAAGTGGAGACAGTGGTGACATGTCATCTAATAGAATAAGAAGAATGTCAGAATACACAAGCACATATGTAAGAAGACTGGTATATTTGGCAGTGAAGAGATCAAGAAGTTTTCTGGGTACTTCTATTTTCTTAGTGAAACAAAGCAACAAGGTTACCAGCTGAGAGCAAGGAGTGGGGAGATGTTAAATTGATGAGTGTACTAGAATCAAAAGTAAGAGACTTCCCCCTAGGCTGCCGGTGAGCATAAACCGAGTTCTCTTGTTCAGTAACTATATCCACACTTGAATCCAATTCTCCATGTTCCCAAAGATGCAATGATAGAAAGACTGTCAAGTGTACCAAGGAAATCTAGGTATGTGACAACTGCAGCATTCTCCTAACCTCTATGTGTATCGTCCTTGTCAAAAATGGAAACTGGGTTATCTAGAATTAACTATACTCAAAGAACCCACATAATCTATGCTACTCACTTTTTCCTTCTGTAAAATATTCACAAATTTTTTAAAGCCTATGGAAGTCTACAGTCTTTCTAATTTTGGAACATTACCCCTCCACAGTCTTCACAAGCTTTCACATTCATCATAATTACTCAAAGATTACCAGTTCAGCAAAGACATTAACAAATCTTCTCAGAATCTAGACCCAAGATGTGAACTCATTTGAAGGAGCCAGAGGTTCTGGCAAAATCTCCTCCCCAGTCTTAGGCTTCTATTTTTCTCCTACTATTCTTTCTTCTACCTGTCAGTCTGCATGTAGATCACTCTCCATGTCAGAGAAGTCAAAAAACAGAAACTGAGAACTTTCATTTATTCTCTGTATCCAATTATAGGGTCAATTTGTTGATAATAATCTACAGTACTACTTATTTGTCATTTTCATTCTCTACATATAAAATATAACCTTTGCAAAAATCTCAGCTCATTATTCTACTGGGATTGTTCCTCTTTTATGTCTCGTATGTGTATGATTCATAGCCTTCTTTTCTCCTTTTGCACATGCTATATTGATATCAGATCACTTGACTTTTTCCCTTTTCTTCATGTATTATTTCCAATCATTCCATAAAGATTCTGTCTGTGATTGCTTTGCCACCACTTTTGCTTCCAGAGACTGTATTCATAGCATCTTACCTTTCCTTTGAACTTTAAGAGCTCTATTTTAATTCTCTATATCCCAACTCTCATGATTAAACTTGTCAACTGATTGGACTGAGAGACACTTAGGAGACTAGTAAAGCACACCTCTGGGTGAATCTTTGAGGGTGTTTCTGTGTTTCTAGAGACAATTAGTCCGAAAGGCTCTGATTTAATCAAGGGTTTAATCCATTAATGGGTTCAACATTTAATAGACTATTGAGAGTTGGTGGAAGGTGAGACCTACTTGGAGGAAGTGGGTCTCTGAAGGCATGCCTTTGGAGAATATATCTTGGCCCTGGGCCCTTCCTGTTACCTCTCTCTGCTCCCTGGCTGCCATGAGTTAAACAGCCTCTGCCTCATATTCTTGCTGCCATGATGTTCTACTTACCCCAAGGCCCAAAGCAATGAAGCCAGCAACCACTAACTGAAACTTCTGAAACCGTGAGCCAAAATAAATCTTTCCACCTTTTATATTGTTTCTCTAGGGTATTTATCACAGTAATGAGAAACTAACATGACATCTTTGCTCTGTATTCCTCTTCTTGTTGATTATTTATTCATTTAGATATCATTTACAGAACACCCACTTTATGCAGACTAAGAAAAAAAGCCCACAAAAGTAATCTCACTTTGCGCCCCCAAGAAGGTAACATTATGGTGGCAAAAAGTAAACCAACATACAGTGTGTCACATACTGCTATGGACATTTAACCCAACTGGAGTGGTCAGGGAAGCTTCATGAAACAGGTAATCTTTGAGCTGATGTGTCATTGAGTAGTAGTTGTACAGGAAAAGGGGGAAAAAAGGAAGCAAAGAAAAGGTATTACAGATGGAGCAGAAATTATATTATGACTGTGAAAGAGATGAGTAGTAGTGCAAAATCAGATGGTGAAAAACTTTGCACATTATGCTAAAAATTTAATCTATTGGCTAGGGCATCTCAACAGAATCACATACAGAATTTGTCAGGCTGGTGCCTTCAGAGTTTCTAGTCCACCAAAACTGTAGAGGATCCTAAATATCAGCATGTTTAACAAGCTCCATAGTGATTCTGATTTAATCAGTGCTGAGAGCCACTGATACAAGTGATAGAAAGCCCAGGAATGATTTTAAAATGTGAGCTGCAGATGAGTCGAGTAGCAAAATGGAAGACAGACTTTAGAAAGAAAAGTCTAGCTGCATGGAAACCAATTTGGAAACCGCTGTAATACTTCAAACAAAAGGTGAGGAGACCTTTTTCTAAGCAACAGAAGGGCATAAGTTTAATAAATTTATATCTAGGAGCTAAATAAGCACAATTTCAGTGTCAGATTGGATTAGGAAGCAAAGGGAAGGGGGATCAGCACAACCCTATGCATGCTACCTGGGAAGTACGCAGCAGGAGAAGAGCTAAGGCATGTGTACAGAGTCACTGTCGGAGCAAAACCATCCCAGTCAGGTGAGCTAAGTCCATTAGGCCAGAAGACTTACCTATATGAGTAGTATAAATTATTCTTCTGAGAAAGTAGGACTAGAAAATAAAAAGAGGAACTAGAGAAAGAGGCCATAGGTAAAGGAAGAGTTTGTTTTGTTTTGTTTTAGAAAAAATGAGTTGGTTTTGACTTGTTTGCTTATTTTAGAACTGGGAGAAGTGGGACATAATTTTAGGATATAAGGAAGGTACAGACTGGGGTGCAGCCAGCCATCTCCATAGGACTCTTATTGTGTGTGCTTTTTCCCAGCCATCAGCAACATCATGAAGTTAGTCACAATGGGAGTCCTTACACCATGGAAATGGGCAAATGGTAAGTATCAACATCTTTTTATTTTTTCCTTTCCACAGGACAGCCAATTCATCAGCATACCACTTTGGCCAGCAAGAATAAGACATCAAAAGTAGAAAAGGAATGAAAGAAGGACAAAAGGTGACACTGAAAACAAACGAGGGCTAGATCGAGAGCATAAATGAAGAGGCTAGGCTGGGGAAAAGGAGGGACCCACTCTGAGACTGGAGGAAAGGGTAGCTGCAGATACAGAAAACTTAACACATAGAAGGCCAGGAACTGAGGGAGTTCAAGAATGACAGCATCATTTTTTTTTAGCTCAAGTAACAGACAAGGCTTCTGAGAGAATAGGGATGTGGGCTAGGGACTGTAATTTAGAATAATTATTGGGAGATAGTC